GGATAGCATGTCCTTTATCGCAGCTGATCGCACAAACATGAAAGGTTGTGTCTGGTGCCTTGCAGGGTACTTTAGATTTCCTTATCATTATAAGTCACCTTATGCTGCCTTCCCCGCCTTTCTTCTAAGCCACTATATTCCAAGATGAAAGAAAGAGGCGATAGGAACTCAGAGCAATAAACTTTCATTCTAATCCCTCTATGGGAAGTGTTTAGTTCTCTTTTTCTTTCTCTTCCAAAGACTACTACATAATGTAGACACTACTTACCTCTTTTCAGATTAATATGTTGGAATATAAGAAAGCAATGCTCTACGTAGCACTAATATGGCTTGCCTTCTTTTTATAGGCAATGACCTTAACATGATCACTATCTTCCAATGTAGTTTTGAAATTCATGATGTTCTGTCACTTGTGTTATCTCAGGGGTTTTTTTCATTCATCTTAACTATCAGTTTTCTCTTGATATATTCCACTTGCTCAAAGCTACTAGTGAAAAATGCTGGCAGAATTAAAATAACAATGAAGGATTGAATCAAAATAGAAATAGATCAGCAACTTTCTAACATGAACATTGGTGATAGTAATTTTTAAAAAATGGGCTTGAGGGGTGTTAGGATTTTGTTTAGTTGTCTAGTTTTATTTTGTTAGGCATTTATGGAAAACAATAAAAATACTTAGCAAAGTAAAAATAAAAAATCCTGAGCTTCTGGTTTCTTCTCATGTTATAAAAATGTACTTCAAAGAAGGCTACTTTTAAACTGTAATTACTATAATTACACTCTATATTATTATACAGCTTCTTGTTTGCTTCATAATGTCAGTGCAGTACTGGACATTTCTAATACACTATCACTGGGCACAAATGTGTGTAATTTCAGACCTAATAAAAACTGTCCCCTAATCATTTTTAAACTTTCCTCCCCTACCAATTGTTTTTACAGAGTAGAAGAAAACTCAGATAGGAGGAAATCAGTGAGTGAGGCACTGGCAGCACAATTTGGTAGATGCGAAAACTGGTAAGTACCCAAGCTTTCTCTGAGACTCTTCCATGTTGTTTTGCAGCCCCCCCCCCCCTTGACAATGCCTGGGGAAATGGGTTTGCTGATGTCACACATAATTCTGCCCTCAAATACCATGCGCCAAGTTCTTAATTTTTCTATCCACGTTTCTGATCTTAAACCAAAGGCAGGAATCAACTTCATGACAGAAAAGAGAGAGAGAGAGAGAGAGAGAGAGAGAATAAACTGTTGCCTGTTTATCTGTGAGATCACCAAGTCTGAGCCCCCACTCTCACTCTCCCCACACTCTGATAACTAAGTTTCTATGCTCTCTGTGTCTCATCTTCTTGCTTGGAGTCTGCATCACTGTGACTTGGTTCCATCTCTGCATTTCCAGAAAAGAATTCCCAGGAGGGAGATGTGTGTGTTTTTCCTATTAGTCTCTGGGTTTGAGAGGTTTGCATGCACTCAAATGGTGTATTGCAACTGGTTTGTGGCTGTGAGTGTTCATTTTGATGCCCAAAGCAGGCTCCTAAACTTTTGTTTTTGAGAATAGTACATCTGTTGAATATCTTCTACTACTGCCGCTGTTAAAAGTACAGGAACTTGGTGCAGAGAATAGGTTGCAACCATACTTGTTCCCCACAAAATGTACAACCTGAAAAACCTTTCTAGACAGCGTGGTTGGAGAAGGATTGTATACTGCCCAGTGAATTTTGGATGAAGGGCAGTATACAAATTTAATAAATAACAATAGTTGTCATTTTTTTAAAAAAACCTTGGCTCTAAACCCAGGAGAAAGCTAATATGGGAAAATATGCATTGTGTTGGGTTGTTATGAGATAAAAAGAATGTATTGTTACTAACATAATCCTATGCATTTTACGCAGAAGTAGGATTCACTTTGAGTGTGCATAGACTAGCAGTGCTCTGCCTCCCTTTCGTTCTGCCTCTGCCTACCATTATCTGCCCTACCCTTTGTCCCACTGGCCAGTGCTGGAAACAGAGCAGGAGCGCCAGCAGCTCTCTGGGAGGTTATTTAAAAGCACAGTAAGAGAGGGACGCGGGTGGCGCTGTGGGTTAAACCACAGAGCATAGGACTTGCTGATCAGAAGGTTGGCGGTTCGAATCCCTGCGACGGGGTGAGCTCCAGTTGCTCAGTCCCTGCTCCTGCCAACCTAGCAGTTCGAAAGCATGTCAAAGTGCAAGTAGGTAAATAGGTACCACTCCGGCGGGAAGGATGAACAGGACCAAGTGGCTTCTAGCGTAGTTGAATAGCAGTGTCACAAGACTATGAGAAAAGCTAGCCTAGCATTCTGTTCTTACAGTACCGGTTCTTACAATACCAGCTGCTGATGGGATGGCTACAAGCAGAACCTGAGTGCTTAAGCACTCTCCTCACTTGTGACCCCCAGCAACTGGTATTCAGAGGCGTACTGCCTCCCAGCAATGAGGAAGAATTTGGTCAGCATAGCCAGCATCAGCTAGGAGGCCCTGATAGCCTTCTCACTTCTCTTTTCAAGCCATCTATGTTAGTGGCCATCATTATTTCTTGTCAGAGCAAATTTCATATAGTGTCAAGGTAGGTTTCCTTCAGAATTAGTGGACCTTCCCAAATGATGATAATTAACAGGAGTGCCTGCTTTGGCAAAACAAGCAAACATTGATGGACTTTGAGGAGCAAATTGGTAAAATTGTATGAGCAGCAAACCTACCATAACATTACTTTCAATGGGTCTTCTGTGAGTAGGACTTAATTGGCTATAGTCCACTGACTTGAACACTGAACATGTTTGTTTGTCACTGGTTGGACAGAGAATCCTGTGCACAAATATATTTTTGTGCAGTATTCTTCAGACTGACCCAGAAACTAGAACCACGTGTACTAGCCATTTAAAAACCTTTGAAATCTGCTGTTCATTATTCAGAAGGGCGAGTAGGGAGACTGGATTCAGCTTCCTCCCATGCAACTTTTTCACTGTCAACCATCTGACTAGTGAAAATTCAGCTTTTAAAAAAAGACTTTGTGTTTGCAGTTTGGTTACTTTGTCTTTGTCATGGATCAGAGCCACCATGTTTATTTAGCAACTTTTACTCTTCTTAAACAGAAGAAGTAGAGTTTGACATTTTGTACAACTTTGTGTTGAGGGCAAAATATGACATAAAAATTGAAAGTTTGACATTTTGCTTCCCACATTAAGTATAACGGATCTTTGTTTCTTGAGTTGACATTGCTCAAAAAATGTATTTACAAACTCCTCAACAGGGTAGTTAGAGTGTTAGAGTTTCATTTGAGTAAATAGAAGTCAACATTTTTGTGAAGTATGTAGGACTTCATTTTTTAAAAAACATAGGCAAAATGACTTTTTTTAACCAAATGAAATATATTATTCTGTTAAAAATAGTTTTAACCAATACTCAAAAAGGGTTGCGATATGTATAACATTGTTCAAGCACAACTGCACTAGTATTACATGAATCAAGTTCTTTTTAATAAAGGCCTCAACATGGCAAAGTTTAGAAATAGGTAGTATGCATGCACATAATACAACAAAATCTTTTATAAAACAGCTGTATTATTATTTTTTGCAATGTTCGTACAAAGGGGAAAAAGAGCCACCACAAACATATTTAATCTGTTAGATTAATATCTCATGACAGCTAAAAAATCAGTAATGTGTAGCAGAAGAACAAAAGCCCCCACCCCCATTCTTTGTGTACAGGTGTGTGAAATCTTTTGTGCCTTTAAAGTTATGTATAAAATATTTCAAGGACTGTTTTTTTTCTTAACAACCTAGAGAAATTGCACTACGCATTTCTGTCACAATTAAAAAAAGGCAAATTGTATTGATTTTTCTTTTTTTTATTCTTCATAACAACATAAAATAAGCTAATACTGTACCAGAGAAAGTGCTGGAAACTCATTACATTGAACGCTCTCCACCCACTACTGAGAATGTGATTTTGAGGTTTGTTGAAGAAATTTTAAAAATAATCCACAGTAGCTTTTAAACAGATACAAAATGATGAAGACTGGCTTGATTTAATATTTTTAGGCAAGTATGGGCTCTCCCCACTCTTCCCTTTAAGAGTTCTCTTATTGATGTGTGTGCTTATGGCTTTTTGCTCTCCTTACACCACAGGGGAATTCATCATACACAAATAATGCATATGGCTGAGTAAATAAATATATAATATGTGTGTAGGCGATGCCCTCTTGTGCTCCAGGTAAGCTACTGTATACAGGACTGCAGAATAGACCTTAGCACACATCAGTTAAGGTCTTTCCACTTGCAAGTCGTATATCACTAAGTTCTATACGGTTTTACTAAATACGAAGGTTTTTTACATGGTATATATGTTTAGTATAGCTTGGACGACCACTGAATCTCCAAAACGGAAAAATCTGTGTTCATGCAGACCATTAGATGTTCTCTATAGTACTCATAACTTCTTGGCAACCTAAAGCTAACTGTAAAAGGAAGTTATGCTTTATTTGTGAAATTAGGTTTCCTAAAATTTTAACAATCTGAAGTGAATTTTTAATGGGCACAAAGAGAGTAGACCATCCATACTTCCACCATTTAAAAGATAAACAAATTCACACACTGTACTACAGCCTTCAGACCATATAATGGAAAAGTGCAGATATCATCTTCATTGATTAAGTAAAACTAAAGGAAAAGGCTCATACAAAATAGATTGCTCATATTCACACTACAAAGGATTTTTTTTTTAATTTGTAACAAATTCAATGTGTGTTATATCAGCAGCATTGTTGTAAATTTTACTGTAGTGCAGATTTTTTTTTCATAAAAATACCATACAAATGGTCAGTCAAGTCATCAGCAAAAGAAAAACCCAGAAAACCACCAACCAAACAGAAAAAAAATAAATCCAGAGGTAATGCTGATGCTAAAACAATTATAATACTGTTGGTACATAGAAAAGTAATCATTATATTTTATACATTTATACAGTATACAAAAGGTTACAATGGATTATGCCACAGTCTCCCTTATGCCAATATCTATTTTCTTTGGAAGGAGTTCTTTCCTCTCATCAACACTGGCTAAGGAGTTTCGACAATTTTGCCCATCCATGTACAATTTTGCATACACTGGATTGGAGTAGTTTGTTGGCTGAAAAGAGATAAATATGTGATATTAAGAATAGCTCAAGCAGAAAAATCAAGAAACCTCTCAATTTAATACATCATACAACGTGCACACATAGGAACAAATCGGGACATGATTATTCATTTCCTTGGCTCACGCAAATAACAAAGAGTTGTTAAATATCTAATGGGACATGCTTTTAATACAACAGATGACATGCAACATGAGGGGAAACAGTGCTTTTTCTCAGGGGGGTACTCAAGAGTACGCAGTACCGGCTCTTCTTTTTGTTAAAAAGTGTGGCACTTACTGTAACAACTTCATGGTGAGTACCGACGCCTATTTTTCAAGGGGAAAAAACACTGAGGGGAAATCAAGTTTATTGGAAATATGGGAGGGGAACATATGAAAACGATGCCAATTCATTTCTCAGTTTCTTATATTTTCATATGATCCTGTTATGGAGAATATGAATAGCAGTTACCCTTGGAATGACCACAACTCTCAAAGGATACTGCTGCAGAAATGCTTACAAACTTCATAGTATGTTAGGATACCTTCTCTTCAGCCCAGCTGCCACTGCAATATTCCGATTTAAAAGTTAGTAAAGGGCAGGGTGCTTTAGTGACAATAATGGGTGCCTCTCCAGCCTGGATGTTGATCTACGCTAATGAATAGTGTTTTAAAAGCCTGCCTTCTTACTGTGTACAGGCACATATATTCACATGTGTGCAGTCCATTTGGATACATGTTCCACAGGCACATGAAGTGACTCTCAAGTTCTCCACTTGTATGAGGACAGCTGATGGAGAAACTCATACATGTTGTGCTTGTGCATGGAAGGTGTAGGAGAAGTTTCAAAGGGCAACTAGATCAGACTTAAATAAATTCTTTTCCTAAGTTCTAAATATCCTACTCATACACTTCAATATTTCACTTGGTAATTGTACTTAATATATAAAAACAACCACAACATTCAGACCACCTCGACATTGAGCCCATAGGACAGATCTAGTCATTAGACTTTGTTATGGTTTAATTATGAGCATTTTTGCAGGATGCCTTTTTTCTATAGTAATGTCTTTATAGCTTCTGTATCATTTTATTTACAAAAAAAGAATATGCTTGAAGCATGCATGAAAATATTAGATAATTTTCATGATAATTTTCATCATTAGGATATGGTTACAGGACCATAGGGACGCGGGTGGCGCTGTGGGTAAAACCTCAGCGCCTAGGGCTTGCCAATCGCATGGTCGGTGGTTCGAGTCCCCGCGGCGGGGTGAGCTCCCGTCTTTCGGTCCCAGCTCCTGCCCACCTAGATAAATAGGTACCGCTTTATAGCGGGAAGGTAAACGGCGTTTCCGTGTGCTGCGCTGGTGCTGGCTCGCCAGGGCAGCTTCGTCACGCTGGCCACGTGACCCGGAAGTGTCTCCGGACAGCGCTGGCCCCCGGCCTCTTAAGTGAGATGGGCGCACAACCCTAGAGTCGGACATGACTGGCCCGTATGGGCAGGGGTACCTTTACCTTTACCTAAAGGAAAGTTCTGGATATTATTAAGGCTGCAACCTTATGCATACCTAATTGATACTAGACTTAGTAGAATTATTGTTGAGTAAACACACATAGCATTGGGCTGAATGTTGTGTGATATAACCATAGCCTATGCAATTGGCTTGAGCTCCATTTTTCATGGCCAGATAAGCTCACAATTAAAGCCCTATAAAAGCCCAGTGAATGGGTCTGTCCAGTCTGTTTGTCTCATGCTGTATATTGTAAAAAGAAAAAGGAAAAAAGTGATTGCCAACTCTACAACATCCTATGAACGTTTTGGTGCAATACATGCAAAATGATATCCAGTTGCAGAAACCACATTACAAATGAGTGTAAATGATTTCATATAAATACATGCATCCTTGCATATGAATATGATTATTAATAATAATGTCACTGATGTTTAAGAAAGTTTAAAGGTCTTTGATTCATTACTCATTAATTATGGGTCGGCATCAGTCTTGACTTGTGGACATAAAGGCTTGTTCTGTCCACGGAAACCTTCTGATCTATGAAGAGGAGTGGCAGGGGGAGGTTAATTTTTCCAATTTCCCTCTCACTTTGCTGCCAGCAGTGCCGCCACCCCACCCACTGTTCTGGAGGGTCCCCAACCCTCGGGAAGAGTGTGGGAGAGAATTGGCAAAATTCACCTTCCTCCACTACTTAACTGGAGCATACTCTGAGTGGCATGCCACTTGGAATATTCTAACCAGCAGGGAGCAAAGTCTGGATCCAGTCCAGCAGATGAAATTTAGAGAACGTTGGGAACATTCATGTCCAACTACCTACTAATTTTAATGCCTTTTAAGGTTTACCACTAACTTTATTTCAGTTCTGTGCCTTGTGCTCATAAACTTGTTCCACTGCCCTAAAATCTGTTACACAATCCAGTGCACAATCAGGTACAGAGAACGCATCTAATTGGGCATGTCATTTTGCTTATTAAGACACTAAATATTGTGTAATGTTACTGTCACATTATTTTGAGCAGCTGATAATACTCCAGATAAACCATTTGTCTGATGTAGGGTATTAATATAAAGTGGCTAGTTGATCCTAATTTTAAGGAAAAATTTATTACAATTTATTTCCCAGAGAAATAGTTTGTCATAAATTTGTGCACTTTTTCCTCCTGTCAGTTTCTTTTAGTGTGATAAAAAGTTTTCAGTTAGTTATGCTCGCTTACTATCTTGCCTGAAGTTTCTCTTTGAATTAGTAGCTAAAAGGTGCAAACACTGATTTCTGTGAAAACAGATGTCAAAGCATCACCTTCGACACTACTGTCTAAATATGACTGAATATTTGAAATTATTTCTTAGCTGGACCTGGCTGCACCATAATGGGGTAGAGCTATTCAATTTGAAGTTTTCAAGATGGCGCTGACGACAACATAGTGTCCAGTTCCTTTTGAGGATTATAACTCTTCTTCAGAGGTGGCTACCACATCATCTGTGGAAGACAGTTTTGGACAATTTCTATTTGAAAGACCTGAAGAAGTATTATAATACTCAAAGTTCATTAGGTAATAAATTTGCTTATGCTCATCTTGGATGTCTCTTTTTCATTTGGTTACTTACTGCTTTGGCTGCCTTTCCTTCTTTTCTTTGTTTTACTGTAATGGGTGCCTTGTCTGTTTTAATTTTTCTGAAGGAGCAAACAATCCGTATGCTGCGCTGATGCTACACAGCAAAACATGACTTATCTATGAATAAGTTTCTTTCTTATCATTGCTTTATTTCCAGGGCCAAACTAGATGTGACATGAACTGTGTCAATACAATTAATGTGCATGTATCTAAATAGCAGGATTGTGAGGGTGGGTGGGGAGCAGAATTTAAATTCTTTATCTGCCTGCCACAAAATCACCTCTTTGAAGCTGCTACTTGTGTTTCTAAGGAAGCTCCCATTTGCAGCTGTATATCTATCCCCACAGGCACCCCAGGCTTCCCTGCAGCTGTTATTCACATAATAAATGTGCACATTAATTGCATTTTCACTTTTAACATCAGGTCTAGATTCATTTATACTGTTTCATATCATATTGTATGGCTATTTTTAAATACACCATTCATTTAAATACTTGTTTGCATATTAGTGCTACCTTTATCAGTTGTAAACTCATACAGATCATTTCTAACTCTTGAGTAAGGGGCTATGGTAGAATGAGCATGGAAAATGAATGGCAGTTTCTCACCCCTGCTGTTAAAGGTCCTTTCAGGTCAGAGTTTAAGTAGATTGGCGGTGCTGTGTGGGGAAGCTTGAAGACTGTGGACCCTCCCCCTATATACCTGGCCTGCATTTAAATACAGCAATTTTTTGCATTTAGTTCTTATTTTTAAAATATTGCATTTTCCTTCTACACTTTGAAATATTATTGAACAAGCAATGAGTAAAATTACATACTTGAACTTTATCTTTTTCCAAAGATACTTTTTTTAATGCATACAAGTTTAAAAAATACTTTCATTAGTACAGGAAGCATTTCTGTTCTAGAGTAATCTTCATTTTTTCAAATGGCTCTAGGGGCTAGCCCTAATTTATTGTATACACATGTGATTAATTGACTAGGACACACTTGGCTATTTCTAAAAACTATTCATAATCCAGCTACTCCTCTGTCATAGGGCAACTGTATACATCATAGTATTGAAATAATTCTTCAAGGTCTTGTACAGATGATGGTAATTTGGAACAACAGGAGTGTTTCCTTTTAAGTGCTGGGGAGATTCTTTGAAAGCTTAGCAAAACTACTTTGCTAGTGTTAGATGTGCAACTGGGGGGGTGGTGGTGTTCATTTGGCACGTAACAAAGAGATTGGCCAGAATTTTTATGTGCCTCAAAATACTTCACATGTACAAGATGAAAGAAGCCTCTCCCAGTGCCATTAAGGTCACCCCATGTTTTAAAAGGATATCACAGATTTGGAAAAGGTACAGGAAAGTAAAGCGAAAACCAATAAGGGTTATTGCACATTCCATACAAAGAATCACTTCAGTATATAGGTCTTTTTCGTCTAGGGGGAAAAAAAACAATTAAGGATTGGTAAAATGCATTTAGAGATAGAAATCCCTTTCGCATAATGCCAGAACATTTGATTGGGATTCTTTTTTAAAAACAACATTCATTGACACTGAGATGTGCAGATGGCGGCTATCTCTGATGAATTTCAAAAGAATAAGATCTGTTTTCCATGAATGGATCAAATACTGGTTGCCAGCATTAAATAAATGGAACCTCTATGTCTCTGAGGAGCAGATTTTGACACCATCATTCCATACGTGATTTTTCTAGATACACTGCTAGAAACAGAACGCTGGGCCAGATAACTCTGACCCATCCAGGCAGTGATAATCATTAAAATAATTTAAATCCCTATAAAGTTCCAGGCGGTTCTTAAGTTTTTACACTGTTTGCTCACTATCTTGCTATCGCTCCAGCATCACCATTGAATAATGAACAATTTGGGAATGGTACAATGGTCATTATGTAAAATAAGTCATTGAGCAGTCTCAGGCATGAGATATTTTGTAGCAGCGGGAAAGAGAGTGTTTTCCCATCACAGGTCTTCAAAATTAATTAGGTAAAAGCATATGGTTAGTGCAGATTTCAAATACCTGGCGGGGAAAAGAAAGTATTACGGTTTTTCAGTTGAAAATAATCAATATATATTAGGAACAACTCACAATTGTTACAGTGTATAATACTGAGCTGGTTTCACACATGAATGTTTGCATTTGTGACTTATAAATTAAGCATTCTGGAAATAATGGGTTGGATTCAAATGAGTCTTTCCATTTCAGAAGAGGCCCTGATCAGTAAGAGTGGTGGAGGCTGGTCCACAGCCCTCCCACTGAAAATGTCACATAATTAAAAATCCCTTCTCAAAATCTTGAAGCCACACATTCTGTTCTTATTATTTCTACCTTGCTCTTCTATAAGTTTGTCAGTGGACTTCTGAAATGAAACGTTAGGGCACTGTTCCTATCTGGCTATGACTCCACATACTTCCTCAAATCTGGAAGATATTCTCCTAAACCTCAGACATAACATAGGTTAATTATGATTAGTATGGTGTAATGAGCTTTTGCACATGAGCAGAGATTATTACTTCACATTTTCAGGACTGATCCATGCATTGCAAATATGTTCTGATTTGTTCTAATGGCTCAAATGAAACTGTCCGTCCCCCCTGACGGTTGGAATACTTTTGGGGTTTTTTGTTTTAATTTAGAGAAGTATATTTTGGATTATAAATAGTTAAATTGATTTTGGGGAGAGGAAACCTGTGTAAGCAAGTTTTCCCGGCATTTTAAAAGTTTTTATGTGTTTTGTTTTCTGGCAGTGGATGTATAGGTGTAAACAATACATAAATTCACAAACTTAGTCATGTGATACGGCTTAATTTCTAAGTAAGAGGTGCGGAGTCAATCTTGTCTGAAAATGCTACTTAGACCCTCTTACATGGAAACGCTTTCCCTGTCCAAAGATGTGCAGAGAAAAAAGAAACAGTGTCAGTCTGTACACATATAATGGCAAGCTTCTTAAATAAGTGCTGTCAAAATCCTATTGTGATGAAAGAGCAGGTTAAAAAATTCAGCCCTACCAAGTCAAAAAGCTACCAGCCACTACTGAATAAAGGGAGGCATTTTCACCAATTTTATTTTTCCCCACCTCCAGAGAGCTTTGGAACACTCTGAAATAGTGTGGGAAGTACTTAGGAGGGCTGGAGGGGAGAAGAGAAATTTGCAAAAATTGACCCCTTCCTTGCATATTAGCTGGAGCCTTAACTGGATCAGAGCTTCTTTTTGCAAATGGAAGAATACCTTTGGATCCTACCCAATGACAATATTTTGCTATTATTTAAAACATAATTATTTGAATTAGGAAACAAATATTTGATTTTACCTTTTCTGGATTTAATGTAAAATCTGAAAGACCTCTTTCGTTGTGATTATGGCCCACCTCATACATATTATACGATGGATTTCCAATCTCTACATTGATTCCTCCATTTATAATTGGTTGTCGTCGGATTGTTTTTGCCCTAAAATATATCACAAGGGAAAGAGTGAACAATTAATCTCTGTATTGGGTTGTGTGTGTGTGTGTGTGTATAAAAAATCTGTGAAAAGAAGGAAGTGATTTTCAGGGTGGGGGGGAGATTGCCTTGCCAGATTAATTTTCAATGTTTCCAAGGGGAGTGGGAAGCTTTTCCTCTGCAAACACACCCCTTCTGCAACTATCCCTCTCCTTGGAAAACATTATTAATTCCTATGACTTTCAGTACCTCTTATATGTTGCCCCGTTACCTCTATAGATACCCCACAGCTTCCCAGTCTCTCTGTCTGCCAATTGCTCTATTTGTTTCTGGGAAGGGAGTTTTTGTTTTGTTTTTACTATTGATGTTGTGTTCTCATTTTGTATTTTTTTGTGTGAATCGCCCTGTGATCTTCGGATGAAGGGCAGAATACAACAACTACTACTACTGCTGCTCCACTATGTTGTCTAATTACAATATCAAGGTCAGCAAGTCTAAGCCAGAATCAGTTCTCTTTCCTCCCAAGTCTTCCTTTCTTTAGCCTATGTCCGGTCTCCTTGGTAAATAGGTTTCACGTCTCTTCTTTGTACGCTATATCCAGTTATTTGCCAAGTTTTAATGCCCTTCTTGCATACCTAAGTGCACCACTACCGAAAAGGCCCTCTGCCACATTCAGATGGTATGACAATTATCTGAACCCAGCAGAGGGCCTTTCAGTGGTGGTGCCCACTCTAGAATGCCCTCCCATCAGATGTTAAGGAGTTGAGTAATTATATAACATTTAGGAAACATCTAAAGGCAGCCCTGTATAGGGAAGCTTTTTAAGGTTTAATGTTTTACTGTGTTTTTTCATATGCTGGAAGCTGCCCAGAGTGGCTGGGGCAGTATAAATAATTTGTACCCCACCCATCTGGCTGGGTACAAATAAATTGTTGCTGTTGCTGTTGTTGTTAGTAGTAGCAGCAGTAGCAGCAGCAGTAGATTCCCCACTTCACTAGCTGTCCCTTTGTGTACCCAGCCTAAATATATTGTCCTTACCTATCGTATCTGTTGGTCTTGATTTGTTGATGCCCATGCTGTCCGCTCCACTAGCTCTCTCTTACTGCCTTAAACAGTCACGCCCATTCTCCCTTCTTTTTGCTTTGTTTTACTTTTGCCATGAACATGTAGCTGGTGTCATTTTGTTCCTTTCCTTCAAGGCTCCTCTGAAAATGTGCCTTCTCTATGTGGCCTTTGACTCATCTTCTTAATCCTAGTTCCCAACTATGATCAAGCTTTAAGTACCGTAAGTGTATCACATTTGCTCAAATTCATCAAGCCCTACCATTGACTCTCCCACCTCTGTTCCTGTTATATTCCCCATTGGTATTTCATATTGCAAATTCTTTGGAGTATCTGCACACAGTGCCATGCAGAGATAGGACTGGACTGAAATTACACAACCATGATCACCATTCAAGGTTGGTTGTCCTTAGAACTTATCCAGTAAATTGCTTCTTTTTCCTTCGACAGAAATTTCTTACCTTCGCTTTCTTTTACAAAGTAGCAAACCTATTACCAAAGTAGTAATCAAGGTCACCAAGAGGACGAGTGGAACAATGATTGCAATGCTTCCTGCAACAAATAACAGAAACAGGTTTGACTACTGATAATTTAACACTTGGCAAGGAAACTTTGATAATACCTCAGTAAGCAGAGTGACATGCAGCTTTGATTGTAATGTAGATCAGGTTTTAACAAATAGATAAGGTAAGGTAGGGATGGAATACTGGAAGCTGTTAAATGTTTTTGTGTCAACTGAAACCTGAGTTGTAGTTTCTTTCCTCCCCAAAAGCTGTGAGCCAAGAGTAAACCTTGGTTACAGCTCGTGGGTTTGTTTGGAGAGAAACAAACCATCAGCTCTGGTTTTGACATGATACTAAGCAGGAGCATATCTTAGCTCCCAGCAGTGTGGAAGCAGCCTGAACAGGGAAAAGCATTTACAGTAGCACACATTATGTTCACCTTTTAAACTATAGTTCAGTTTAACTGCATTTCAAACTAACGTCTGAACCAGGTCACTGACTGACCTAGAGTTGTTCATTATCTTCCAGTGTTCTGATTCTAAAATATTCTACTGAGAAGTATCTTTGGGTTCTCTACATGACAAGATAAAAAGTTTAAATTCCTTCTGCTATTAAGTTCCAGCAGTTGGCCTGCCTTTCTCAAAGCTGACATTTTACTAAGTCATTCGTTGAACTATTTAATTTCTCTTTATTAGCCATTTCACTGCCACCTGACAGTCATACTCCAGTCCCTCTTTGTGTATCAATCTGTCACCAGTCTCCTAGATAGCTCAGTTGGTTAGAGTGTGGTGCTGATGATGCCAAGGTTGCAGGTTTGATCACCACGTGAGGCAGCTGCATATTCCTGCATTGCAAGAGGCTGGACTAGATGATCCTCATGGTCTCTTCCAACTCTACAATTATTTTATTCTATCCCAGTTTCAGTTTGTTAAAGTAGATTACAAGCCTTCTGGATAGTGATCATGACACCATACCATATGGTTAAAGTTTGTAAGCACAGGACATGCCAAACATGTTTATTTGCTGAAACATTACATTTGACTTCTCAAATGTAATGATCTAGGGACCATACTTAACTTTTTCTTAACTACTTATTAACCACCGACTTGTCTAAATAGGTATCTAACCCAGTTAGAGAGTATACATATGCAAAGACATGTTTCTGCATATGTATATCTTACTTGATGAGCACAAACAGGTCCTGCCCGGTTATCCTCTTGGACACAATAGCCCAGATTGTGTGCAAGAAACACTTAATTCTTTTTAAAAGTGAATTTTCTTAGTTACATAACTAACTTTGATTTGGTGCACTTTCTTTTCTGTCAAGTGCTTTTTCAAAACCTAGTTTTCCATTAATTTCGATTTATTCTGCAATTCTCCTAACTGAAACCAAACTTTATCCATCACTTGTAAACTTTCCTCCTATTGTCTTCTTATGGCCCAAACTAGATGTCATGCTTCTTAGTTCACAAATTACCTGCCACTGTGGGGACCTTGATTGGGATTCAGGCATGGAGGGGTAGCAGAGCTTTAACCTTTACCCTTATTTGATCCTGACTGAGATCATTACCCCTTCCCTAATACTGCAAATGGCATGGCAAGGGAGAAGAATCTTCCATTTGATTAAATGGTCCAATGTAAATTGCAGATGCAGGGCCCCCTATCCATATCAGGACTGCGTCAGTGTAAAGAATTAACCTCCCCCTTTCCAGTGTCCCGTTCCAAATTGTGAGCTTCCATGCTGTCAATTTGTGAAAGAAAATGTTTGCAAAGGCAAACTACATAATAAACATTTCACATAGTTAGTCTCTAACAGTTGCCCCATACTTTTCATATCAGAGCGACCCACATGTCCACAGGAATGGTCAATTATCATCATCGTTTTATTTGTATGCTGCCTTTCCAAAGTTAAAACCATGCCCAAGACAGCTTACATTATGAAAAGATTTACATTACAAACATAACAAAAGTAGTCATAAACAATAAAGAAAATATCAAAAAATACACAACTGAATTGAACAATTTCCACTTAAATCATAAGATCTAAAAAATAAAGATACAATAAATTAATGTCAATAACAGTAGCAAAATGCCCATTCCAATAACTTCCACTGCTATCAAAAAATGCTTTGTTCCTTAAATAACGGCTTAAATTATATTAACATTGTTATTCAAAAAAACTTACTTGTACTGATATTGTCAGATTTGCTGCTTTTAGGAGCTGGCCTCTCACACTGTGTACCAGACCAGTTGGTGGAGCATCTAAAACAACCCAATTAAGATAATAAAATCAATTCACACCTACAAATTATACAAAAATATATTAAATAGACATAGCCCATATTAATGACCAAAAAATCATGTTCTAGAGTAAACACAATTTGTCTCCAGTAAGGTGTAATGATGCTACCATTTTCATTACTTCAATATTTATCAAAATATATAATAAAATTTATAAAATATTTAAGTGGTAATACAAGAATGCCAGTTTGTACTGTTAACATTGGGTATCAAAACCTGCAATGAAAGTCACAGATAATAACTAAATATAAAGTCTCTTGTTAGTAGAGACTGATGACATTAAACATTCACAAACCGGGAAGTCTCATTTTTACTTACAAAACTGCTTTCATTTTATTTATTCTCTCCTGTGTCTTTTGCAAAATGTCTTAACCTAAAATGTATTGACTTTAGACTAATAGAAGCACCAAAATAGGAATCCTAGACTTATAAGTAGCAATTATTTCTGTTCCTGAGCAATAATTGTGCTTTTTATGAACAGGCCACAAGTAGAAATGAAAAGCTATTAAAAATGGAATATTCTGAAATGAGTTGCTTGTTATCCATTAAGCTTGGGTGATACCTGGGCTGCATTATTTTAATTGGCTGATTTTCATGGGTAGTCAACCTGGTGCCCCCTCCAGCTGTTTTTGGGCTACAGCTCTCAACCTTTGGACATAATGGCAGGGGTTGCTGAGCTTTGGAGTCCAACAACATCTGGAAAACACCATGTTTGATACTCCTGCATTAATTGATTGCGGGTGGGGGTGGAATGGTTTCCAGAGAAGCAATGTCAAATGAGATCACTCTGTTAAAACTAATTCTACCTCAGAGATGTCTGTCAATGGGGGGGGAAGCATCTAGGAAGATGCCTGAAGGAGACTGAAATAGAGTATACCTGGTTTCTGATAATGTAGGCACAAAAAAATTGTCTGCTTTATATCATGCCAGATATAAATTTTATGAGACAGTGCTGAGGAGCAAACTAGTTAACTATTCTTGTCAATTGATTGAAAGGAGTAAAAAAGAAGGCAATCCTGTAACAAAGCCTTAAACTTTTCTACATCTCATGGATGGAAGACAGGTATTCTATCTGCCAATACTTGAGCCCGCTTTTCATCGTAAAGGCAAGAGTAAAGCAGGGCATTTTAATGTTCATCTTCTTAAGATGAGAAAAATTGATTGGCATGGTGTATGGTGTAGAGATAGCCACCATAATATTTTATTAGATGAAATATATATTGGTGGTATTTATTGTTATTAATTTGTTAATTTTGCTTATCCAAGGAAAAGTATACTTCTAGCTTTTGTTCTAGTAAAATCTGTCTGCAGACTGATTACGCACACACACACACACACACACACACACACACACATATACACATACACACACATTTCCTCAGACAAGGAGGTTCATTAACGCTGAAATAGAATTTGTAGCGATGTAATGTTCAAGTCAATTAGCCTGCTCTTTGCACACTGTGAACCACACACACTTGATCAATTCAGCATAAAAAAGTATTAAAAGCAACTCTATTTTCATACTTGTATAAAAGTTACCTTTAAGTCAAGAAGAAATCATCAAAGTTAAATTTAAGCTAATAGTACAAGTGTTTGCTATCATCTGTCTTAATGTTTGCTGCCATCTGTCCTGTATATGTTTGCACTGTTGTATCTCCATCCCAAACATGTTAACTATTGGAAAAACTTGTCTTAGTATCACATCTGCTTCTATCCTATATAGAGAAATGCAATTCATCTATGGTTTCTAAGTATCTTGCTAATAGCAGCAGAATGTTGGAAGAGAGACTGGGTGGAATAGAATGTGTATGCAGGCTCCGGCCTTGCCTGCAGTTGCCATGCAACCCCAGGAAGGTTCTGCATGACCGAAAGGATGTGGCAATCCGTTATATGGCTGCGCTGAATGTGTATGCGTGCACACACACACACACACATGCATCTGGGGAGAGGGGGAGCACCACTATTCAATTTTTCAGGTCTATATAGCAGCCCTAACTTACCTGCAAATGGGATCCTCTTTAACGAGGGTCCTGGTTGCGCACGGGCCCCTGAGAGGACCCCCACCAGGTTGAAGGCGCTGAGCATGGCCCAGACCTTGTCTGTATGGCCCCACAATCACACCAGGCTATTTGAGCCAATCAGTGCAGTTGGCGTGATTGGTGGAGGCCTATAAAAGCGGCAGCGCGATGTGGCTGAGGCACTTGCTTCACGTTGCCGAACACCCGCCCTCCCGTCCCTATTTGTAGGTGTTGCTGCTTTGGCCTTGCTTCGGGTGTTGGTTGGTCGCCTGTTTTGGAACAGGGGCCGGGTAGGAATTTTTCCATTTGGCAAATTGGCAGTGTCCACTTGGTTTTCGCCTACCCCCTTAGCAATTGTCACAACTGTGTAAGGTTTGGCGGTTAGGCATTGGCTTAATGAAGTGTATGGGAGGGGAGGTGTGGCCATCACCTGCCCCTCCATGAATAAGGGTAAAGAAATCTGGGGGTCCTGGATCTTGTCCGTGTTAGGATATTTCCGTTCCACCTTAAAAGGGAGCAGGCTTCCTGTTCACAGGATGTTTCTGTTGTGTCTTTGCTTTCGTTTCTCTCTCTGTGTCTGAAACATGAAGCAGGCAGTCATGTTTTCTTTGTTCTGATCAACGCTGAATAAACTTGTAAATAATGCTCTCCTGCGTGCATCTTTCGCTGTGCAATATCTGCTGATAGAGCGTGCATCGGCTCTGGAATGTAGCAGGCTATTTCTGGAGCTTGTGTCGCTAATTGCTGATACTGTATCTACGGGAGATCGATGGACATCCGGAGGTGGCTTGGGGGCCATGATGGACTTTGTCTCCCTGGCAGTATGCCAACAGTCTGAAGTCCACTTGAGTGGCTAGGGCCATGCCAGGACCACAGGAACCCGGGGTGAGCTTCGTTGGTCTTCATCAATGTTGCTCCCTTGTTTGGCGTTTTTATCCTTTCAGACTCCCTGCTGGGAGGGCAGGAGTCAGTGATAGTTTGTCAGTGCCTAAGGCAATATCGCTCAGTTTGCTGTAACCAATATAGTTGTGGCCGAAATTTTGCTCATTAACTTAACAACTGACACTGACTACGTGTCAGTGTGAAGTTATTTACTTGCAGAAGGGCTTGGGGGCCTCGGGGCGCAATAGACCATCAGACAGAAACTAAGGTTTTTGGAAGCATACTTTGGTATAAGAGAGTTGAGAAGATAAAAAGTTAAATATAGTAAAAGTTTGGATACATTCCAGGGAAGAAATATGAATGTGTTTATATGCAGTGAGTATCTGGCCCTATTTCTGAAAATACAAATTTTTAAAATTCTTTACATATTTGTAGCTTATATGGGACAGTTTACATGTTACTTATGCTTGATGGCAACAGATTCATTGCTATGGAGCAACACACATAAATAACTTGCTATTTTCTTTAAATTGTGCTGGCTATAAGTCATAATACCACAACTAATTTAGCACTGATGTATGTGATACAGTGCTTCCTGATTTTAAGTTCTAAACTTATTTCTGTAATATTTGTACACTTAACTGAAAATCTACAGTTATATTGCTTGCTTTAAAAATCCGTAAAGTACAGTGCAGCAAATATCACTATGGTTTACAATAACATTTAGATTTCACAGGTGATAAATAAAACACCATTTGTAATAGCATACTACATGTGCTGAGTCCAGAGTAGCTATTTATTATTAAAATTAGCAGACTATGTTCCTGGTACTAGCAATACTCATTTCAACACCTTTGAATGGTGTAGACTGCAAATACTCAAAAACAGGGGGAATGACATATTGTCGAATAGCGGCAGTAGAAGAAATATGTCCATCTATCTGTGGATGTGCTGTAAATCACAGAACCTTATTTTGGAGAAAAATCTTTCATATGTCAAATCTTAGTACCTTAACTTTGAAACAGTGAAATCGGGTGGCTGGTTATAAATTATTATTGCATTATTATTATAAATGGTGAACACATTGGGCACAAATCTAGCTGAGGCTAACATTTCTATCTCCTATTAATTACCATAGGATCTCTACACATATCATAACTATTCTTGAAAGTGCTTAATGGTAGCTGGATTGGTTGCGAGTTTGGTTCTGGGGCCAATACAAGGTGCTCATATTAGTGTTTAAAGCCCTAAACAAATTAGGCCCAAAATATCTGAAATACCAGATCGTTCCCTGCAGACGCTCTTGTGGGTTAAGATCAATAGAGGGGCCCTACTCTGTATTATTATTATTATTATTTCTTCAACTTAATCCCTGCCTGAAGGAGTCCATCTACAACAAAACCAATTTTAAGCCCACTGCCCTCAGTAGTGTTTGTTTTTTGAAGGGTGCAGGGGTTTGCGTGGCCAGGTGAAGACAACATCTGTGGCAGTTGTGGCATTCCCTCCCTATGGAGGTACATCTGGCACCTTCGTTATATAAGGAGGAAGTCATCTGCTCTTTCCTTAAGCACAATCATTTATGCTTGCTAGACAGTAAAGTCCCCTTTTTGTCCTCCTGCATGCTGTTCTGGGGGTTCTCTTGACCCTCCAGAATGGATCTGGGGGAGCTGTGGAGGAACACAAGGAGAACTCCTGTTGTACTAGTGGGATCTCTTGCACTGGCTTCTCCTAGTGTGAAGGAGTGGTTGGGCCAAAGATACCTTTGTATGCTGAAGACACATCTCTCTACTCTGGCCTTTGACTCTTCAGACATATATTTTAGTACCCACCATATTCCTCTGTCTATAATTATTTTTGAACTATTATTTTTTTTAAAAAAATATTGAATTATAAATTGCTGTAACCAACCCTGTAATGGTGAAGTATGGATAAGATTAATAATTAATTGTGCTTTCCTCTTCTCAAAATCTGCATTAGAGGGTGAAATGTTGAGAACTTTGTGCATAAAGTAAAGCCCTTGCTTTACTTTTTCATGAACAATAGTTCTCACACAGCAATCTACACTTGTCCTAAATCTTTCATTCCTCTTTCCCCTGACTTTTCCACTGTTAATGAAGACTTCATATATGTAATAAAATCTAAAATTCTCAAATAAAGTATATTAGAATTGTTGGTTGTGGTTTAGGCCACTTTCTGTAATCAGACGACTACTTGCAACGAAGGGTTCTTGTAATGGTACTATCCTTGCCTTGTATTCCCCTCACAATGTTACTTCCAACACTTTTCTGTAGGATCTCCCAATCCTCCAGAGCAGAGTTTTAGAGGGTACAGGGGGTGGTAAGAAGAAGAGGAAATTTGCAAAAAACTCGCCTGCAACAATAAAGTGCAGATCTGACTACTGTAAAGATTCCTTTTTTTCAAACAAAAGAAGCTTCCTCTGCAAGCAAACTTTTTGAATCCAACCTGTTATTTACATACTGCAATCACATGATTAGAGCATTTTATCCTTAGATTAATTTTCTGAAATATATTCATAGATTCACTTGAGTCAGTGCTTACAGAAAGAGTTTTGTGATTGGTGTTATCTGAAAAGATTCTGCAGAATTAATGCTGAAAAAAGGTGTGTGCCAATTCTAGACTAAAAATTGTACATTTTAAAGGGCCTGATTTTGAAGGAAAAAATCAAAATATTTTTGATAATATTATTTAATTTTAAAATGTTCTTATAAACTTGTTATGGTTCAGTATGCTGAAGAGTAGCCTTTTTCAAAAGAATCCCTTGATTGTGAAACGGTTAAGAAAATGTTAATGATTGTTGTTGTATTATACAGTTCTGTCCTCACTTGACAGAGGTGTAGATGAATGCATATGGATGTTTCATATCATTCATAAAATTTCAATTGTTTGATGAGAACAATGGCTTTCTGCAAGAGCCATATCCATTTTTAAGGGTAAACATTCAATCATTCAATCCACATTGTAGGCTGAAGCACTGACGGCATTTTGCCATTCTGCAGTGTACTTAAGTAAAGTGGCATTCATAAAAGGAGTGGTTTGCGTATATTTGTGATTCACTGATATCTGAGCAATCTACTGATTTAGCGTGTTCTCCTTCCTGGAGAGCATGTGTTGCGGTGGGGTCTGGCACGCCACCCCCTTGTTGCTGGGCGGGATCCTTTGGATAGCCATTAGCAAGGATTGGGTAGTTTCCTGTTACTAGGGAAATTTTGATGTTGCCAATTAAGGGGAAGGGCTAGAAGGTTTTAAATGAAGATACGCAGCACTGACTGTTCTCTTTGCTGCATGCATCGGAACACCCGCCCACCCTCCCTAGGTATTGGTCTTTGCATTGACCTTGCTATGCCTGTCATGTGGTCGTCTGCTTTTGGGGCAGGGGCCTGGTAGGAATTTTGTCCAGTTGGCTGATTGGCTGGTGCCATCTGGTTTTTGCCTACTGCGTAGCAAATCGTCACAATTTGTAAGGTTGCGGTTAGGCATTGGTTAAAAAATTGGTTGGTGGAGGGGTATGGATTGGTGGTGCCTGCCCCTCCAATGCTGCTGCTGCAAGGGAATTCCATTAAAGAAATCTAGGGGCTTGCCATCCTTTCGTCCAAATCCCTGGTTGGGGCTTGGGCCGCGCAAGCTCCTGGGAGCATGCGGGGGGAGGTGAGGGTCTGGTGCCCGGCTCCATGCTCTCCCCAATATTGTTTTCCCCGACTGGCTTTTGCTGGAATCCTGAAGTCAGTCCTGTCCCGATGGCGGTGACAGATAGCCGGAACCAATGCCTAAGCAACCACTCACCTTTATGTATTTTCATAAATTTGTGGCCAAAATTATGCCAAAAACCTTAAACAAAATTATGTGTGAATTGTGATGTATTTGTGGGTGGCTTGTGGGACCTTGACACGCAAAGTGGGGCAGTCCTGTACATATCTACTGAACAGCAGGTCCCAATGAGTTCAGTCTGAGATAATTAAGATAACACCTAAAATCTTTTTCTGTTTTTGATTACATTAGGTAACTAATGCATCTTGGTTGGTCTTCAACCTTTCTGCACATTTGAGTAGAGTAGATTTATATCTTCAGGATGATATGGCTTAGGAAAAATGAAATGAGCTGGTTAATGTAAAATGATGATGATGCTTCAGGAAGCAATTACAGTGTTTATAAGGGAGACAGAAAGAGTGGTCTGTTTTGGATCTGTGTGCCTTGGATTTATTTGGGCAGCCACGTATGTTTAGATGAACCATATTAGAGAAGCTTTTTGTTGTTTTTAGATTCAAAGAGGAAGTATAACTCAATATTGCCAGTTTACATATCATTTTATAAAGAACAGATAATGAAAGACAACATTCTATGAGATTCAATAATAAACCTCTTAACTCATCTTAGGGCAGTGCCTTTATTAGGCTAAAATGTCGCAGAGTAGTGTGCAAGCTTATGAGTTTTCTATAAATCTTCATCAGGCTAGAGTAACAAAGCAAGAGGGTTGGGGGATGGGTAAGTGGCTGGTGATATAAAGTCATGGATCTCAGACTGCGGTTTGGTAAATCTTAAGACAGAATGTGAGAAGAGGCAGCAGATATTATTCTGTGATATTTCGGCTGGCCTAATAATGGTATAGCCTTAAGACGGATTTTTAAATTCAGCATTGCTACCTTTTTGTGTGACATGAAAAATATCAAATATAAGCAGTGGAATCCTAAACTGTGATCTTATATAAACTTTGCAATTCTATTCTTTGACTGAATACTCCTTCCATTTTCTAGGAAAGGTGCCCAATTTGGTTTAGAGTTACTTTTAAAATTATCTTATTAAGACCTGCTGTGTTGGGGAGGGATCTATCTATCCATCTATGTGACCCCCAGCTTTTAGGAATATATTCCTTGCTTAATATCCCTTAAAACCTCCCAAACTCTGTCATGCTTATGCTTCGGGTCATGGCAAAATACTGGGAGCTACTGCAAATAAAATAGGGGTGAACAGCCTAGCGCTCAGGAACTGAAAGTAGCCCTCCATACCTTTCTGCCTAGCCACACTACTTCCTCAGGACATGCCCCTTACCCCAGTTCTACTCCACATCCTCCTTGAGTCTGTTTGGCTGTGTGGAATGCATCCTTGAATTGGAATAATGCTTCCTGCCTGGTAGGGCTGGGCGATATATCAATATATTGTCCAAAACCAGTTTGAAGTCCAAGTCATGATATTATTTGATCTAGCAGTATATCATGACTCATGATGTGTGTGCTATGCAAAAGTCACAATGTGGGGAAAACTATGAGATTTTGATTCCTGCAGCCCCTGTTAACTCTGCTTGCTCAGCTCTTCCCTGCCTCTTGCAGAAGGGAGAGAATCACAAGAGCAGGCACCAGCAAAAATTAGGATGTGGGGGAAACCATTAAGCCTGCCAATGCCCCTACAAAGTTTCAGACATTGTGATATATCAGTATATCACAGTATTCAAAAACCAGATATCGCCCAGCCCTACTGCCTGGTTCATATATCTCTAGACAGAGTGTAGTGTTTGTGTAGCTGGAATGCAGCCTGCTGCTGAAAGGTAAGAGTTGCATTCATGGTTTCACCCTCTTTGACCCCATCCACCATTGGCATGTGGTCTCTGGAAAGTTTCCCTACAAGAGAATGTGGCCCACAGGTTGAAAAGGTTCCTGAAATAAAACAATAGTATCACTCTTGATAAAGTATTCTATTTAGTGGGCTTTAAAGAGTTAAGGACAGTCAACAACCACAAAGGTTACAATCCTATACACACTTGACTAGGAGTATGTCCCATTGTGGGCTTACTTTTGAGTAGATATGTATAGGATTGCATTGTAAGTGCACGTGACATAAGCAAATACTTGCAAATAAAATAGCGAATGGGTACACAAAATCTGAGTACACAAAATACTCTGGCAGGAAAAACTCAAAGGAAAAGTAAGATTTATGCTGGGGGTTAGCACACCCTAGATGCCAAACATGTCTTAAATAATGTCTAGTTCACATCTTAAAAACAGAACCTTTTTCTTCCTAAACTTCTTCACTGATAGTCTGTACACAAAGGAGAGCCATATATAAAGAAGGAAAGAGAAACTTGACATGCCATACTTCCAGCATGCTGCTGGCAGAACTTTCGAACTGCGAAAAATTAAAATGGCCAGCTAGAGAACTGTTTATTTGTAGCAGCAGCTTTACATTGCATATGCTCTATTATAAGACTGCTAAGTGTATGGACTGGCACAAGCACATTGTGTGTAAGGTTCTCCATGCTCCTCAGGCAATCCAAATGGGAAGCAGCTTTCAAACATTAGGGGACCAAAGTGCCCCACCATAATTAAAAGGTTGCTTTCAGTGATATGGGGCAGCCCTAAATTATGCCCACAAAACACAGTGTATGTTTATGCTTATTTCTATCACTTGGTTTAAGCATGCTTAATTAAGTGTGGGATTGCACCTAGTCTCAGTAGAAATGAGAGTTTCGAATTCAAGATAATTCATTTTTCTGTTGCACAAGACAAGCGTAGCTTCATATCTGAATTGTGATTAAAAGTTGGCAATAAATGAAGATAAATTGTACATAGTAAAGAGATAAGGCAGATCTTCTAATTTGTTGTTGTTTGGAGTAATTGCTTTAAAAATTATTTTCTATTACATTGATTAAGATGTTTATCACTTCCAACAGCTGACAAACTGTCTGCTTTCCTTGTTCAATTAATCTGTACATTGTAGAATTAAAGTGTAAGGTTTTAGAATATCAAATGATGTATTTATGTGTAGTTTGGCATTTTTATAAACTTCAAGCTATTTAAATATGGACTTATTTATGAGCCTCCTGACATGTCACCTTATTGTCATTATGTAGATAAATAGTAGTATAATATCCTGTCCTAATAATATAGCAATAGTATATCTGACACTACTTGAATACACTCATTAGCAAGACTACACAAAAGCTACATTTTATTGCACAAATGAACCCTGAGATTAAGTATAAATTGTGAAATGTATATGGATGTGCATGATGTGAACCAATGAACTGTGGCCTGAAATGATGTCACAAAATGCGCAGCATTAAGTGGAAGGTTAAACCTACTTGCATCTCGGTTCATTAAACGCAGTTAAAGTGCAAATTCCCTCATTCTGACAGTAGTAATCACAAGGGTTCACTTTCTGGTCACAGCGCTGACTTTTAAATCCCACAGAGCATCTGCAGAATTTCAGTAAAATACAGCTAAATAAATAAATATTCTGCCTTTTTTTGCCGAACATATTTTAAATGCATAGATAGTAGATAGATAGATATACACATTTGATGCTAAAAACGTACAAGGAGAAAATATGCTCAGCATATCTATCTATGCACTAATTCAAGTGGGTACAAAGAGCAGTTATAACATATACTATGTAATTAAAGATGCCAATCACCCCTCTATCATTTCCAGTTAAAACTCTGAAAACTGTCAAAAACCCAAAAAAAAAAAGACCTGGATCAGCAAAAAATTCATTACCACCACACTTGGTAAGAAAAGAAGATAAAATGGCACAAGGAATTGATTGGGTGTAAAAATGTTCTAATGATTGTCAGATACAGCAGCATACTCACAGACAGACGGGTATGTTTGTCTCTGGATCCAACTGACATATACCACCATTGTAGCAATAACCATCACATAATTGACAACTGGATGCAATCTTTCCATTTGTGCAGCTATAGGGGAAACATCATTACTGTTAGATACACTATTACTGTTGAATGCAGATTCTAGAAACCAAAGTCACTACCAACCCATGTTGTTTACATTGTCAGTTATTTGATTGTACAAGGTTGAAAAAAAGATAATGCATAGGAAGGTCAGAAGCCCTTGGATAATAAATAAATATCCAAAGATAAGCAAATTGTTCATATCTGGATGGTCCTGACAGTTCCATAGTAAAACACATGCCAATTATCCTAATTGTGTGATATGAAAACAGCAGACTGACTTACTCATGCCCAGGTCCTTATTCTGAGTTGAATGATTGAAGGATGTGAATTTATATCCAGGTAAGAATCAGAAGTCACTGATTAATATGTTACATTTTTAGCAGTGAAGTGAAAGGTACTAATGATTTTCATCCCTCCCATTCACACAGACACACACACACAATTTCCTGGGATATTTGTTCTTTTTGCCTTCTGGCTTGTTTTGAATCTCTGTGCTGATCGGAACAATTGGTATATATGTGTATTTTAAAATCTCATATATATGGCACCAACTCAAGTTCAAGTACATTTGAACCACAGACTTGATACACAAGAAGTCAGTCATACTGTGTGCCACTGTTTTGATACATGTTGATTAACTGTGCATGCATTGCACTGTTAAAATATTTTCCTCCTATTTAACTATTTATCATAATGTAGACTTACTTGCACATTATGTCATCGCTTTCCTTGTCCAGAATGCACTGCCCTCCATGGCATTTTATACATTTGTCTGTTTCACACTTTGGACCTTCATATCGTAGAGGACAGACACATTCTACATTGCCATCATCAGCAATGGTGCAGGATTCAGAATTAACACAATAATGATGGCAAACATCTGCAACGAATGAACATTTTATATACTACAAGTAATAAAAATAGGATACCGTATATTGTTAAACACAGCATCTGAATAGATTGATTATACCAACAGCTTCTCTTGCAACACAAGGCAGTTCAATAAGTTAGCCAATGGTCTTTTTTCATTTATGACAAATAAGTCTTACCACTATTCCCTGAGTAAGCATTCAGTTTGGCTCACTGTGGTTGGCATGACCACAGAGTTCCATTGGAACTGCCTTTTCTATTACCTTTTTACCTGTTGGGCAGATGTGACAGGAATCACTAGGAAGACCAACTATTTGATTTTCAGAAGATTGCTAAATGCACAAACCCTGTGTCTTCAATCTACAGATTTGGGTTTTCTTTGGACAAACATGGGTATCACTTAGGTGTCAAGTAAAATCTTCTTCCATTAAGCTCCCCACTTATATACCTCATCAAACCCCTCCTTAATGCAGGCCCATCCATAGAATTTGAAAACCCACTTAACATCTACCCATATTTTTCGCTGTGTTTGGCTAGTTGACACAGCTCCAACGATTTCCTCTACCTTCCACACTACTCTCAAGGATTGCCCTAACATTTTCCATTGCTACAGGATCAGCTATCAAGAGCTAGAATAGGGAAACTTTGCTTACATGGCAGTCGTCTTGGGTTTTAAAAACACAAGGCTATGCTCAAACCACTTTGCTTTCTCTTATAGACAAGGGCTTATTCTCTTCACTGTCTGTGAATGTGTTTATTATAATTGCTGTCCTGCATATATAATATATGGCAAATTTACATTAGTTACTGTGCATTTAGTTTGTATGGACTTTCTCTTATAATAAGTCATGCTTTTGTGTTAGTCTGTGAGAGTGTGTAAGTAAGGGGTTGCATAGGTACACATTTAGGACAGTGTACAGTGGTTTCTACACACAAGCTGAGGGATTGTGACTGGCCCAAGGTCACCCAGTGAGCAGAAATTTGAACCCTCACCTCCCATCCTCACTGTATACCACACTGACACTCTCTCTCAAAATTTTGATTTAAAATTTTACTCCACTCCTATTTAAGGGCTAATACTACTGGCCTGCATTACAAGATTATTGTAAAATTACTCCAACAATGCATGAGGAACATACTAAGGCCATAATGGTGTTGTAAGTGTTGTTTATTATAATGAATAAGTGATAAGCTACATAAGCCTATTTGGAGGTAATTGTTCTCTACTATAAACCACAAAGTCTAATATATATCTAGGCAACAACTGTTTACAATAAATAATTTTCAAATCCTTGGAAGCTTTAAATAAATAACACCCCTTCCTTCTCCTTACTTTTATTTGCTCATTAATGGATTTAGTTTATCTGAAATATGCTGTTATTTTAGACTATGTCAGCAGACATTCAAATCTGATAATCAACACACAGTGTAGCAAGTACCCTTAAATTTACATTTAAATGAATTCTTTTTTAAAAAATGATGTTTGCAGAAGCAGTCAACCAGAAACAATTTGTCTGGCTTTTGAGTAAGCCTAAAGTAAATATTTTTTTTCTTAATCTGCGTGTCTGTCTGCATTGATTTATGTACTATATTGTTTTCAAATACCCAACTGAAGTTATTTTAGGATCCATAGAGTTTATTCAATACCAATAAGAAAAGAATCACCATTATTGCTGGGGGGTTTTCATTAAAAGCTTTGTATTTATTTAATAGTCTGCCTACTATAAATGTGCTCAATGAAAATTCTATTTAAGATGCATGTGATTTTCTTTCTTTTGCTGTTTGACAGATCTTGTTATACAAATGAAATACTTTAGTATAATATAATAATTCATTGTATCAGAACTGTTCCAAGGCTTTCTTCTGGCTCTTCCAATTTTACAGTATTTGTAAGAAAAAATTAAATACTTCATGGCTTTGAATCTTTTTATTAGTTTACAACTTTGTTTTTGCGCTTTTTATTAATGGTGCATGTTGTGATTTAAATATGGGCATAGCCAGGATTTTTGTTGCGGGGAGGCAGAACCTCAGATTTGTATGGATTTTGATTGATTTAGGTGGGCAGCTGTCCCCCCTAAATTATGGCTGTAACGAGTTACATGCCATGATGTGGATACAATTAAAAATATAAATAAGAGCCTCCTCTTTGAAGGTTATGAAAACAATGCAAGGCACAGAAAGCGCTTTCTCAGAGGGTGGCTCAAAAAACTCTGGAATGCTTTGTCCAGGGTGTATTCATTCCTGCTTATTTTAGAAAGCTTTGTAAAGCTGGTTTCAGCAGGCCTTTAGGGAGCTTTAAAATTGTACGCAATAGCACTGGCTGCTATTTTGATTGTCTGATTAGGGTAGCTTTTATTACAACATAAATTTTCATTATATAGTTTTATTCTGGGTGTTGGCTGCCCTGAAGTGTCTAGAAGAAGCTGTCATTTTTTAAAATAAAAAAATGCAGTTGGTGTAGGTTGCTATTCATGTTTTAAACTTGCAAAGCTTTAGGTTTGCTGCCTTATATTGATAATACTTACAATATTGGCATCTGTCACCAGTATATTCAGGCTGACAATGGCAACGGGGCTGATTTCCAGCAGTGACAGTGCAGGTCCCCCCATTTTGGCAAAAATTATCACAAACTGTTTTGTTGCAGTTTGGACCTGTAAACCCCACTGTACAGCTGCATGTAGGCCTTCCTGGAAGACAGAAATTGAATTTGTAAAACTATGTATGCATTTTTGACTGAAAAACATATAAGTGCAGTTAAGAAAAAAAAATGTATGTTACAGACCAATTATCATTCATGCCATGTGCAACTAAACATTTTATAATTACTACTCAAATAAAGGAAACTTAAATTTAATAACATTAGCAGAAAGAATAACAGCAGACCCATAAGTGAAATGGAGGAACAATAAGTGATTTTGGCCCCTGTTTCTGTTACGCAAATATAAAATTCTAAATTTTCTTCTTGAATTCATTTAACATTTAAGGGTTATGAAGTATGGTTGTGTGTGTGTGTGTGTGTGTGTGTGTGTTTGCTGAACAGAATGCACAGGGCCTCAATGAGGCACTTCTTGATTAGGGATCTAGTGTCTTAAATGACAGCCAATTCATTTTAAATGTGTGCTTCATTATTACAAAATAAGCAGCTGGAACTATGATACAATGTTGTAGTATCCCTACCCCCTAAGACAGCAGAGAAGGACCTAATGAGGCACACTGGGCAAACTACACTCACTAAATTACTCTGGTGGTATCACCAACCACAATACTGTAGAGGAGTCTGCCCCTTATGGCACTTCTAGCTTGGTGGACTCAATGCCCTATTTCACTTAGTGATTGTTTATATTCTTTCCTTTCTACCGAGTTTCCATTTATGCCCACTCTATCAATGATGTCATCCAAGACCAAGGTCTCCACTTCATCCATCTTGGTATAGAGGCTTCTAGCATTAGCATATACAGACTTATACACAGTGTCTCCCTTCAAGGGATAAAAATGAGAGCTTTCTATAGAAATAAGTGGAGACTTGTGCTGCAGTTTGGATTGGGAATCAGTGTGTCCACCATTCCCTCACAAAAAGCCTTCTGCAAAATGTGAGGTTCCCCTGAGCCGCCTCCTGCATCATGGGTGTTTCTGTTTTGGGCACACAGGTGTGATAACTGGTAACAAAATATAAGATTATAGCTTCAACATTCAATCCTATGCATGTGTACTTAGGAGTAAGTCTCATTCAGTTCAATGGTACTTACTCCCAGGTAACTCTGAGCTCCTACTTCTCCGTGATCCCCTTTCCCTCTCAGCTCCTCATACCACAACTGACCCCATTTAATAGATCTCTGTCCTTTGAGGAATTTACATGTCCATGGGTTATCAAGGAGAGTAGGAGGCAGGACAGTCAGCTTCTGCCCTCCCCCTATTTGTTACAAATGTGTGGATCTAATCCTACATGTTAATGAGTTCAATAAATTCATTTCTACTGTTGTATTTTGGACACTAATTCTTGAAAAAGTAAAGTACATTTTTCATAAACTTTTGCTATTGTTAGTATTGCAGCTTTAGGTTTTAATTATGTTTGTCAGAGCTACACTTTTAATTAACAGATGACATTTTCTCTGGTCAGTTATAATAGTTCAATACAACTGTCACAAATTTATACATTTTAATTAAAACTACCCCAAACTCTACTTACATGTTGTCCACAGAGGAATTTACCAAAGGGCTTAACTGTAAGTAAACCACTAATGAATAAATCTAAGAGTTGCCGGTGAGATTTGTTTAACAAATTAACATTGGTGTCCAGATAATGAAGATCTATAATTTACAAGATTGTGTAGCACAATTTTAACCCCCAGCACACTATGAATATTAACCTGCAATTTGCTTAATTGTTTACTTGTTGTTATACCAAGTAATATGTCTGATCCACTGATCGACAGGTGCAGTATCATTTGTAGACCTTCCTGTTCTACCTGACATGAAATGGGAAAGGGCCCCTGAATTGCATTCCTGTCTCCAAAGGGGAAACCCTTTTAATTAAGCCTTGCTGCCGGTTTTGGGTGCTCTATACTCTATTCGCAACATTTTTTTCTTGGGGCACATTGGAAGAATCCATAGATATGGAAGCTATTCCTGTGCATGTATATTCTTTTATCGGGATTATTTATTCCTGTATAATGCATGTGCATTTGGACATTCAAAATTGTGTATTTCATCAACTACTAACCTTTCACTGAAAAATGGTAGAAATACTCACCAAGGACAGAAGCTACACAGGTTCCTCCATTTTGGCAATAGTTGTTACAGTGGTTAGTTTCACATCTTTCCCCTGAATAACTTGGCCAACAGTAACATCTTTGATCACCCTTTTCATTAATAACACACCTTCCTCCATTTTCACAAGTCAGCTTACATGTATCATCTGTACTTAAAGCATAAACATGCAGATCAAATTCCTATAAATGTTAAGCCAGGCATTGAAAGGAAATGAATGCTAGAATGATGTGAATCATGTGAGCTATAAGCATTTCAGAAATCTTGCAAAAATGTGCATATTTGCCTTTACAAATAATGTATGTCAGCTACTTTTCACCTTGGCAAAAATATGCATTGATGCAACAGGAATGATTTTGTACATTAGTGCCTCCTAACACATTTACATTTCCATATCCATAACATGATATGGCTGTAGGAAATAATAATATTTCTTGCTCTGATCTATTATACGATGACTGAAATGAATGTGCAATCTCAGATTTTAGCAGAGAAGCACAAGTCAGAGTTAACACTTTTCAATTCTCCATGCATTTCATGCAATTTAGTAAGTTTTTTCTGAAGTTGTTAAAGTTTTTGAAATGTTAGTTTTTCAAAACTCATCCATTCGTTCAGGCCTAGGCAAACTCAGCCCTCAGATGTTTTGTGACCAGTGGTCAGGGATGATGGGAGTTGTAGTCCCAAAACATCTGGAGGGCCAAGTTTGCCTATGCCTGCATTAGTTCTTAGACCTTTATATACAAAACCATAGGAACTGAAATTCTGCAAGGTTCTCCTGTTGGCCATTTGCCAAAAAGGAGACAAATAAGTTAGTAGCTGTACATTCATAATCTTATTCACCTTTTCTTGAGTAAATTATAATACCCACCTAAAATGCTCAAATCACAGCATGTTCCATTAAACAATGACTTTCCCTCAGGACATACACAAGCGGCACCTGAAGGGTTGAGTAAACAGAGGAACTCGCAGGTAAACTCCAAACAAGGATTGAGTGCTGTTTGAAGAGGGAGGAAAATCAGAAATGCATAAATGAATTATTTCTGAAATAAAGAATAAACAAATATGCCAAGGCCTTAAATTAATTAAGAGTCATGCCCTGAACAAATCTCTATGAATCAACTTGTGCTTTATATAATTAGCAATGCATTTAATTCCAGAAATAGTATTTTTGTCAGTGAATATTTTCTAAAGCAATCTGCTGTTCTATTACTATTTTAATAAGTATTAATAACAGTCATCAAGTAATTAAGATTAATGTTCCTTTAAAATCCTGTGACGCAGAAACTCCGATACAGAAAAATGACAGGTTGGAGAATTTTCTACTTAGAAAACAATCCAGTCAAAAAAATTTTTAAGTGTATAACTTGGGTTTCGGCTGGCACCTTTGCGCCTCCCCTACTCGCGGGGAAACCCAGTTTCGGTGATCCGGAGCGACGTGGGGTGAGTGGCGCGGTGCTTCGAATCGACTGCTTTTTTCGCGGAGTGAAGCCGCATTGCTGTTGCCGGAGAGCGCTGACTTTTTCCTGTGGACAATTGGACTTTAAACAACTGCCCGTGAGTAGAACGCAAAATTGGATCTTCAAATAATTTAATTTGGCACCGAAACGGGGAAGGTTTTAAACAGGAAGTCCGCCTTCCTCTTTTTTGTAAATAGATTGAAGCAAAGACGTTATAAGCTAAAGTCTTTGGAAGCTTTTGGCAAAGGATTGAATTTTCATCGGTTAAAGTTACAAAAACCCCCCTGGAAGCAGGAGAAGGGGGGGGATTTTGGACTTAGCGTGCCTGCAGGAGGGAGTGAAAAATCAAATTATCACTGCTCCGAACCTCGAAAAGGGCTGCCAGAAAAAGGGAAATTTTGGGAGAGTTCATTGACTGTGAACAGAACATTTTTGACAACTAGTTATATAAGAGAAAGATACTGTTTCCATTGTCCTCTTCTGCGTTTAAAAGAGGAAAAGTAACTGGAAAGTGAAACTATTTTTATGGTCTGAATTGTGCTTGAAAGGATTGATACAAGTGGAGACTGTTTCCCTCTAGAGGAGTTTTGAAACTGTCACAGGACTGCACCAGCTGTATGATAAGTAAGTGGGAGAACTAGAGTTTGACCTTGGACCACTCAAAATGTTGATAGGAGAAACCATTGTGACGGTATTATGTAAAATAAGATATTTGCTGGAACAGCTCCATAAGAAGACAGATGACACTTCTTTTAAAATTGACAATTTGGACCAAAAAGTAACTAATTGGAGTCAAAAAGTGAGCATCAATACAGGAACAATTCAGGACTTGGCACAAGAATCTGCTTTGGTTGGACAGATTGCGGAGGAGAAAGAGAAAGCTGTGGTGGCTGAGCCTAAACTAATACAAGTGGGATTTTCAGCCACACAGAAGCAAATTGAGGACTACAAGTTGAGGCCTTCTACGATTGAATCTAGAAAAAGTCAGATTTTGAAGATTGGATCCCGGCTTGGACGGAAGAAGGAAAGTTGGAAAGATCCTTCTATGCAGGGATTAACTGACTTTTGGGACATGGACTTGGGTTTGGAGGAGACTGCAGTTTTGGGGGCCTTGGGACTTGGAGGAATATTGAAACATGTCATGAAACATCTTATAGACCTCAGCCTTAACTATGGAAATTTGGCTGACTAGTCCGTCAAAGTGTATTGATTTCAACAGGAGGCATTAAAGCACATGACCGACAACACAATCATATACCTGTCTCTCCAGATTAAGTTCAATGGGACTTGCTTCTGAGTTGAGATGTTTAAGACTGCATTGTATCTCTCTTAATTATATAACTGGGCAACCATTGCATAAATGAAAACAAAGCTGAGGCCCCTAAACCTTGAGCTGTGGTCACATTTCAGCTGCATGGGCTGTGGTACTGAGGAGCATTAGCTTCGGTATTTTGCTGCATATATTTACTTACTTGTAGCATCATCCTAGACCCTTTCTCCTAATGCTTTAATATCTGTATGTTCCTCCTTTTGTGTACTCATCTCCACAGTTATCATGCGGTAAAGGTAAAGGGTAAAGGGACCCCTGAGCATTAGGTCAAGTCGTGACTGACTCTGGGGTTGCGGCGCCCATCTCGCTTTATTGGCCGAGGGAGCCGGCATACAGCTTCTGGGTCATGTGGCCAGCATGACTAAGCCGCTTCTGGCGAAATGGAGCAGCGCACGGAAACACCGTTTACCTTCCCGCCGGAGTGGTACCTGTTTATCTACTTGCACTTTGACGTGCTTTTGAACTGCTAGGTTGCCAGGAGCAGGGATCGAACAACGGGAGCTCATCCCGTCACGGGGATTCGAACCACCGACCTTCTGATCGGCAAGTCCTAGGCTCTGTGGTTTAACCCACGGCGCCACCCGCGTCACAGTGCCACCCGCATCTATCATGCGGTAGGGCTGAGCATAACACATGAGGAATTATAATATTTGATAGAAGGCCATATAAATATCTGAAGCTCTCCAACTGGGTTCTGTGCTTACAGAAGTAACTGCATCCAGTTTGAGAATAATAATTTATATTTATTCCACAGTTCAATAGGTGGGCATCAATCACTCTATCTGTTACGTTTCAAGCACTTAGAAATATATTTATAATTAACTAAGAGTATGTTTTAAGACCCTAAATTGTGTATTATCTCTGCTTAATCAAGATCTAAAAGTCCCAGTAGACTTTCAAGAATAAAAAGAACACTAAACCTAAGTGCTTTGGCTAGGTATCAAAATGGGCAATTAGTTTTCCCAACTTAAAATTCTTCTTTCAATATAACTATTGGGAGTAATCTTCACTTTATATGATATGCTGTGGTAAAATAAAAAAAATGATGTATTCTTATGTCTGAAGTATTTATACAGAATAGATTTTTTAAGTTAACGGTGCTTTGTAAAATGAAAGACTTTTTAATTTAAAAGACAGTTTGTTTTTAAAATATTTCAACAATTTTACTTGGAAAATACAATGCAGTCAGTCCAAAGATAAGTTTATCTTAATTAATTTTTTTACGCACATACCTGGCAACTGAATTATGACTATTTACAAGATAACAAAGCCAATTAATTAGCAACATTAAAAGTGCACACCCAACTCTTTGCTGAATATCAATGCTCGATGGGGAGACCCAAAATCAGACGAACTGCATTGAGGAAAGAAGGCAGTTGGTCTTTTATTGCAAGTGTACTGGTTACCTTTAGTTTTTTTCCCCATGAAATGCTTTCTACCCCAACCCCCACCCCTTCTCTTCTCTTCCCCATTTTCTCATCAACCATAATACACTTGGCTACCAGTATCAGTTAAATAGCAATCTGCACCACCCAAAGGCAGATCTAGTGCATCCACTTTTTCCCAGGATGCCAGAAAATAACTCACTTGAGTACACGTTGCCGGCATGCGTAACACCTATGAAGTTGCGTGTTCAGACCCAGAGATCTCCCTTCTAAATAAAGACACATTTGACTCAAATTTTAGTTTTGGTTTTTGGCAGAATTTAGGCCACAACTTTTTTGATTACAGAAAAGTGAGTGGTTGCATAGGCTCTGGCTTGACTAGCTCCCTACACCCTTGCAGGTAGCGCTGACCCAGAGCTCTAAAATGGGTCAGCCAAGGGTGAACACCTGAGGCAGGTGAAAAGCCTGGGAGCAGACTCTGTTCACTCCCCAGATGCTCCTCTGGACTCAGGCACAGGCACAACCCCGTTTCAGGGGTTGACCAAACCAAGTTGAGTCCCTGGATTCCTTTAACGGAATACCCTTCACATAGGGATGGCAAGACCGTTCTCCCATCCCTATCACCTGAACCAGTGCCTATCCGCAACCTAACAAGTTGTGACGATTTGCTGCATGGCAGGTGAAACCCAAATGGCAACAGCCAATCAGTCAAGTGGAGAAAATTCCTGCTGTGCTCCTGCGATTGACCTTGCTATGACAGATGACACAAGACGGCATAGCAAGGTCAATCGCAAAAGGCCCTAAAATTAGGGAGAGGTGGGCGGGTGTTCTGACGCACGAGCCAAAAGAGGAAGTTCTGGGTCACGTGCATGGGTTTATATAGGTCCCTCAGTCCGTTTAGACTGCAACCCCATTGGCCAGATTGAAACCCAGCATCGAGGAAACTACCAACTGGGTGCTGTGGCTATCCAATAGACCCACCCACAACCAAGAGGTCAGTCTCCAGATCTCACCGCAACATGTGCCCTATTTTAGGAGGACACGATCTATAACGTTTTCATATATATATATATATATATATATATATATATATATATATTCAATGTACAATGTCTTAAATTTATAAAGATCTTAAAATATTGTATTGAAAAGTAACAAAATATACTCACAGTATGTTTGTTTGTAGCGATGTGAAATCAAGGCACTTTTTGTCTTATCTGTCTCCGTATTTAGATATTCTACAGAGCCGTGACCAAATTTTTGTACTCTAAATGCACCATTTTTAGGTCCTGCTCCATATATATAATTTTCAAAAATATCAATTCTATGGGGATGGAGTAATCCTTGAAGAAGAACAAATGTGTACATGTCAATTTAGATGCTATCATCTGGTAACAACATATTGCTAGTTGATATAAGCAGAATTTGGCGTGCCCAAGCAATGAAGGATTTACATGATTTCCCTGCTAGAGATCATAGAATCATAGAATCATAGAGCTGGAAGAGACCACAAGGCCCATCGAGTCCAACCCCCTGATAGTCACCCATCAATCTGCTGCAGGATTCTGGAGGAATGTAGCAGGAGACAAAAACTGATTACAGTGGTACCTCTAGTTACGAACTGAATTTGTTCCGGAGGTCCGTTCTTAACCCGAAACTGTTCTTAACTAGTTGCATGCTTTTGATAATGGGGCCTCTTGCTGCCGCTGTGCTGCCGGGACACGATTTCCATTCTCATCCTGGGGCAAAGTTCTCAACTCGAGGTAACTCTTTCAGGTTAGCGAAGTTTGTAACCTGAAGCATTTGTAACCCGAGGCGTTTGTAACTCGAGGTACCACTGTATTTGCAGTGCATCACAGCCCTCATCACAGAGTGCCTTCTTTGCCACTGTTAGGTTTGGCACAGATCTGGTGGATGGTTGAGCTTCTGGGAGGACCACTGTCCTTTGGGCAGGGGGACTCAAGAAGTGTAGTATTCAAGCCTAAGGATGCTAAGGACTTGTAAAGATAGATAGTGGGCGTTCTAGGGACTGTTCCTCTGAGATGTCCCCTTCACTCCATTCCTCTTCTTCCAGGTCTGCCGATTAGAATAGGTCTGTGCCAGGAGAAGGCAGGGTGAGTGGGATTTGGGTATTCCCTGCAGTCCTGTCTCTTCGAAGTTAGAATAGATCAGGGAAAGGAGAAGGCCTGGAATCTCTAGCTTAGCCCCTGAGGGGCACCTTAGATCTAAACAGTTTGTACTGAAGGAGTGGGAGAGGAGCCCATCTCTCTTGCAAAGTGACTGCTTTGTTCAGGCAGGAGCAAAAAACTGATTGGGAGCTTCCCACTTTCCCAGGGAGTTTCTTCTTCTCCCTCATGACCAGAGCCATAGCCCAACCCTGTTATGCCAGGAGTAGATGTTCAAGTGTTACGTTCTAATAGTTTCAAAGACTCATAGATGTACAAATACCCAAGAATATCCTGTTCATATCACAAGCCCTGCACTAAAGAAGAATTTACTTTAGCCTAACTTTGTTTGTCTAAATTATAATTTGAAAACTTGTTTTTCAAGCACAACGACCAAATGCTGCAGACTTATCTATAAAACTAAATGTATTTGCATGGTGTAGTTTAACCAAAGAATCTGGTTTACTGCCTGTAGAATATAAATTACTTTGGGGCAGAATCCACTGGATCCCATTTTGTGCTGCCGTAGAGTGCAATAACCATTTCCAAGACGGTAACTAATTTTAAAAAGATGAAATAAACTTTAAAGCAGTATTTTGATATACGTTGTGATTCAGTTTAGGGTCTGTGGCCACTTGATTCAAATTATACATACCTTGCTTACTGGTCACACATATGACCAAATCAGATCCATCAAAAAGGACACTTCCAATTACAGATAATTCAAAATCAGCCCAGAACAAGCGCTGACTGAAGAGATCAACTACAAGACCTGCAAAAAACAACATTTTTGTCAAAATAATTCTCTTGAAAAATAGTAAGAAAAATAACACATTCTCGCTACATAGCAACAACACAAAAGGCAAACACAGTTTTAGACGTTTGCTTATAAGGTTAGGTTTGTTTATATATATAAGCATGTGTCAGTAATAGTTAAATTTTACACAGAGTAGAGCCATTGAAATTAATGGAGCTAACTTATCCACGTTCATTAATTTCAGTGGGTCCACTCTGTGCAAAAACATCACTGAATACTATCCAGTATTTTTACTCTGTGTCAGTCCTCATATCCAGTACTGCGTAACACCATAAAGTGATCCAAAGAAGATCCAAACTACCTTTACTTTTGCATAACTTTTCAGCACAGGCTATGTGTGATTGAACAAAAATTCCTGGAACCAACTTTAGTTAATAAACTAGCTGAATCTTCTTGCATTATAACCTACTGTCTGTTTGAAACAGATAATTTAATCTGCTTAGCAATGTTGATTTCACTTATTCAGCTATAATCATCCTGGAATTGGTATATATTCTCTGGATTAGGCTTGCGGCTATAATGGGTATGACAACCATCTAGTGCAGACTTTGGTCAAACTTTGATAGAATGACATGCAAAGAACTGTAGTAAGAAGTTCTCAATCATTTCATCCATGCAATATGCTGCTGGTTGCTTACTGTGTGATCTCATGCGTGTCCTTGAGTTCAATGGGACGCACTCCCAGTTAAATGTATAGAGGATTGCAGTTCTAGGTTTATAAATGAGTATTGGAAGATACACTTTCTTTGATAGCAATAAGTACTCTAATTGCTGCATGGTTGATCCATCCATGATAAGAGCACTTATATGGCCAGGTAAGAATAGTAGTAATCAATATTATTGACAATTCTACCACAGAAGAACAGGTACAAGAAGCATATCACATTATTTGGGCCTATTTTAATCTGGCTTATTCCAAGTTTTGGCACTGAACTATGTCTTATAGTAGAAGAAGTGGCAGAGTGGGACCTTGCTCATTCTACTTGATTTTTCAGTGGCTTTCAGTACCATCAGCCCTTCTTCACCAACTCTCTGACGTGGAGGCACATTATCACAGTGTTTCCACTCTTTCCTATGGGACTGGTTCCAGAAAATAGCACTGACTGACCACTTGGAAGTTGTAGTGCATGATCCCTCAAAGATCTAGTCCCCCATGTTATTTAATATATATATATGAAACTGTTGGAAGTGGTCATAAAGAGATTTGGTGTGAGCTGTCACCAGTACATATGTTTATGACACCCAGCTCTATCTACTGGAATAATGTGAAACACTGCAGGTGCTTAATCGGTGCTTGGAGGCTGAATGCGGGCTAATAAACAGAATCCTTGATTCTTCTACTTCCCCCATGCTATCCTGTCTGCAACTTGAGATTCACCAGGGAGACCATTTATTCCATCATCTAACAAATACGGTCTCTTAATAAGGCCTTTTTGGTGTTTGCACTCAGATTGTGGAGCACACTTCCCCATAGATTAGAACGGTGACAGCATTAGCTAGTTTTTGGTGTCAGGCGAAAATATTTATTTTGGGCTTTTACATAAACAACGTTGGTCTTTGTATCAGAGTGTGACAACTAGGGGATGATGTATATTATTTTACATAGTGATGCGTTTGCTAAATATTTTATGTTTGATTTTATGTTGCTGTATTTTTGTCTTGTTGTGTGACCTGCCCTGAGATCATCTATTGATGAAAGTTAGGAATCAATTAATTAAAGAACATTCCCTTTTCCCCTTCTTGTTTTTTTCATTGGCTTGCTGCACTGCAGAGCTAAGGTCCCTTTGGATACTGCAAACCTCTATATATAATTCACACCAAAAAAAAATTGATGAGAAGCTACCTCTATTATTATTGTGTGTCTGCTAACATAGTGTTGATCCTATGCACATTTCTTCACAGTTTATAAATATTAGCATTTCTAAGACAGGTGGAAAACTTTTGTCCCTCCAGATGTTGCTGGACTGCAATTCCCACTGTCCCTGACCATTGGCCAGGCACACTGGGGGTGATGGGGGCTGTAGTCAAACAATATCTGGAGGTCCACAGCTTCCAAGAACAATGATGAACTGTGCCTTATCAGCCTGTAGGCAATGACATTACAGTGAAATCTAATAGGCCATGGTTTAGTAAGGAATGATTAAATGATTACTTTGATGATCTGAGTCATGTTAAGAGCTGCAGATGGTAAAAACATTTGAACCATAAAATGGTTTAATTTCTTGCTGCTGCTGTAACAATTTGACATTTTATAAGAATGAAAGGGTTTTTTATTATTTCTACTGAGGTAATAAGTGTAAATCAAATACTGCAAGTTATATATAGCAACAAAAGATCATCTTCTGAAAGTACAAAATTGATCTTCCACCTGGAGAAAAAGAGGAAATTGTGAAAGGCTTAATTCTGGATAGGTGAAAGAGATACATATCTGCAGCCTCAAAAAATGACAGGGGGACAAAAGGAAAGGAATGATGCCATCCGGTGCAGCACACAGTGGTCCGCTGAATGGGACGTAATGCAGAATCAGCACCTTCACCACCTCTGAATGAACTACAGAATGTCTTAATTATTCTTAGCTGAATTAGAATGCATTAAACATAATTCTAATTCAGGTCAGAATATTTAAAATATATCAACCATTTTTAACTCACGTAGTACGTGTATCCTTGTGACAGATTGAAAAATCATTTAACACATCGAGTCTTTGGAAAAGAATTTACTTAAGAGAGGGTATAATAAATCAATGTTTTCTGTACCTGTTGGTCTTTGCAAATTTTTTTGTACTAATATCCTCCTCAAGGTCCCATCCATTGCTGCTTCTTCTATGTGAGAATGGTCTCCAATTACTGTCCAGTACATCATGCTGGAAAGACCAAATACGAAATCACATTCTACTGACAAGCGTACATAATGCTAAATAGAAGAGGATGCCAACTGAACTTTGTCACCAACTAAGAATGCAAACATTTTCTTTTGAACATCAACTCCAGTGGATCAGAATAACGTCCTATATGCTGAACATTAAATGCAGATGCCCTAGCATTTACCATAATCATGTAAAGGCATCTTGCACTCTATAAATAGGAGGGCCCAAACCTGTACAAGCAGGCATTCTATGGCAGCAGTAAAGAGTACAGAGAGTGATTTGGTTCAGCACTGTGCAAAGTATATCTCATATTGGCACAAATACATTATATCTAGAGACCCATTGGATGTTGTTTGCCAGTGAGTAGCTTTGATCATTCATGGTGATGTCTCTGCCACCATATTGTGACACTGCCTGGCAATGACACAAGTGATGCTTACCATGCAATTGCCAGTCAGTGGTGACCTCTTAATACATTGTGTGTTCCCTTGTTCACTACTGTGTTTCCTCCTGAGCTGCTATCATTTAAAGATTTCCTTGGCTAAGATCACCAATTTGTTGTTGATGCATGCTTTGTTTTTCCAGGTACATTCCAGTTTGGTTGAATTAATCACATTCTCTGCTAGTCTAACTTTGAGGGGTGGGGTTCTGTTAAATAAATGTGCATGATTCCTGTGTGCATATTCTCTTCTTGCCTCTGGCCGGGATCCAAAGATCCATCCTACAAGTTCCACATTTTCAACTGGGCTTTGGGTTGCTGTTTCTTAAACAGCACTACCCAGTATGGTATAGGGAGTCTGCTGTTCAACAACAACAACAAAAATCCTGTAAAATAATTCTACTAAACATCTGTGCTAGTCTGAAGTAAGTTCTCTGGAGCCCCACTTCTGTCACTAGAATTGTGTCTGTTTCTAAAAGTGAGGTCTTTCAAAAAACTTTTTTAAACTTCATTTAAAGATTGAGTAGGACCTATGTGACTCAGGTGAACCACTTAACATATTGTTCACATAGGCTGTTGTGTACAGGACATGTCTTAGCATTGGCTGAATATGCAGCTTAGAATGTGGAGGAAATATGTGTAACAATTATTTTCCTCATTCTGAACAAAAGTCATCCAAGACACAGAAACCACACTGAATGATCTAGTAAGATAAATTTCCTAAAGCCAACGATAACATGTACAAAGTTAGGTTTTAAACTCATAGAACAAAAATAGATCAAAGGTCTTCTTAACAACCTACCCTTTGGGAGGATTTACTGCAATAGCATATGGTTCTCCTGCCATATTTGTAAGGAGCCTTGTGCAGTTTGGTCCATTTATCTGTCCTACATTGATGGAATATCTTAAACTTGTCCAGTGAGTTGTATAATAGCTGAACCAGTGCATTCTAGAATGATCAGTCCAGTAAATATTTCCAGCTATCCAGTCAACAGCAATATCTCTAGGCCTTTTGAATTCAGGACACTAGGAAAAAACACATCAGATTTTAAATTTAAAATGGCATACATTTCTCATATTTTAAAACTAACATTTTAATACTGAGTTCAAATGAACGTTTGAAATAAAGAATTGAAAAGGCGTTAATTTCAATAGTCTGCAATATCATACAATTAAACATGGAAAGATCAGTATCAACAAAAATCTTCTGTGGTTTAACATCAGCAGTCACCAAAGCTTCTCCTCTCCTTCTTTTTTTGCAAGTTCCATATGACTACAATAAATTGCTGTAGGGAAAATATGAATAATAGGTAGGAGGGTTGCCAGATGGTTGCTTTGTGATATGTCACAATCGGCAAGCTTTCCATCGCACAGCACAACAGGTAGCTATTTAGGCACCTGTGCTTTGTGGTGTCTGGAAAACATTCATTATGGATTTTGCTAATAACTGTAAATGAATAATTGGCAGCTACTGAGGTACCATGTAGCAGCAATGAAGCAGTCGGGAGGTGGAACCCAACTGACAATGAAAGCAAGGCAGACAACAAGTAGCCCAAAAGTGGGATGATGGAGGAAAAGTCTAGTGAAATCTTCAGGTGATGAAAGAGCAAATGGGGTACAGCAGCTCTGTATGCAAAAGCATAGAAGAGTAGGTAGCAGTCCCAGGAAGATCATGTTTGCTCAGCTCACTAAGTTTAGACACTACCAGACAAGCAGTTCAGGAGCCCAGTTTTTCATTGTAGGGAGCATAATTGGTAAAGAATATTCCTTGAAATTGCAGATCGTTCTATTTCAAGCCTGCACATTTTGTGGTCCAGCAAATGGTTTTTAGCCTACTGGTGTTATATTTTGATCTGTCAAAATACTTAACAATTTCCTTTTTGCAATTCAGCCAAGTAGAAAAAACGGATATTTTATTTTTCAAGTTCCTGATGGTTGTATAAAGCACAGGGTAGACGTGCTTTATCTGATGATCAGACCCCAAACTAAGTATTCTTGTTTATAGTCCTGATCCTTCCCCTAGAATGTTTCCCTCTCAATTTTTCAGGTATACCACTGCTAGTGAGCGTATTATATTGTTTCAAAAATGAACAACAAACAAACAAAAAACCAACCAGAATAATATCTTTGCATTCAAAGTGATATATTGTACACAGAAAACATTTAAAGAAATTCTTTTCATAAACTAAAAGGTCAGTTCAATCTCCAGGTGATATGATAAGGACTGCATGGGGAAATATGTGTGTGTGTGTGTGTGTGTGTGTGTGTGTACACACACACACACCCAGACCCAGACACCCACCCTTAATCCTTGAAAAATGAGAAACCTACCCTCCCTATTTAAATTGAGTATTAAAGAAAAACTCACAATATCATCATAACAGTGTTGCTTTGAGATCATCACATGGGCAATGACTTTATCTAAAGAATTTGGCTTCTGCGGTATTCCAAACTTCTGCATTAGACAATCTGATAGTAACAAAGACCTAATGGTATTATTGTTTGACGCAACAGTTTCCAAAATACACGGACCAAAATTGACTTTGAATTTAGGGGACTAGTCATAAAAAATGCAAATTGGATAACAATTTCCAAACATATTTGAACACTCTTCAATAGCAGCAAGTCATTGTTAAATAACTACAAATAAGTATAAAAAATAGGCCTGGATCCTCTTAACTCCATGCCTTGCCACCTTGATGACCTCAATGTGCTTTTCTCCAACCACCAATGCACTGTGCTTTTTCTCTATACTGCTAACCCCGCCGTCCCCTGCTGCTTCTTTGCTCTGATTTACCCAGTATCTATGCTGCTTTGCAACACAGAAGCAGGTCATTGAGCTTTTGTTTTGGTTGCATGTAACATTTAGTTATTTTTTTAAAAAATTCTCATAGATTCCCCTGAAGTCTTAAGCTGAATGACTGAAGTCTGTCAGCTGAAATAACCTGTGGGAGATATTGTGATTGACAACATGCTTTATTTATGTTTGAAGTTTTATTAGTCTCTTTATTTGAATTATTTATATGCCACCCTGGGAAGGCAGCACAACTGAAAAGGCGCTTTCTATGGTCACAACCCACCTAACTTCAAAACGTAGAGGGATTCAGTGGAGGATCTGTGAAGATGATCATAACATTCAGCTGGTTCATGTCAGAGGAGGCAGTCCTTTATGTTCAGAATGAAAAACAAACCCCAGCAGGAGCCCCCTTCGTATTATTACTAACCTAGGCTAATTTGAATAGTAGGTAATCAATCTTGATTAATGGGGACTTTTTATATTTCAAAATTACCACATGTAGTATACAAAAACCAAGGGGGAAAATCCAGTTCCAAATTAAAAATGAGCAAAAATATATGCTTAGTTTACTTACTATCACACCATTACTGCTTTGTCTCCTTTCTCCCTCATGGATCTTTGTATAGAAAATGCCTCCTGGATTAAACTGAGTACTCCAAATTATAATTTCCCCTTGATAATATAGATCCATTCCAGTTATTCTTGAATTATGTTCAATGTGTGCAATCTGTTGATGAACATCACTGTAGTTGAATGGATATACAAAACCCAGGATATCAGTGTCATTAGCAATGTAGAGAACTTGATCTTCAGAGCCTGGAGATTATTGTAATGAAATACAAAAATAAAGTAAATTTCAACTACTAAGAAGTAATGTGCTTCATGTATGTTAAATTTTCATATTTATTTGGATACTCCTGTTGCCATCCACACCCCACTTAGCTTTGGATACTTTTAAACCCCACTGAAGTCAATGGGGCAGTTTCAAAATAATTCCAGAGGTAAGTGTAGTGTGGAATGAAACCCTATAAACATATGGCCTTCCTACAAATAAAATATAATCTAATTTTAGCAACAAGTGTCTCATATGTAGGTATATTGAGTAACCTCCCCAGGATTATTGTTATGTGGGACTTCAACATTCAAGCCAAAACTGCCTTATCACAGCTGGCTAAGAATTTCATGACCACTGTGACAACCATGGGTATTTCCCAGTACATTACTAGCCCTACATACAAAACAAGTGTTTGTCTTAGAGGAAAGTATATTCACACTCTTTTCATGGTCAGACCATTTTCAGGTGATTTTTGTCTTACTGTGGCTACTTCTCTCTGTGGAGGTATTAGGCACATTATGATGGCCCACTTCCAGAGATTTGTGGAAGCTGATCAGTTCTTAAATGATCTTGGAGAGTTCCCAGTTAATACGACTGGTGCTCCTGTGGAAGCCTGAGTCTCAGTATAGAATGGTGAGACAGAGAAGGTGGTGTCCTTGCTGTATCAATGACTTTTGAGGCTATCAACCACAGTGTACTTCTGAGGTGGAAGTTTATCTCTTCTTAAATTGCATATTATGTGACTTGGCATTCTGCACTTCGGTAGCAACAGTTCAAGGCTTTTCAATCTGGAATATGATACTGAGAAAAAGCTGTTTCCATAAATGCCTCTCTTTTCAAGCGTAAGAGATGCAAGCACAAAGCTGTAATTATCTCTTCACTTAGGGTGTTATTCTTTTTGGCACGTATCAGAGATATAAATAGCAACACATGAAAGCAATGCACTTGGACTGCAGAATAGGATGTACACCTCGCACAAGCCAATCATTCAGTATGGAGCCAGGTTTTAAGCAACTTGAGATATGCAGAACTGGGAGGGCTTGGTAAGGATATTGGAGGTTGCAGAGACTTCCCATTGACTAGACTGTCCTGATGCACTGTTTCCATATGCATATGCATGGGGGGAGTGGGGGGTAGGGATGGGGAGAAGAGAAGGAATTCTCTGTTGAGTTGTACAGGGATTCATTTGCTCATGAGCACTGTGGACTTTTGTGGGAAAGGATCATGTCCAATATGTCAACTAGTATATTCAAATTGTTTTGTCATCTTACCTTTTGCAATGCAGCTGCTGTTTCTTTCCTTATAATTTTTTTCACAAGTACATTTGTATGATCCTTTCACATTGATACAAAGTTGGGAGCAGATGCCAAATATTGCACATTCATTGATATCTAGAAAAGAAAAACCTTTATCATTTCTTTTTCAATTCATTGTAGAAAGTCACGACAGATAACCATAAAATTGGAACTCAGATTTTTAAAAGCCCAAAGCAATTCAACTCTTAAAAAAAGAAAAGAAAATAGCTATTAGCTCAGTCTACAGGTTTAACCTTAGACTCCTAGACTAAGCAAAAGATGCTCAGATTTGAGTTCTGGCATATTATTCTAGCTATTGAAAAGAATTTTAGGCAGTCAAGATGGGCAGTTGGCAACTTGTAGGCAGTCCCTTCAGGACACCAAGTGTGAAACTGTTCAAAACCCATCCAAAGAATCTGTTAAAACTGAGTCTTCTATAGTTCAAAGTGTATAAATCAGCAATTCCAAGCTTAAATACATATGCATGGTTATATCTCAGAAGAAAAACAACCAGCAGTTTTGTCATGGATTTTGCACAGGATGGCTTGATCTTCAAGTGAAGGCTGCTTAAATTCTAGAGGCCATTCTCCATTCAGGCTGTTGGATGGCATGTTGTAAATGCAGCAACAATGGAAAAGAAAGGTTTCTTTGGTACAACAGTCTATGCTGCCAGTAGATAGCTCTCCTATAGGTAATTAACTGCCTTGATTTTAGCTAATTTCACTAGCTCTTCTAGATCAGATATCCTGTGAACACAGTCTGCAGTTATATTTTGTATTTTCATAAAACATACAAATCTGAAAACATACTGGATTTTACAACTTGGGGGGGGGGAATCCATTGCCATTAAAGAACTGTCTATCTTATGTAAAATGGTTCAATGACAAAAGTAGCAAAATGCTAGACAGCAGAGATAAATTGGGGAAGAAAGTTGGGCTGTAACTGAGTAAGAGCAACTTTGAAAGATGCCTTTCTCTCTAGCTTTCTTTCGCTTGGTCTCTGTTTTATTTCTGTTGCCTTCCATTGGGACTTTTATTCATTTGTTTATTTAATTTATTTATCTATTGCAACATTCTCTTATCCGACCTTTAAAACTAGAGCAAAGCCCCTTCATCTGTTTGCTGCCTGATCTGCACCCTTACATCATGCTTTAGTCACATAATGAATGGAGTTCCTTTTTATTTACTTCGGACTGTCCCTCCTTCCCCCACGTTGAATTACGATGACCCAAATAAAATGTCAGACTTAGGTGTTCTCCTTAACTGCTTTTATTCGTAAACCTATAGTTCCAGAGTTTATAAGCTTGGAAAAAATAAATTGCTTTCCTTGATGAGAAGAGTGTTGGTTGAGGTATGCAAATAAATGTGAGATATAAATGCTATGAGGCTGCTGTCACAAAGGCATCCTGTGGGAAATGTGACACAAGGAAGGATACGATAGTCCCGTGTGCAGTTGGGGAGTTACCCTCCTACGTGAAAGCAAGCCCCAATCTACCTCTCTCATTCACTTTTCTGATGGTACCTCACTTGCCCACACACCAGATCAGTTAAGGAGCATGAGACAGACTAACGCTGGTAGTCTCATAGAGACTGGTAAGGTAAAGGTAAAGGGACCCCTGACCATTAGGTCCAGTCGTGGCTGACTCGGGTTGTGACACTCATCTCGCTTTACTGGCCGAGGGAGCCGACGTTTGGCTGCAGACAGCTTCCGGGTCATGTGGCCAGCATGATGAAGCCGCTTCTGGCGAACCAGAGCAGCGCATGGAAACGGCGTTTACCTTCCCGCCAGAGCGGTACCTATTTATCTACTTGCACTTTGATGTGCTTTCGAACTGCTAGGTTGGCAGGAGCAGGGACCGAGCAACGGGAGCTCACCCCGTTGCAGGGATTCGAAGCGCCGACCTTCTGATCGGCAAGTCCTAGGCTCTGTGGTTTAATCCACAGTGCCACCCGTGTCCCTCATAGATTCTGGGAATCCCTGCAATTAAGCACCTTCATTTCTGGAAAATTTGTGGTATTATTTATTTAAATCTGTATCTGTTAAGGGGTGGAGAGGGATAACAAAGAGAGTCAAAATCTTAAGAATTTTGCAGGAGCTTAAAAACACACAAAAAATATTATGGATGGTTAACTTCCTAGTTCAAAACAAAAGGTTTTGTTGTCATTAATTTCAGACCCCCAAAGTGGACATCTCATAACCATACTTGAATGTTATTTGTCAGCTGCTTCAGATTCATTGTAAATATATAACTTTGGACCTTTTTATTATTGAATTTCTGTTCTTATAATACTATTTTACTGGTTTTGTGTTGTAGCTCTGTTTCTATTATACTGTTCTACTGTTTTCAATTCATGTTTTTGTATACCACTTGGGGATAAATACTAAGTGGTTTAGAATGCTTTTGAATACGTAAAACAAAAAGAATTGAAGGCCATCTTTTGACATTTAATGTTGCTATTCATTTTTATGGAATATTTTTGAACATAAGGATTTCAAAGCAGTTTCTACACAAATACCTTCACATTGCCAGTTCCTTCTGTTCCTTTGAAATCCAGGCTTGCACTGACAGAAAAGAGGTGTTTTCGTTTTATTACAATATGCATCATCACCACAAGGGTTCACATTGTTTTCACAGCTATATTCAGTTAAGCCTAAAAAGGAAATAACAAAAGATGCAAAATCAAATGGATTTTAGTTTATTTCCATGTTTGTTACAGAACATCCATAGCCATTGTCTTCATTCATAGCTGATGAAGAATTTTGTCTCCAAAGAAAGTCAGCTTTAATTTTTGTTTTGAAGTTAGCTAGTCCTGATAATGTATATGGTTGTATATACTGTAATGCCATGTTTCCAATCCTTCATGGTTTGCAGCATCAGGAATGAGACCCATGCTCCAACCCCCTCCTTTCCCATAATCAGCTTGGTTATTACTTCCTTTGATAAAGCCATTTTTGAGTGAGCCCTCAAAACCAAGTTCAGTTTGTATTCTACATACATACATAATTTTATTTTTATATTGCCTTTCCATAGCTAAAACCATGCTCAAAGAGGTTTACAATGTGAAAAAATACATACCGTATTTTTTGCTCTATAAGACTCACTTTTTCCCTCCTAAAAAGTAAGGGGAAATGTGTGTGCGTCTTATGGAGCGAATGCAGGCTGCGCAGCTATCCCAGAAGCCAGAACAGCAAGAGGGATTGCTGCTTTCACTGCCCAGCAATCCCTCTTGCTGTTCTGGCTTCTGAGATTCAAAATATTTTTTTTCTTGTTTTCCTCCTCCAAAAACTAGGTGCGTCTTGTGGTCTGGTGCGTCTTATAGAGCGAAAAATACGGTAATTGCAAACAATGAACAAACACCCCAGTCCAATAATCTGTTCAGGTGCCTCAGTGTTTGGAGCTGGAGTCAGTCAGGGCCCTGTCCTCCCAAGCCAGGTGGGGAAAGACCTGCAAGGCATGGAGAAGGTCTTCCAGGACTCACAGCCAAGCTCGTCTAAGAATGTTTTCCCCATCTCTTACTGCCCAGAAGCAATTAAAAACACATCCCTTCTAGAAAAACCGTCACAATATTTTCCACTACAGTTTTATTTAAATAGGTTTATTAGTAGGAAAAAAGCAAACAAGAGATAGTGTCCAAGATGATCTTTGTAGAGCCAGTGCGGTGTAATGGTTGGAGTGTTGGACTGTGACCTGGGAGACCAGGGTTTGAATTCCCACTCAGCCTTGAAGCTCACTGGGTGAATTTGGGCCAGTCACCATTTCTTAGCCTAACCTACCTCACATGGCTGTTGTGAGGAGGAAACGGAGGAGAACTGTGTACACGACCTTGAGCTCCTTGGAAGATAAAGACGGTATGTAAATGTAATAAATAAATAAATTTCTCTCAAGGCTAAATGCAATAATGGCTCTTCCACACTCCCACTCATCCTGTTCCTAGAAAGCACAGAACTGAGAGATATGCTGCTTCTCCCATAGCTTTCCCTGGGAAATCTGCTCCTTTCTGATGAATCAGAGCAAGCATTAATCTGAGGAAAACCAAATTGATGTTTGCTCCAATTCAGCGGTAAAGAGTGGATTTTCCTGAGTGAAAGTGGCAGGACGAGCAGCAAGGGAAGTGTGGGTGAGCCCTGTGAATGTATCTCATTCCCTTAAGACTGCTTCAGATTGCAGATTGGAGGCTGTATTTGCAAAAAGGAAGTGAGTTCTTTAAATCATTTTAATATAGATATTTATGTATTCCCCACATTTTTAACATACAATGCACTTTACGATCCTGATCAGCTAATAAATTAACAGGAGGAAGCAATGTCAACTTTGGCTCAGTGGCCACTTTCACATGTAAGCCAAACTCTGGTTTACTGGCACCATGTGAATGTACAGGCCCTTGGGTAACGTCACAGATGGTGTGCTCCTCTCCTAGCCGAGTTAGATACTGTTTGGTTCATGCTAATTTAAATTCTACAAGATTACACATAACAGGTTCTATATAATATAAAAACATGTTCTTTTTTATTATTCTGAGAATGGCAAGCTTTCAACTTCTAAATCAAACTTACTTGTTTTACAGCCTTGCTCATCGGAACCATCACCACAGTCATCAAACTGATCACACTCCAGTTCCACAGGTACACACCGCTTATTGCTACAAGCAAATTCATCCTTTTTACAAGGCCTTGCCTTATATGTAGTTTTGTCTGCAAAATGTTACAAGAGAGCAGTCAGATTTTTCTCCCTTTGATATTATTATCATTAATGGAACAAGTGCATTTAACAATGAAACATTACCAATAAAAAAAATACTGTTTCCTGGATATGTAGAAACCTACTATATACTTGCAGCAGCCCATGAAACATGACAATCAGAAGATTTCCATTTCTCCCACAGGAGAATTCAACATCCCAGGATGCACATGTGCATGCTACAATTGCCCAGAGAAATACATATTTCACACAATGGTGTCTGCACTTGCTGCTTCAAGAGGCGGCAAGAAAACACAAAACTGAGAGGATGGAGCAGTCTGAGTTGGCATACACTCCCCTACCTCATTTTCTTGTTTTCCACTTGGGAGAATAACTTGGCCCTCATTGTCAGGCTGTTTTCACTGAGTATCATATGAAGCAAGGAGTGGAAAAAGGAAGATGGAATATGCTGGCCCAGCCTATGGTCCTCCTGTGCTATGCCTACAAACAGCATTGAGTACCGCTGCACTGTGTGCAATGTATAGGACACGAGACAGAAACTAGCAAAGGAGTGGTGGCTGTCGTTACCACGCTGATGCTTTAGCTGCAGTCAGTTCTGCTACTCATTCCTTTAATTTCAGTTCTCTATTCCACTGTGAGTCAAGGCCTCACTCAATGAACCAGACATGACTTGGACAGTACGGACTTTGGTACTTATCAGGGCAAAATGATCACAATGGTCCTATGAAGTCCAGGTGATCGTGTCAAAGACTTGGACTTTATGGGATATCCTTAACATGTAAGAGATGTTAGCATTTCACTGAATACAGTTGTTAGCCTTAGGATTATATATTGCAACTGCCCTGCTACCTACTTAGTCTGCATACATAACTCAGTTGGCAGAGCACGAGACTCTTAATCTAGGGGTCACTGGGCAAAGATTCTTGCATTGAAGGAAGTTGGAGAAGAAGATCCTTATGGTCCCTTCCAACTCTGATTAATCCAATTAACTGCTAATGGTCCCATACAGCTTGTCCCATTACTTAAGAACATGGTTTCACCCTGTAGGCCACCAAACCTATCAAGGACACTACACAACGTCTGTGCAGTATTGATGACAAGATATAATCCACACATTTTCATAAATCAAATGAGAACTTTGGTCTTATGATAATCCAAAGGGGGGGGGATACCCACCACAATGGTCTTCATCTGAGTCATCACCACAATCATCAATCCCATTACAAATCTGCTCACGTCTCAGACAGACTCGGTTATTTCTGCATCGGTAAGGCCTTGTTGGGGGACATGGAAATTTTACTGTGAAAAAGGGAGAGAGAAAACTAGTACTATAATGCTCATTATGTATGGAATGTATCCGCTTTGAATAGAGAGGCAAAAGTGATTACATGCCAGATATAAGCTTGGATTGTATCCAGTGATCCATGTGTGTAGTTCTGCTGTTGCAGCGGGAGTTTCATTTGCACACGAGGTTCCCCCTTTCCTCCTACCCACCTTAGAGTGGGTTAGATGGGACAGGAGAGGAAGCAAAAACTCAGCTGTGGACACAGAAGTCTGTTGTACCAGTAGATCAAGGGATTCAGCCCCTTAAACATTTAACCAGGCCTTTACTATATGTATATACAGTGATACATTGAGTTACAAATGTCTTGGCTTACAAATGCTTCAGGTTACAAATTCCGCTAACCTGGAAGAGTTACCTCGAGTTGAGAACTTTGCCTCAGGATGAGAACGGAAATCGTGTGCTGGCGCCACAGTGGCAGCAAGAGGCCCCATTAGCGAAAGCACACCTCTAGTTAAGAACAGTTTCAGGTTAATAACAGACCTTTGGAACGAATTACCGTATTTTTCGCTCTATAGGACGCACTTTTCCCCCTCCAAAAATGAAGGGGAAATGTGTGTGCGTCCTATGGAGCGAATGCAGGCTCCTCGGCTTCGCGGCGAGGCGCCTGACCTGGAAGCCGGAGGAGGAACAGAAGGGACTCCTTCTGTTCCTTCTCCAGCTTCGCTCAAGGGCGCTGCGCCTTCTCCCTCTCTGCGCGGCACCTCTCCTGTGAAGGAGAGGCGCTGCACAGAGAGGGAGAAGGCGCAGCGCCCCTTGAGCGGCGCGCCTGTCCAGCGAAGCCCGAGGAGGAACAGAAGGGTCTCCTGTTCCTTCTCCCGCTTCGCAGCGACGCGCCTTTCCAGAGAAGCCGGAGGAGGAGCAGAAGGGTCTCCTTCTGTTGCTTCTTCAGCTTTGCTGAAGGGCGCTGCGCCTTCTCCCTCTCTGCGCAGCACCTCTCCTGTTCACAGAGAGGGAGAAGGCGAAGCGCCCCTTGAGCGGCGCGCCTGTGCAGCGAAGCCGGAGGAGGCACCGACGGGTCTCCTTCTGTTCCTTCTCCAGCTTCGCTGAAGGGCGCTACGCCTTCTCTCTCTCCGCGCAGCGCCTCTCCTGTGAAGGAGAGGCGCTGCGCAGAGAGAGAGAAGGCGCAGCACCCCTTGAGCGGCGCGCCTGTCCAGCGAAGCCCGAGGAGGAACAGAAGGGTCTCCTTCTGTTCCTTCTCCAGCTTCGCTGAAGGGCGCTGCGTCTTCGCCCTCTCTGCGCGGCACCTCTCCTGTGAAGGAGAGGCGACGCGCAGAGAGGGAGAAGGCGCAGCACCCCTTGAGCGGCGCGCCTGTCCAGCGAAGCCTGAGGAGGAACAGAAGGTCTCCTTCTGTTCCTTCTCCTGCTTCGCAGCGACGCACCTGTCCAGCGAAGCCGGAGGAGGAACAGAAGGGTCTCCTTCTGTTCCTTCTCCAGCTTCACTGAAGGGCGCTGCGCCTTCTCCCTCTCTGCGCAGAGAGAGAAGGCGCAGCGCCCCTTCAGCGACGCGCCTGTCCTGGCTTCTGCTTTAGCCCTGCGCAGCCTCTTCAGGCAGGGGGAGCCTTCATCCTGCTGCCCTGAAGAGGCTTGGCACGGTTATCCCAGAAGCCAGAACAGCCACACGGTATCCCAGAAGCCAGATCCCTCTTGCTGTTCTGGCTTCTGGGGTTCAGAATAAGTTTTTCTTGTTTTCCGCCTCCCAAAACTAGGTGCGCCCTATGGTCCGGTGCGCCCTATGGAGCGAAAAATACGGTAAGTTCGTAACTAGAGGTACCACTGTATTATGACTTTAAAACTGCAAGGTTTAAGGGGAAAGTATTGCTGAAATGTTCAACTATCAAGAAATCCTCTTGGAACGTTTGGCGGGACCATGTAACACTACTGTGTTTTAACTTGCTTCTTTCAAATGTAGCATTTGCAACGTTTACTATAAAGACATATGCTGCATACACACTATACCCATAGCTGTCAACTTTTCCCTTTTCTTGTGAGGAATCCTATTCGGAATAAGGAAATTTCCCTTAAAAAAAGGAAAACGTTGACAGCTATGACTATACCTTTAAAGCACCTTTGAAACACATACTTCCCCTCAAATAATTCTGGGCTCTGCTGCTCACCCCTCACAGAGTTACAATTCCCAGCAACCCCTTAATAAACAACAGATCAAATAATTCTTTAAGAAGGAAAATGTGCTTTGAATGTGCTTTAGCAATATTGGGTGGAATTCAACATAGCGCTAAGTGGGGTATGCATGCGGGGAACAGGGTCACCCAATGGGAATTTTCTACTGTTCCTGCTGCACCCCCCTAAGCCATTTTTAGAGAGTGGGGTGTTGGGATTACGCTCTGGGCTATTTGCAGCCCCCCAGATCTCCGAGCATCCTCCGGTGAGCATAGCTCTGGAAAAGGCACCCTCCTCTTCTCCAGGGCGCTCCAGCAACATAAACCAACTTGATTTATGCACACTAGCCTTCTCTCTAGACACAGCAAAAGAAAGAGGCATCGTAGTTATAAACTACCATTTATTTACACTATATTACACGGACACAGAATCATGACGCTCTTTCTCATCCAGCTCCGAGAGAGAACAGGCAAAAGTGAAAGCACATCACATAATACATACGGATAGGACTATATCTGGTTCTCACGTTTTCACTCATCACAAAATGCAGCCTCAGAGGAGTGAAATTGCTAACATGGGGATGGTTGGAGGAGGGGGGATTACCATTGTGCAAGCAGACCTTGTTCTATGCACTCGACAACTTAGTTGAATCCTGCCCACAATGTGTACACAGTCATAAATACGTATGTAAACAAAACAAAACAAGTGACCAAGCAAAACACAAAACTGAGCAGTCGAAAGGTAGTCAAATCAACACACCATACTGTAGGAAATGAAACTTACCACATATTTCAGGGAGTTCATCAGAGTTATCTCCACAGTCATCTTCTCCATCACAAACCCAAAAATGCAGTTTACAGAGTGAATTGTTGCAAAGAAACTCATCCGATCTACATATATTCCCCCCTGAAAAACACGGAAAAACGAAAATAGTTTATACATATATTTTTATGCTTTAACTGGGTGTATAATGTGTCTGTTATTTTTCTATAGGGAAGCTGTTTGTGCATTTGGGGACAGATGTCTTGCTGTATGCCGGAGTCCTTTCTAATTCCTGGATCAAATAAGGATTCAATTGCTGGATGAGTCAGACAGGTTTCCTGTCAAGGACCCCTAAATATGGGTTGTTAAGGTAACAGAAATTGGCTCTGTGCCAGGGGACAAATGAGTGGGCTCCCCTCCCTCACCTGGCTGTTACTGTGAAGGACAGGCCAGAGTTATGAATGTGAGCTGGAAACTAGAAGCAGGCAGCAGCCTGGGCAGCTGACAGATAAAGCCATGCCTGATTTCTGCTCGGATCCTAGGCTGTGGATATGGGAGAAGCAAGATCTTCTGGAGGTGTTAATGCTGTGACTCCCTCCATTGTAGGCTCAGATTGTATATATGTTTAAATAAACCGTATGTAATAAAGACACCACAGTCTCTGCTGTCCCTCATGCCAAGGAAAATGAGCCCTGGTATGTGCCTAGACCCGCTGGAATTTTACACTGCTTGGAGATAGGGGTGGTGTCCGTTCTTTATTATCATCATCATCATCAACATCATCATACCACCCTATACCTGGAGGTCTCAGGGCGGTTCATAGAATAGAATAAAATAAAAATAAAAACAACAACCCAATAACCCCACCCCATATATATGATTCAGCATTGTGTTTTAATATATGGACTTGATTGATTGATTGATTGATTGATTGATTGATTGCTGCTGCCGATTGGAAGTGGAAGTGACATCAGTAGGGCAACAATTCTCAGCACCCAGTAGGAACGACCATTTACCACTCCTCCTATAAACCAACTCAGAACAATGTTGTGTTATCTGACGTAGAATAACTGCACAGGCACGTCAGACACCATTTGGGTGAAACCTGCTTTCGCACTACCACCGTAGTCAGTGGATGAGCACAATATGTTACAATAACTTTAAAGGCAAAAGAAAAAGAAGAATCTGTGCCATTTGCTGCTACATTTAGCTGTTAAGCCTCAACTCCCCCCAGAAAAACCATTAAATAAATTTTATCTGCCCCCGCAGTTGAAAACGACAAAGTCTCCCTCTCTACTTGCCACTTGCAAATGGGCTAGTGAACTGAGATGGGCATTTTATTTAAATCCTATTTTGAAGCACGTCATTTAGATAAAGTAGCCTATTTTCAATATGGTTTTATTTTGGTCATTTCCTAAATCTGATTTGCCTAAATCTTCTAAAATAATATGCTTTTTTCTAAAATGAAAAATGAACTTAATAGAGGAAACAGAATTATAGATCTCAAAAAATAGGTGGGCTTAATGCAAACACAGAAGGATTGATAAAAGAACAAATCCAAAAATCAGCAGATAGTTTAATTATAAATACAGCCTTCACAGAGCACACACTTCAGAGATGGAAATTGGGATTATTCCTGTGATTGCCTAGGTTTAGGATGAACTAGATTTGTGAAAAGGCAGCCTCAATGAGATAATATTGCTCTATATTTTAAGGGATTACTACAAGTCATAATTCTTTTTTTTTTTTTTAAGGATATGGCTTTTCTGAACAAAATAGTGACAGTTACAAAAATGCCGTTGTGCTAACGGCCAAGGAAAAAGGTCTATTGAACAAAATGTGACATTCTGCAGGTTAAGGTAAAGGGGGTGGGAGTATCGTCAACCATCTCTGTTGCTACCAGCTTTTTCTCCTTTTGTGCAAGTTATAGCACTTGAACATTTGGACAGTAACCTGAAAAGAGTTGAAGGCTGCAGTCATAAGGCCAAGTTGCAAGCTCCCCTTCAGTTCAACGGGGCTTGTGCCAATAGAACAAATGTAGTTCTATTGTAGATTCCCCCCCCCATGGTGATATCTTACTCAGAGGCAGCCTGTTTTCCTTGTACATTCTTATAGCAAAATAAATAAATAAGGGCAAATAAAAATTACTTTGTTTGTATTAAGTCTTAGGCAGCACAATTTTACGCATATCTACTCTGAACCAAATCCCATTGAATTCAATGGATTTTACTTCCACTGTGTTTCGATTACAGCCAACTAAGCACTGGGGAGGTTCATTCTGGTTAAACATGCATAGGACTATCCTGTGGGCACAGATATAATGGCAAAAGAAAGAAAAAATAATTACAGTACTGACATGTTTTGGACTGTTCTCCATGCTCCATAGGACTGTGTTTTGTATTTTATTTTATTGTATTTTAATATTTTGTTGGAAGCCACCCAGAGTGGCTGGGGAAACCCAGCCAAATGGGTGGGGTATAAATTTATTATTATTATTATTATTATTATTATTATTATTATTATTAGTGGGGAAGAACATAATGACTCTCACCTCTGTCACAATGTTGTTCATCACTGCTATCCACACAGTCTTGGATTCCATCACAAAGCCATCTGATAGGGATACAGTGGGCCTTATTTTTACATCGAAACTGATCTTCCTTACATTCTGTTACACAATCCATCTGTTTAAATACATTTATATGTGGCAGTATTTATAAACAAAAGCAACAGAGTTATAGACAGACCAAGTAGAATTTGCCAAAACTGATAAAAATAATCCAAAGGTGGGTCACTTTTCTCTTGCTGACAAAAAAGTTACAATTAACACTGAATATAAATAACTACAAATGCAAACAACACCATTCTGAGTTATAAAGGAGGGGGCATGACATCGACACCTTTGCCCTAAAACCACTCCTTAGCATCCAAAGTTACATGAGTAGAAGAAGTGTGACTGTGCACTGGGCTTTTCCACCTCTCCAGCTTTCAAGCAAGACTTTTTGTGAGTATAGAAAGTTGGGACCTTGGAAAGAGTGCAGGGGCTGGAGGAGGAAGGGGTATAAAAAAAAATGAAGGAGGGATCTATCTTGTGAGACTGGAAGTGCCCTTGCAGAAGCATAAAACACTTTTGGATACTGCTCAATAACTACCACCCAGCCCACGGAGTGCCACTGTTCTTATGAAATTCCCCATATTTATTTCTTTATGGATTTATAACTTGCTTTTTGACCAAAGCCATCAAAGTGGGTCACAATGTGAAAATGTAAGGATTAAATTGTTGCATCCTGTTGCATATTGGTTTTTAAATGCAACAATTAAAACAGCAAACCTGGGCGTACTCAAGTAGTTGTCTGATCTTTCAAGCTCCTCAGACAAGAAACAGATCTGGTGAACCTCTGACATGAGGTAATTCCAGAATTTGGGGGCCAGAACTGAAAGGACATTACAGCTATGCAAATCAATGAAAGATTCAACTACTCCATTATTGGGGAAAAATAGAAAAGCCCAGTAATGACTGAGTTGTTTGCTTTTCTGTACAAGGAAACCTCTGGGGTAGAATGAAATTCCACAATATTTGCTACTTTAAATTCAAACTTCTAAATTTGCTAGCCAAAACTTTAGAGCAGGTCAAGACTAATTAACTGCGTACCTCATCAGAGCCGTCAGGACAATCATATTCTCCATTACATCTGAAAGATGCTGAGATACACCCTCCACTGGCACAAACATACTCACTCGAAGAGCAGGTTGGAGATGCTATATCAGAAATATATTTGGCATTAGAGAAAGACAGTGCACTGTAAACTTGGTATTTGGTAAAATCTGTATTTCTACAGAGTGGCATGTTTGGTAAGGGCAAAATATATTACTAACAATGTTTTTCATTGCAGTTAATAATTCTCTTATTCCTCCCCCCCCCCCCCAGATAAAGATTTACCTGGTTCACAATTTTTCTCATCTTCCCCAAGAATGCAGTCATCGTGTCCATCACATTTCCACTTTGAGGAAATGCACTGACCATTGGAGCACTGAAACTGGTCTTTTAAGCAGCCAGAATCACAGTATCTCTGTCATAAACAAAATAATGCAACTAATTGAAGTAATATACAATACAAAGTGCAAAAAGAAGATTATGCCTGGAAACGAACAGCATTTGTGAATTCTCCAGTAATAAAACAATCATTTCCAAAGTTATACAAACGTAGCAGAAATTATAAAATGGAATAGTAATCACAACTGGATAGCACATATAGTAATTTGATTGAGTGATAGTCATGGACATGGCCACCTCAAATACAGTGACATTTTTCTTAAAGTACATTCAGAATTATCACTTCAAATATGGGCTAAAAATAGGGATATATGAAACCTTTCTTATTATTTTCTGTGATATTTCCACCTCATGGAAAATTGAGACCACGTGACAGGGCAGCAGCCAGATTTTTGCAAGGTTAGAATTTTCAGAACTCTTAACTCCAAAGTTACAAAGCTGCACACTAGTTTGGACCTGGACCAAAAAGGGATTAAGACGAGGTTTGATTATGCATTGAATCAAAGAACTGGATGGGGCCCAAGGTTCATTTAGTCCAAGCCCTTGCAGTGCAGGAATCTTAACTAAAGCATCCATGACAGACGGCCATCCAACCTCTACTTAAAAACCTCCAAGGAAGGAGAGTCTACCACCTTCTGAGGGAGTCTGTTCCACTGTCGAACACTCTTACCATTAGAAAGTTATCCCTGATGCTTCTGTTTTGGAAAAAAGCTCATAGCTTTTCACTTAAAAAAAAACAAAAAAACATCTTGCTGTTGGGCAGCAATACCAGGCTATTTTACTCATAGTTTGTGATACCAAGTGTTGGCAGCTTGCTTTTCCTCAATGGAGCAGGCTATGATGCCATTTTATTTTGTTGACTTCCTTTTGCACAGGTCTTACTGGCTAGTTGTTTCTTTTAATATAGTCCCCCCCCCCCGCAAACTACTAACTGACTTCCCTCAGTAGATCAGGATATTTCCTGCAATCTAGTTCAAAGTTAATTGACCCCAATTCTACAGTGTACCAATAACATGAAGAATTTTTGTGAGACCATGTTGACTCAACCTTACTTTCAACTTCCTAGAAATTCTTACGTTTGAGCCTCCAAAGTCTTACATTTGAGCCTTTTCTTTAGGCAAAAACTAATACTAAAACTGAATTTTGGCAGTATGTTCTTCTGTCCTACCAGTTACACATGTTAAAGGAGTGGGTTTGAAGTCATTTGCCACTCTTGCCATATATTTCTATACTGCCTTTGGATCTGCTTGCTCAGCAGCTATGTAGGGGAGGACCGGGACCAATGCTTGTAGATCCAAATCAAGTTGTTAATCCTGGATCTTACGTAGAGTATTGATCACATGGTTTTAGGTGGCGTGTGCATCAGTATATAAGCCCAAGCATGGATGTTTTGGGGGTACTGAGGTGGAAAAGGCACTTCACCCCCTGCTGCTAGTATCCCATCATATATAGGTGCTAAGTATCAAAACCAATCTCTTGCAAAGCCCTACCTCATCTGAGCCATCTGCACAATCATAATCACCGTCACACCAAAATCTTGCAGACATACAGTCTCCATTTGAGCAGTGAAAGTCTTTCTGAGCGCATGTTTGTGGTTCTGAAAGAAGAAATGTTTCAGATTCAAACTAAACATAAGTTAGAGAACTTTTTTCTTAGTTTGATTGAATTCTCCCAAGCTTACCCGTGATACACTAAGAACTGGAATCAGAACTGTTTCCTGGTTCCATTAATTTTGTGTTCTCCCTTTATATTATTTATAATGTTATACATCTGAGGGTGCTAATTGGGTTTAATAAATATTAGAATTTAATTAGAACCGGTATTTTAGGACCCATAATAGCTGGATTCATGTGTATTCAAGATGTGGGCTGGCAGCTGTTAATATGCGAAGAGTTAATTAACCTAAGCACACTTCCTGGGCTGTGTATTTGACATTGTAATCCTGTAGAATCAACAAGTCTAAAAGCTAATTAGCTGAGGTAATTTCCTTGTGCGGTGACCACCTGGGGATAAGCCATTTAGGTGAAACAAAAGAATGAAAGGGCAGATCTCATTTGCAAATGTGCCGGTTCCCTCCCTCTCTCAAGGGCTAAGTGTGAATAAATGTGAAAAGCTAATCCCTTTTCAGGCAATGAGTTTTAGGACATCAAAGGAAGGGCCTTCTCCTGGATTATAAAAGAGACCAGAATTTAGGCTATGGGGATTAGGGCTGGAGTGGTGTAACCAGGAAGCTGGGTTGTGCTGGGCTTCTTGTTGTTGTTGCTATGGAATATTCTGGTGCGTTTTGGGGTACTGCTGCTGTGAGCCCCTCTATTGGAAACTCCAGGTTGCATATACCGTATTTTTTGCACCATAACACTCACTTTTTTCCTCCTAGAAAGTAAGGGGAAATGTCTGTGCGTGTTATGGAGGGAATGCCTGCGGGTGGCGGGGGGGATCTGCTGCAGTCGTGAGCAGAGGATCCATGGTTCCCCTTCCTTCCCTCCTCCATGGTTACAAAGCATGGATCCACATGGATCCTCAGGATTTTTGCATTGGGCTACTCCAAACTCACTGTCAGATCACATGTCTGTGGCCACAGCATGAACCACAAAAATCATATATCCACTATTTCGTTTAGAATATTTTTTTTCTTGTTTTCCTCCTCTAAAAACTACGTGCGTGTTATGGTCGGGTGCGTGTTATAGAGCGAAAAATATGTATATATCCTAAAGACACTAGCCTCCGTTGAGCCTTATTCCTGAAGGAAACACTAACCCTGGGTAAGAACGCCTGCAACCCCTGGAATCTTATGCAGCTGCTCAGCAGAGATTGGGGTGGTGTGTAATAATATTGTAACATTATTATTATTTTTTCAAAAAAATCCAGCTTAAAAATGGGGGGGCATGCTCATACATATTTAAAATAAGTATGCTTGAAATTCAGAAACTATTGATAAAAGGTATTTTACTCTTACATACCCACAGAGGCTCTCCACTTTTTAGTTCCATATAAGAAAATATGCATTTTTAAAAAGGACTATTTTAACTATCAAAAGCTTCCCAAAAGCTTTTGATGTTACTACAATGTAGGCCAAAGTTTTAAAAAGAGGAGTGCTAATGTAGTGCTAAGGAGATCACTCCATCAGTTCGAGCATTTCAGCTTGTCTGATGGAATTATCTCCCTTCTCCTCCTCTCCCCCCCACCCCCCGCTGTGCACTGTTCTATGTATTCCCCTGCCCCCCCCCCAGTCAATTTGGGAAGGCATAGGGACATACGGGGGGTGGGGTGGGAGGAAGGGGAAACCTCATCTTGCACAAGCTTCTGCTATTATTATTATTATTATTATTTTATTATTATTTTATTATTATCATTTCTATACCGCTTTATATGTTAAGGGAAAAAATCCTCAAAGCAAGACTGGCTGATTGAATTTGGCCCCAAAGCTTTCTTTCACTTTTTTTAAGCCATAAAATCTAATGAACCAACACTTTGCACTTCTTGCTACTGCAGGTGAATTGACTTTACTTATTTCACACAGCTTATGCAAGTATTCCAAATACTCAAAAATTCAAATTTTGCTTCTGGAATAATAAGGTGTGGTCTGACCAAGGCAGAATAGATCTGGACTTGATCTACTTCTACTGATGCAGCCTAGAATAGCGTTCACTTTTTTGTTCTTACTGCATCACGCTGTTGACTCATGTTAAACTTGTGATCCACTAAGACCCGTAGATCCCTTTCACATGTACTACTAGTAAGTCAGAAATTACTTACTGCAGTTTTCTTCATCAGAATTGTCACCACAATCATTTTGGCTGTCACACCTCCAGTGATCTGGAATGCAGTTGCTGTTCTTACATTGGTATTCATGAGGCCCACATGTTTTTTTATCTGTAACCAAGACAGATACTGCTTTTATTCTAATAATCTTAGGTAGTTAAGCATTGTGAAAAATGCATGCCAGATCTATAGCACATTACACTATGTTTCACTAGCAAAGGTACTGAATTAATTATCAGCTGCTATGTCAGAATGCATTTTATTTTTACCATATTATTATTTGCCCGGAGGTGGGGGATAATTATTTGCTTGGATCCAAACTTGAATGTGGCTGATGGGAAAATCTGAAACAGAACTTTTCACAAGAGGCACTTCTGCCAGTAGAAGGGAAGAAGCAATTTAAGATCCCCTCCTCCCCGCTGCAGCCTCTTGTGCCCTCAGAAAACTTGCTTCAGGGGATTTAGGGATTGTCTAGAACACGCGGGTGGTCCTGTGGGTTAAACCACAGAGCATAGGACGGCGGTTCGAATCCCCGCAATGGGGTGATCTCCCGTTGCTTGGTCCCTGCTCCTGCCAACCTAGCAGTTCGAAAGCACGTCAAAGTGCAAGTAGATACCACTCCGGCAGGAAGGTAAACGGCATTTCCTTGTGCTGCTCTGCTTCGCCAGAAGTGGCTTAGTCATGCTGGCCACATGATCCGGAAGCCGTACGCTGGCTCCCTCAGCCAATAAAGTGAGATGAGCGCCGCAACCCCAGAGTCAGTCATAACTGGACCTAACGGTCAGGGGTCCCTTTACCTTTTAGAACAGGCATGGCAGCAGAGGGAGGATAGAATCAACAAAAAATCCCTCCCCTCCTCTTCCATCAGTGGGATTCTCCACTGGATCAAAACCCTTTTTCTGCATAGAAGGAGTCATTCTAATCTGAAATGATTCTAATATGAACTGACTTTATTACCACTAGTTGTGATGAAACACTTAATATTCTTGGGTATTTTTCAGGACCCACTCTTTTCCTTGGTTTCAACTGCTTTTAAATAGCTGCAAATCACCCTGGGACCTGCTGGTGAAGGGTGGGTAATAAATTTAGTAAGAATATTTTAAAAATAATAACAAGCCTTACAACAAAAAATGCTCCTGTACATTGTTACAAAGAGCTGGCATGCTCAATTCCATTCCCAATCTCACATGGTTTATCATCCAAGAAGTAGGCTGCATTCAATGGACAATGAGTATGCTCAGTGGTCTTTGGGTTGTTGGTTTCTCTCACCACTTCATGATTTCTCTCTCTCTTTTGGTATGTCTGCAAACCCTGAATTTCCACCAAGCCTGCTGATATTTCACTCTTGTGCATGGGACATATAATTTTGGCCACATACGGGCAGGCACTAGAGAATTGCATTTGCCAGTAGTATACAGGATACTCACCACAGTTTGCCTCATCAGACCCATCAGCACAATCAGGATCCTCATCACAAACCCATAGTTTAGAAATGCAGTGCTTTGTTGTTTTACACTGAAAATGGTCAGGAGAACAGCTGTTTTCCGCTTTAAAGAAAATGAGCTACTTTAAGTACAGAAACTGTTTTCTAACATTCAGAAATTCTAATTAAAACAATCAACGCTGTTTTAAACTAGCTTTCTCTCAATTCTTCAAACAAACAAAAACCCCAACAACAAAACCAATGTCTTATCTCCACTTCCTACATTATTCAAATTGTATTATTCAAAAGAATTCACCAAAACAACAATGTGTATAGTGTGTTTGACTGACCACAAATAATGCAATTTTGGAGTTTCTACGTAAGTAACTTACGACAATCTCTTTCATCTTCTTCATCACCGCAGTCATCCTGTCCATTACACCTGAGATTTATTGGAATGCACTTTTGATTTTTGGTGCACTTAAATTGACCTGACAAGCAGACATGTGTATCTGAGGACAAACAAATAAGAAGCTTCAGGACAGAAAACTCGGGTGATTCTCATTCTATACTGCTCAACTATATTAGTCCTGTTTTGAATGCCTCATTATCAGGGCTGGTACCAGATTTCAGTGAGCACTCAGCATGATGTTTGCAATAAGTTCCCACCTGGATCTCTACCTAGTGCTGCTACATGCTACTACTGGCACTGCTGCCATCACCAGTCACTTATCTCACCTAGAACCAGACTGGACAAGACAGGCAGCAACACCTGTTGCTACTGCATGCTGCCACAACTTTTCAATGGGAATCAAGCTGTTACTTGGTTCTGATTTGCAGTGCTTGGCATATTTGCTTACCTAAAAATCAACCATTATCCAAAATAAAGAGATTCATATTCAATATTAAATTGGCTCTTTAAATCTTGTTTGAACTGTTCATTAAAGTAGTTTTAAGTTCAGACTTCTTCATGTTTATCTTACAACCTGAAACTTTGCACATGCACGCACACACACACACCTTTATTCCAAGTGCATTTCGAAATGACAAGCTGGCAACACATCATTACATCTCCTTTATGTAATTATGTTTCCCCTTCTCTATCACTCTTTTTCATTCCTCTTGTACATCCATTTTATCCAGGGTTTATTGCCAGGCAGCCTTTTCACCAAACAAAGAAGAGTGTTTAAAGAGGTCACCATTCTCTTGTAACTCTCCTGATAGCTGTTATCAGTCATCTTATAATAATATTAGAGTGATACACTCTTTGCAATTATCTTCCAACTTCTTAATGATTCTTAAGAGCTAAACATTACTGGCAGCCTGGTCCTATTCAGAATTTTAGCTAGGGAAGCTCAAACACCTGGATGCACAACAGCTGATAAAATGGCATATCCTATATCAGTTAAAGAGACAGGCTTGTCCTGTTTTACAGATTTCTAGCATTGTATCAGATCTCTTTAGTACTCTTGTGGCAACAGTAAGTTATAGAAACACTAGGGAAATGAGGTTTCTCCTTCAGTTCTTAGAACGTTGTGCTGGGATATTTGTGCGGTTTCACTTTCCCCACACCTGTAAAAACCCTTGCACAGCACTTCTGCATCTTAAACAGGATTGTCCTCATCCTGACGCAATAGCATTGAAGACTAAACCAGCCACTGGATAGGAGATGTGAAATGCTGGCGGCCCTTTTACAAGGGAACAATGAAGGTGAGGGAAGGTAAATAAGAATATATAGAAGGATAATAAGAAGGATAATAAGAATATATAGAAGATTTGAGAAGATTGTAGAATGCAAAGATAAATGTAATGTCAGAATGTAGAGGAAATTGAGTAGGGGCGGAGGGAAGCGGGGGGTGTCAGCTTCGCCTTTGAGCCGGTGCCAATGACTGGGCTCAACCTCTTCAGCCCCGATTGGGCCAGGCGAGCTGGAAAAGCACTCCCAGAGACCTTCCACTGCAGGGAGCAGGTCTAAGTGCTGTGGACTCACAACTTAGAGCTGTGAGCACCAAACTCAGTTCCAAAAGTCAGCGGAGCACAGCAGAGTATGAACCACACGAACAACAGCTCTGAAGTATAACTTCTTTTATTCTCTACAGCTACTGCATAAACTAACTAAAGACTAATCGGAGACGCTGGACTGCATGAGTGTTACAGCTGCTTGAGCAGTCACCTTATCTATATACAGATAACACTCAGACTCCCACAGGCTGGAGCGGAAGAAGCGATGAGCAAAATCCGCCCCCTCCTTTCTGAAACATTGTCAGCAGATTCTTGCAATGGGAGGTGTGAAACATCCTGGGGGGGGGGGAGGGACAAAAGAATATTATGTTTGACTGATTGATATCTGTGGAGATGGGGAGGATGTGGTGATGGCTTTGGTATATTTGTATTGTGATGTAATATGGAAAAACCAATTAAAAAAGAAAAGAAAAGAAACTGGAGCACGGTACATGACGCTGTGCTGCAGCTGATAAATGGTAGACTATAGCATCAGATTCTCCAAAAAGCTTTTTTTTTTATTTTATTTATTTCAGAAAATTTATATACCACTTGATTGTAGGCAAAAACAGCAACCTCAAAGCAGTCTCATGCCATATAATGCTTACCACAATTGAGTTCATCAGAGTTGTCTCCACAGTCATTCTCTCCATCACATATAAATGCTGGTAAAACACAGAGTCCAGTTCCACACTGAAATCGGCCAGGCTGGCATTTAAATTCAGCTGGAAAAAAGAATAAAGTGTTGAACAGCTGCATTTTATGGTAATAAGCTTTTTAAAAAACAGCAACAACACAACAGCCTTTCATAGCATTTCTAGGCTTACGAAAAAGCTATCATATATTTGTTTACTAATAAATAGATATGTAAAGTGTCTATCTCTTAGTCCAAGTATGTTAATAAAAAATTTCCATTATAAGTCAGTGTTTTTTTAATCAAATGCATATAAAATGTTTTGCAATTAACAAGAATGCATGCCTCTATTTTGTAATTTTTAAAGCAACGTGAGAACTATCAGAAACTGGGTGATTCTAATTGCTTCTCTTGCCTCAAAGAAGCAATTAAATGTATTTTCTCTTAGCTGTACTAAAATTGTTTCAGCCAGATGACTCTCTGTTTACAAATTCACAGCTACACCTTTCTCCCACAACTATATGACGTCCAAGCAGGAGAAGTGGAAGCTAATTGGCATGAAAGCTTAATTTCTCAGCAACTGTAAAGTGTGTGATTTCCTGCATTCTGATGTTCTTCAGGACATCATATTGCAAGTACAGATCAGCAAAATGACTGCATTCAAACTAGTTAATGCACCAATACTTACTGTGAATATCTGGATGACGATATTGATACACAGAGCACAAATACCTTCTGAATCAATACAAGAAACAGTACTAGCTAAAATAAGTATGTGTATGCCTAGGTTAATAACTAAAACTGAAATTTGCCTCTCTGTGAGTGTGAAACTAGCTTGTTTAAATAAAATCTAGCCAACTCCAAAATTATGAGCAAGATTCTAGGCATCCATAGGAAGAAGATTATGACAGCTATGCTATAGGACTGCTACAAATCACTACTATGACACCACAGTCCTAAGCATGCTTACTCAGAAATGAATCCAACAGCATCAGCCATTGGTACCTGCAGTAGTACCAATTTAATATTGTGGTCTACGAGTTCTTAATTTTATTGATTCATTTTAAAATTCTACATTTTCAGGGTTTTCTAAATTAATGGAAGATTTAATAAAACATTATCTATCCAAAATAGTAACGGTTGCACATTTGGGAAGCCTTTCTCCACCCTAAACCTCAATGCAAGTCATATTTGTTCTTTATCACAGCTATCGTATACCCTTGACCGAAGAACGGTATACTCCTTCTATCTGGGATGGTCGTCCTCTTCCACCGAGCGTGCAGCTTCGGGAGGGAAGCACATGGAGCAGTGAGGGAGGAAGGGGACACCCGCCTAGCCAGCAATATCAGCCGAATCAACCCTGGCGATCAATGGGGTGACAGATGTCTCAGCCAGATCACCCTCACATCCTGTTCTTTATCATGGCATTAGCAGTGACAACTTCACTCCTTCTAAGTAGCAAGCCACTCTTCTCAGATCACCACTAGCCTCACTTACATTTCCTCTGCAGCAGAGGACACTTTGAGCTCTAGTCCTCAGAGATTTGATTGAAATTTGAGAACCATTAGCCCTGTGAAGCAAAGGCAGTCAAACATAACTAGTTTCCTTCCCAGTAATCCAGTCTGGATTTCAAATTATAGTGAAAAATCACCTAAACTCAATTTGAATTGACCCACATGTATAAATATACCTATACACAGCAGCAATCAGTGTGGCTGAGTGGCAGCGCTCACTCTTGACAGCTGAGTTGCTGCTGCTTATGTAGAGGAAGAATGAGGCAGCGTTGGCCCAGTAAAGATGTGCCAGCAGGAAAACCAGATTGGTTCCGCCCAGAGCTGGCCTACGCATGATGCAAGGCAAGGTGACTGCCTCAGGTGGCAGGATCTGCAGGGGCAACAGATGCCAATGTTTATCTTTATTCCTTTTTTATTCCTGATGTCAGCCTTCACTCCCTCCTCCCTTCTTCCCTAACAGGGAAGGGGGGTGCCATTTTGTAGTTTGCCAAAATGCCACGGGGCAACCATGGTTCTACTGGTGTGTTAGCACAATGCCATCTTCCCTGCTGCTTTGCTGATCCACTACATATATTTTACTGGCGGACAGCATTTGGTTGTTGCCTAGTAACTGCCTGACAGACTTCCAACATAACTAGATGAGGGAATACTGCTAATTGTAATGGTAAGAAAGTGACCTGCTGAGGATCCTGTTTTGCTTCTGCTGTTGCACTGGAGCTCTAGGAAGTTTCGGCTTGCTGATTAAAAAAACTACTGGCCTAGTTTATTTAAAAAATTGAGAATGAAGAGATTTGAAGCATGTGTACCAACCAATATAAGCCATGTGCAGCAGAAAAGTCTCCACTATGAATTACCATGCAGAAAATGCAAAGCTACGCAAGCCTGCTTTCATGAATATAATATATTTGTATTCACCTGTCACGTATTCATCTGTCATGGCAAAATTATAGCAGGCATACTTGTACCTGCTGCAAACATTGTTTACTTTTTAAAAAATGACAGGAGTATTGTGGCAGGTGCATGAACTATGAGCCTATCAAAATATCTGCAGATTTTACAGCACATTCAGGATACTGCAGCAGTGTTATAAAAGTGCTAAGCTGCAGTACATCTTATGAAATCTCTAGTGATAGCCAGACTGCTGCAAATCTTCTTTTGTATTATTTGCAAAAGCTATAATATAAGTAAGGGAGATATTAGGAAATTATTTAAAAATTAAATATTATACCAAGTTGCAGCAGAAATGCTTAGAGAAAGTTCTATTTCTCCAGATAATTAAGTTATTATATAAATTGTTTGTTCACTCTGTAGCAGTCTTGTAGATTTTATTGACTTAACAACAACGACAAATTTATATCCCACCTTCCTTCAAGAAGCTCAAGGCGGCATTCATGGTTCTCTATCTTCCCATTGTAGTCAAACAACAAACCTGTGAGGTAGATTAGGCTAAAAGATTGGCCTAAAGTCATCCCTAAATTGGCCTAAAGCAAATTTCATGGCCAAGTGGAGACCTGAATCCTACTCCAACCCTCTTAACCACTGTACCACGTTGACTCTTACAGTATGAAAATGCTAGGTTAATGCAACTTGCTAAAATACTTACGGCATTCTTCAGGTTCATCTGATCCATCCCCACAATCATCTACAGTGTCACATTTCCACCAAAATGGAATACATTTGTCAGTTTTGCAGCGGAACTGTAGGAGAAAGGTATAATATGGAAAACCTTAAAGTGTTAACAGTTTTTATTGAAATAACATGTTTCTTTTTGCAGCTGAAAATAATTTATAAGAAATCAGAGCCCAAAGCCAGAATATGGAGTCTGCTGTTCTTTGAAATTAGTTTCTTGCCCACTAAAGGTATTAATGATCTGGATTAACAGGCATACTTAGGTGAGTGGAAGGCACTTCCATTCTCATGGGTTGGGGGAGGGGGGTATTTTTGGAAATTCCATGGCATGCTAGTTCAGAAACAGAGGGAGACAGTGGGCTATAAAAGCAAATGAGAGATGAAAGATCCTGTTCCATGAATAGAACTTTGGAAATCAGGATCCAAGCCAACACATATCAGTCACGTTAGGGTGGGGGAATAGCTTTGTTGATGTACCGAATGAAATTTATCCAAATAAGGAATATAAAGATAAATAATTTAGGCTTCAACATAACCGTAACGCCATAAACCAGATTTTCTGATTTTGAAAAAACAAAACAAAAAACCAAGTTCCTAACCAACAGTACCTTCATTCATTACTATTTAAAACTATTAGTGCCCTCCCCCCTTAATCTGAAAACTCTCACAAGTCTTTACGTTGCTTCAAAGTCTCTAAATACATTAATAAGTAATCCTTATAAATGTTACAATACAAACGTTCTACTTACTTGACTGGCTGTGCAGTTTGATAAGCAAGTCTTATTATCTGCCGCGAGGTAAAAGTTGGTGGGGCAGGCACATGTGTGTGTTTTGCCTGGGGCCAGGAGGCACAGGTGACTACAGCCACCGTTAGTCAATGCACAAAGATGTTTAGGCACTAGGAATGCAAAAGAGGAAACAATTAAAATGTGCTAAGGTGATTCACATGAAAAGCAACATAGCTGGCTTTCCCCCAGATAAACTTCTGGCAAATAGAGGTACCTCAGTACGGCTAATAATAAAGTAAACAAATATGCATATAAATATTTACCATCAGACTATCTATATGAATGAAAGTAATTTTTTCCAGGGGCAGCACATCCCATTTCGCTGCCCGAGGCAAAATGGAAAGGTGCTGCCCACCAAGTCCTCCCTTATCTGGGTCATGAGGCAGTTCCAGCAAGATCTCATGGAGTGCACAAGATTTCAGTGAGATCTTGCCAGAAGCTTGTGGCACTACCACTTCTCCAGCAGTGGAGGCAGTCAGGTAGGATGCCCACCTAGGCACTCCCTCTTTGTGTCCTAATGCCTGAGGCAGCTCCCTCAGGCTACCTCATGGGCAGGCCAGCAGGCCCTGTGTGTGTTTGAATCAACACAATTTAAAGGCCTTTTGTACTTTCCCCCACTTTTTCCTAGGATACACACACAAAAAGGTCCAAAAGGCCTTTAAATTGCATTGATTCAAACTGCCTATAAAATACAGTTTGTGTCGTATTATATTAGTTCAGACTAATTCAGCCAATTGACAAGCCTGAAGGACTCCTGAAATTCAAAAATACTCAGAACTAGCAGAGAATTCTGGATCCTGTGCAACCGTGAACTCTTTCCTGGTGTCCAGTAGAGACTTACTGGCAGTGGTTGCAGGCTCAGTAAGAGTTTACTTCTTTCCAGGGCCCGTTACAAAAATTGAGTGAGAACTGAGGCGGTTCACAAAGCCAACATAGGTTGCTTATGTAATGGACCTTCAGTGTCAGACCTTCAGCGAAACTAACCATACTTCTAATATTTTGCTCTTCTTTCCGTCTTACGTCTTTAGCAATTCAATATAAAACTGCTTAGGTTAATCACTAAGCAAAGTCTTCAGAACTCTAATGAAGTCAGAATGCTCTTTACAGAACACATGCTGAAAATATTTACCATCAGGCTGTCTGTATGAATGATACACTTGGATATCAGTTATGGCATGCCACGAGTTAATCAGTGCTACTTTATCTGCTCCAGAGGTTTTATGGGCACGGTTGACTGTCTTGGTTTTTCCATCAGTCCAGTAGATGTAGTCTTCAAATAATGTGAGAGCAATCACGCCTAGAATATGTTGATTAGGAACTGCAACAGAATGTAAGATTAATGTTCAGTTTTGGAAGACTGCCAGCTAAAATATTCCATACTGCAAAAGCTGACAAAGACAAGGACTGCATAGCTTCTTGTGAATAATGGCTGTGACAACCTGTCAAGCCTGGAGGCTCTTTGTTACCAGTTAAAAGTATCTAGGATTAAGATTAGATACATCAACCCCACTTGGCTAAACTCTGTTGGCCTAACCATAGTGAAAGAAACAGCTGGGTCCCAGGGAACTGATAGCAGGATACTATTTGAGCACTGCCACATGCAGATTTGAAAGTTTTTGCACAAATTGTAGGCTGGATGTAATTTATAGCTTCTGCAGGGATTCCTTAATTCTTTGGATGCAGCTTTGTTTCATCATACAAGGTTATTCTTCTATTTAAAAAGGCAATTCAAGGGCACATTGTTTTGGTTATACTGTGTCTAGGCATGCATATGGTGCGCTTCAAGTCACCACCACCACAACAGCAGCAGAAGAGCAAAGAGTGTCAGAGCAGAGCCTATTACTTTCTGGGCATGTACAAAAGACTCTTCCTTTCCACACAGCTTGAGTTCATGTTCAAGACAGTGAGTACACCCATTTCTCCAGCAATTTTCTTACAGTTTTTCATTTCTATCTGAACTTCTCCCACATTTTGGGATTGATGTTCCAAATTAACTGATTTTGTTTTCCGAGTGGCACTGTGCATTAATGGCAAATCATCCTCTCCTGTCCCCCCCCCTCCTCTTCAACTTCAGAATTTTGTTCAGACCACTGAGTATGTTTAGTTCAGTGTCCCTTTGCATGCTGTTTTAAGTTCACCCATTACTAGTAACAAGCATGTAAAATAGTAATTCACAGTTCATAAAATTATCATGGCAGTAAGGACAAAGCTCTATGAAGAGAGAAGAAAATGAAGTTATGTGCATGAAAAACACTGTGTTTTTGTGCTGTAATGCTAGTATTCACTTTGTTGTGAATTATCAGGTGGGATTTCATGTGTGCTTTCAGGCTTATTTCATGCTCAAGGCCACAATTCCCCAAGGATCACCTCTCCCCATATGAACCGACCCAGACCCTGTGACCATCATCTGAAGCCCTTCTCTGTGTTCCTCTGCCATGAGAGGTCCAGAGGATGGCAACACAAGAACAGGCCTTTTCTGCAGTGGCTCCCCATTTGTGGAATGCTCTCTCCAGGAAGGTTTGCCCAGCACCTTCATTACATATCTTTAAGAACCAGATGCAAACATTTCTCTTTAACCAGGCCTTTGGCTGATTAACAATCTATATCTTTTTAAATATGTTTGTGGGAGGGCAGTTATTGGTTTTTGTTCTTGTTTTTATTATGTTTTGTGTTCTCATTTTGTATTTTTATGTGGTGAACCACCCTGCCATCTTCAGATGAAGAGTAGTATGCAAATGTTATTTAAAATAATATTACCTTAAAAAAACCCTTTTAAATAACATTGTATTGTGGAATACTAACCATTCAAGAATACAGTGTAGAAGACTGCTACCTAAGAACTATTCCCATAATGTGCACAGACTTAGCAAACCCAGTGATCATAATACTATGGGAGAATTCAATGTTGCACTACGTTGAGCGTTCCAACAGTGCAAGCATTTCAGCTTGCCAAATGGAATGATCCCCTCACTCCCGGCTACCTCCATGCCCTGTTCTGGGGGTTCTCATGTCCCCCAAGCCAATTTTAGGAGGCAGGAGGGCCGCTGGAGGGGAAAGACCCATTGTACAAGCAGAAGCCACAGAACTCTGGCCCTCTAGATTGGGCTTCGAAGGAGTATCACAGAAGGGATACAATGCAGTTTGTAGGGAAGGTAGCAAGTGAAGCAATCCATTGATGGTATAATACAGGAAAATATTTGCAAGTACTACAGTAGATGTTCGCGATGAGAATAGGAATTGTGCTATGTTTCATTTTTAAAATATTCATGAGTTTCATGTCAAACTCTTTTATGCTTGATATAAGCGCTGCATGTCATTGAGCGTATTACCACTGAGTGTATCTTTTTATGCTAAATCTAGTAACCTTTGTTTGACAAATGCTGCTTATAAAGAACTGTTAATCTTGTCTATCAAGGTGTAAATTGATGTACGCAATTTTTTTTACTGATAACTGCATTTATTTGCCCACAAGATAGTGCAACTGTTTATCAATCTATATTAATGATTTGTTTTCCATTTCTCTAAACGCTAATTTTTTCTGTAGCATTGAATAGTTAATTATTTTAAATAACGGTACCAATTTTAGGAGATGACATTTGTGCAATCATTGGTAGTCCTTAGCCTTCTTCAGTCAGTATTGCTCCCATGTGGGGATGCCAAGTAGAACTTCCCCCTAGAATCTACATGTACAAACATCTGTATCAATAGCAGTGAAGGCTGATGCTGATTGGGGCTGGTAGGGCAGAAGGCAAGGAGGTGAAAAATAGGTGGATTCAGAGCCAGTAATAGGCAAAACCAACTAATTCTGGTTTTGTCCCCATTCTTCTGCCTGCCGAGTTCTACAGATTCTAAGGAGGGGAAGCTAACAGACAGTGGACTGGATGTAAGGAAGCAAGCAGGCAGGTGGGACCTTGCTGAGGAGAGACTGAGATTGGTGGAGCAGTACCCCATTTGGCTTATTGGACCAGTGATCAATAGAACCTTCCCCTTATGTAATATTTTACTTAATGATACAGTGCCTATCAATAAATAAAGGTAAAGGGACCCCTGACTGTTAAGACCAGTCGCGGACGACTCTAGGGTTGCAGCGCTCAGGGAGCAGGCATTTGTCCGCAGACAGCTTCCGGGTCATGTGGCCAGCATGACTAAGCCGCTTCTGGCGACCCAAAGCAGCTTACGGAAACGCTGTTTACCTCCCTGCCAAAGCGGTACCTATTTATCGACTTGCACTAGCATGCTTTCGAACTGCTAGGTTGGCAGGAGCAGGGACCGAGCAACGGGAGCTCACCCCATCATGGGGATTTGAACCACTGACCTTCTGATCAGCAAGCCCTAGCCCCAGTGGTTTATACCACAGCGCCACCCACATCCCTTCTATCAATAAATATTCCTGAGCAAATAGGACTAGCCTGAACCCCTAGATAGCAACTGGTCAGGAACAATTTCATTCCCCCCCCCCCCCAGGTTCTTGTACTGCTCTAGGATTGGTGCTAACAAGATAAAGGGTGACGATTGTGTCAAAATATTAAATTATGACTGAGGTCACTTGTTGCAGTGTGTTTTCCTCCACATATATTAGGAATACGCATATATAGAGGAGGAACTCTGAGAGCTTTAGCTCAGATTTATTGCTTGTTACAGGGCATCATCATGTAGGATGAAGTGGTTTAAGAGGAACCAAGATCTTTTCATCTTATAACACTTATACAAAATATGACTTTGCAGTACTATTTTATATGTACTAAATGAAAAGTCAGCTATTAAGGAGCACATTCTTTGACAGCAGGTGGCAGAACATGAAAGTCAAGTGGGTGGGGTGAAGGATGTGTGATAGGTACATTGATCACTATATAGGGGGATATGGTGACATCAGAATCCGCTATTCTGCAACTATTCCTGAAGAAAGAAAATGTGACACATCAACAAAAGATTTGTCATCAAAGGAAGAATTGCAAATGTTATTGGTTTTCATTGAAGTACACTCTCTACTGTTTGCTGAGTTCTGCCCACCTGCATTGTTATTCTGATACCCCAGTAGCCTGCAAAGAAAGATTAAATAGTCCCAATGGCAAATCTGGCATTTCTAATTGACTCAACATGTATTTTACATCCCTTTCTGTAAGTACCTTTATATAAAAATCAAAGAAAGCATGGTTCTCTATCATCACTGTCTGCGATGCAATACTGGACTACAGTGGTACCTCGGTTTATGAACTTAATCTGTTCTGGAAGTCCCTTCTTAAACCAAAGCCATTCTTAAAACAAGGTGCGCATTCCCTAATGAGGCTGTGGGTGCCCTTCCACCGTTCGGATTCCATTCTTAGACCAAGATAAAGTTTGCAAACCAGGACACTACTTCCGGTTTTGCGGAGTTCTTATACCAGATAGTTCATAAACAGGCCTGTTCTTAAACCAAGGTACCACTGTATACAGAAGTCCATTAAATGAGTTTGTAAATTAAACTGTTCACTATGGAAAGCATAATTTTGAGTATTTTGTCAAAGGTTTAATCAAGGGTTCATATGCAATTTACCATTTTATCTATAAAAATTATGTTCTGAATCTCGCTCATTAAATTATATACTCTTTATGACAACCTGTGTACGTACTTCTTATATTTTTCCAAAATATGCAGACAGTTCAATATTGACTAATATTTATTTTATTTATAAACTAATATTGATGTTTTTAAATATGATTTTGAATACAATACTTGTGAGATTTGAATAAAAAATGTAAAAGGCAGATGAATTCAGAAAAGTCCATTATTGCTCATATGTATGAACCTCCATGGTCTTCCATAGAGCTTTGACTATTTCATGTCAGCTGCAGAAGTAGTATAGTGCTGGCCTCATGAATAGAAGCTAAGTTGGGAGACAACTCTCTCATTTTCCAAGTACTATGAGGTTAGAAATAGGGCCCTTTGAAGTTGAGAGCTAACTCCCCATTTGTACTTTCCCAATTTTGGCAATATACACACAAAAATCAAACCGTGCTCACAAGAAATAAATTGGTAAATATGTGAAAAGTGATTCCCATTATAATCCTGATAGACAATATTATTACTCCTTTATTCTAGATGTGACCTGATGCTGTGAGACAGTCAATTCCCAGATAACAACTAATAAGGCGAGATTCAAATCAGCAAAGTCTTCATTTAAATTAGCAGCTCAATCTGTCAACCATTTGCTGCCTGGGTTCTCAATTTCGTAGCAATAATCCCCCAAGCTTGCCTAGTAACGAATAAAAATATTTGGTACTTACATGTGTGCATGTACATTTGCTGTGCATATATATATATCAAGAAGTTTTGTACAGGAGTCACAGTGTCACAGCAGTAATTCTCAAATCGCTACAGTTGATTAAGGAGGTGAAGATCTCCAGAACTACACTAGCCAGAAGTAGCCAGCATGCTGCCCTCCAGATGTTGTTGAACTCATCAGGGGCAATGCTGATCAGGCCTGATGGGAATTATAGTCCAATAACATCTGGAGGGCACTTGCACTAATGGAATCCAGTAAACGAAATATAAAAAACGACTGGATTTTTTAAACTCTCTTTCACTGGATTTTTATACTAGAGAAAGATAGATAGGAATAGAAAAAAGAATAGTAAATGCACTCCATTAATTGGTCTTTATATATTCTTACTCATTGGTCTTTGTATATTCCTGAGTTACATATTCTTGAATCACATATGTACTGTCATTTTAAAAGAACTAATGGCTGCACTTTTATTAATGAATGGAAATAAATGTTTTATGCTTGTACTGGTGATTTTCTCCCCTTTTATGTCTGTATTATTTTTAGCTTTGGATAGGATAATTGAGTAGTGCTTTAAATTTTTTTTAAAAAACCAGCTACAGTCTCATGTTTTCCATCCTCTTTGATATGCACTGTTCTGATTTCTTAGCATACATTATTGGTGAAAATGTAGTCGATAGAAATACGTTCACTTCTATAATGAGCATAAAAAACCTAGCTAAATAACAAAATGTCTGAACTTTGTTTCAGAGAGCAACTGACCTTTATTTCTACGAGAGCCATCCATGTTAGAAAATTCAATATGGCTTTCATCAGCCCAGTAGAGTCTTCTGTTGACATAATCTATTGTAAGAGCCATTGGTCTAGATATCTGTGTTTCTATCACAATTGTCTGATTAGAGCCATCCATGCCAACTCGGCCAATGTGAGGATACTCACAGCAATCAATCCAGTACAAATATCTAGGAAATAAAATTGATAACTCTTTTGTTTATTGATACAAATGTATTCGTCAGGAAAAATATATGTGTATAATCAGGGGATCAAGAATTATTCTATTACTGCAATCCTAAACATTCTAACTAGGAAGTACTATTGCTGGTTAGTAAATATAGAGCTCATTGATTATATTACTTGTCAAAAGAGTGAAAATCTACGAACTATGGGACAAACTAGACTCTATGATGGCAGGTCCATTTCTTTTCACTTGTTGGCTCCAGTTGAAACCAGGTGGTAGCAATGCTAATGTTACCAATAAAAGGAATGCACTGTCCTATGTCCTCTTCCCCTCAGTTGGAGCAAAGGATTAAGGTGGAATATGGTTCAGGAGAGAGAAGGGTTCAGTGCCCTTCACCCACATCTTAATTTTATTCTTAATAAAAGATCCCCACCCCAATTTATATGGATGTAATGAGCATATGAATGATGTCCCCAGAAGACCTCGTTTAGCTGTACTGTCTCAGAAAACAGAATCACACGTTGCAGGGCTGTTATTGTTGCTTGAGCAAATGATTCTGCAGGAAGATCCTGATTTCATCAATCAAATGACAAGTTCACAAATATTGATATTTTGCATCAGAAAAGAAAAACGAGTGACCCACATGTGGAACATGGGTCACATAAGATAAGGCGAGCTATTTCCACCACCGCCTGCCCCCCAAATTAGAAAAGGCCTCTGCTCATTTCTGAGGAGGGGAGGAGGATAGGCACTACTGCAGAAACAAAAATAAAATTTCTAAAGTGCACTTAATCAAAATTTATTCAGGCCAATTAAAATATTGGTCAGGGGCAGCTGAAAACAAAAGAACACTTTGTGTTATCTATATGCAATGTTACACATCCATTTCCCTGGCCACAGGGGCTTTAAATCTGCATACTGAAATCAATGGGCAGTTCACAGCATAAAAACACAAATACATAATAAAAACAAGAACAAAACAAAGCAGTAACACCCCTCGCTCCCCCCCACACACGTTTAAAAGGACATAGAGTCATAGAATGTTAATCAGACAAAGGCCTGGTTGAAGAGGAACATTTTCACCAGGTGCCTAAGATGTATAATGAATAAAGACATCACTATTGATTTGAAGATGCTGCAGCTCCAAAAGCTGTTAGGTGAGAAACAGCAACCCACCGCTGAAGGCCCTTTTTCTCTCCCCTACCAGATGTCAAAGGGATGGCTGGGTGCTTGGCAGAGTCAATCAGGAAATCCTACTGCTTGCCTGTTCTTTGATGTGAACACTATTGCTCACCTGTTCTTTGAGATGAGAGCTCCCAAAGCTAATTTCCAGGCTAGACCAAAGCTGGCTTGGCTGATATCTCTAATAAATAGCTACAGTCCTGGCTTGTAACATCCAGAGAAATAATGCCCAAAGAAAATATGTCACTGGGTATAATTTGGAGCAAAACATCTTGTCAAGGAACAAAAAAGCTTTACCAAATTCTTAAGATCTACTGGATGTTTGTATTAATTTTAATTGAGGGATCCATCTGCTCGTTAATTGTAAAAAAAATTCCTTATTCTGAAGCATAACTGTTTAAATATAGGGGAAGCTTTACTGCTTTATTATCTTATTTAAGGATGTTTCATCTCTTAATGATATTATGCTGTAAAGTTTTAACTTATTGCAAATATATCTCTGTCAGGTCACATAATTAACCCTCCTTCTGCCTTCAGAGGAGAAAAGGATATTTCAAGTTTCCATTCTGGAATTTTCAAATATGTTATGATAAATACTTGAGTTGTCTTTTGTAACTGTTAAACACATTCATAAACTAACCTCAGAACCCACATTCTCCTAATCAGATGTGATCAATTAACATAATTAGTTTGTAATATAGTTCCATACCCAGCTTGAGGATCTAAACAGAGATCTCTAGGGAACTTCACCCTTTTGCTCACAAGAACGGTGGGATACAGGCCATTGACTTTTGATACTTCAATAATCCTTTTTTCTGTGTCAGACCAATAGAGATTCTTTCCAACCCAGTCAACTGCAAGTGCATTAGGAACAGCTGTGTTATGAACTACCTAGAGAAATTAAAATTGTATAAGTAGTGGAATACACAGAAAAACAAGAACAGAATCCATTTCTTATTCTTGAAAAATATTTAAAAGATGCAAGAGAGAAACAAATGATATTACACTTGACAAATGTGATTTCGTAATTGGCAGCACAATTAATTGTATATCTACTGAGAAGTAAGTTTTGTTGTGCTCAAAGAGAGTATATAAGATTACAGACCAAATTTCCCAAGGTATTTGAGGGAAATTATGCATTTCTTAAAGAATATTAAAAATAACAAAAAAGAGGCTAAATTAAAACCCAGGTTGGTTTGAGAAAGCTATTTTAAAATAGTAAATTAATAGGGTTGCCATATGTCCAGAATTTCCTGGACATATCTGGAATACTGTAGTTGTAAGCAGTGTCTTTAAACATTTTACCCCTCCCACCAAAATTGCAACATAACTTTTACCCCAGCAACCCAGTGAACCAATCACTGCCCCAGGCCATCTTTAGAGACCCTGCCTGGTAACAGAGGGGCGGCTCAGCAGACCCCACCGCAACACGTGCTCTCCATGAAGGAGAACACACTTTGTAAGCAGTGTCTGGGCGGAAATTGCTAAAATGGCTGGGAAAATCTGGACATATGGCAACCTGTGTCGGCTGTATTGTTTTTGGCAATTTTCTTTAAAAATAGCCAGAATTTGCCAGAAAAGCTCCACAACTTTGGGTAAAGCTAAAAAAAAAGACTCAACCACTTTTCTGTCTAGATTTTCACTGTTTGAAATATGGCAACCCTAAATTTATTTTTTTAGTCCCTTTTCTCCAAGTGCAGGCTGATATCCAAACTGCTAGTTTAGACACTAGACATGTCCAGTAGAACTGCTGCTTTTCACTTTTTTGATTTTGGCAAGCAGGAAGACATGCCATGTTGTAATCTGCTTCTGTGAAAGCCCCCCAGAATCAAATGTAGCATGGAAAGTGGGCTGATTGCTTAGAAACACCTGGGGCATGTGAAATGCCTCTTTAGGTGTAACTGTCAGTGGGCGCTCAAGGATAAAAGACAGGAACAACCACCATTACTGTTAGACTTCAAGAACAAAGTGGGGTCCTTCCATATCAAGTGATCCAATACTTCATGTCTTCCCATTTTCTTAATATTCTGTACACTTGCTGAATGAGCAAAACTAAGTTTAAATCCAAAGAATTCTAACTTATTATTGTTAATTCTATCACGCTGGTTTGGAACACATTTTTAAAGGAAAACCCTGACTAGCCTTTCAAATGCCTTTTAACTGAATAACTTTCTAAAGAAATGCCTGATATGAAATGCCTGATATTATAGTTTTAAGCCTTGTTTATTCTGTTATATTTTACTCCAAGATCCTAAACAGAACCCAAATAAGGCAGATATGTATGTACAAAATATTTTTTTAAAATGTGATCTCATTGAGATCCCAATATTAAATTTTGCAAGTAGCTCTTATATATTTTTGATTTTTAAAAAATCATATTCATTTTTAATCACGTTTTAAATTTTGTAATTTAACTTTGAAATCTAAAGTAAGCCCATCATGTGACATATCATATTAAAGCCCATGAAGTTCTGAAGAGATCAGTACTCAAAAATGGGATGAGATTAAAAAAACAAAACTTTAGATTTGAACTTAATTTTGATCAAATATCCGGGCTGGGTTTTTATGGCTTTTGTGTAGGCTGGCAAGGCCAAAATTTTCCTTTTTCCTTTTTTTTTTGGAATTTCAAACCCTCATAACTCAAAAATGGGAGGAAATTAAAAAAACAAAACTTTAGATTTGAACTTAATTTTGATCATTCAACAAGTGTACCATACAGGATGCTGAAGCTATCAAGGGCAACTATCCAGTTACAGCTGTGCCCTTGCGTGGGATGGGCTGTACCACTGCCACTTCATGTACAACTTCTGCACCTAATAGTAAGGCCACACATTCATCACTTCGCACAGAGGCCATCTGAGATCTTACAAGGTATCGCAGGCAGTGGTTTTCCCCCGCTAGAAAAATAGGTGCTGGCACTCACCATGAAGTTGTTACAGTAAGCGCCATGAAGTTGTTACAGTTTAACAACAACAAAAGAGGTGCTGGTACTGTGTACACTTGAGTAAAAAGGTAAAGGTAAAGGGACCACTGACCATTAGGTCCAGTCGTGGCCGGCTCTGGGGTTGCAGTGCTCATCTCGCTTTATTTGCCGAGTACAGCTTCCGGGGCATGTGGCCAGCATGACTAAGCTGCTTCTGGCGAACCAGAGCAGCGCACGGAAACGCCGTTTACCTTCCCGCCAGAGCGGTACCTATTTATCTACTTGCACTTTGACGTGCTTTCAAACTGCTAGGTTGGCAGGAGCAGGGACCGAGCAACGGGAGCTCACCCCGTCACGGGGATTCAAACCGCCAACCTTCTGATCAGCAAGTCCTAGGCTCTGTGATTTAACCCACAGTGCCACCCGTGTCCCTGTACCCTTGAGTACCCCCTGGGAAAAAGCACTGATTGCAGGAGTATCCTGAGACCTTGTACAACTGTCCCAGAGCCCTGCAAGCAAGGCACAGGGCTTAAAAATTCTTTGCACCAATAACTTGTTAAGAAAAATAAGTTGCAAACATACAGGATAAATTCAATCAGCATCCTTAAATGACTTTTCTAACCCATCAAATAAAACAAGCTGCTTTGACTTCATTCAATCATATTGTGACATACAGCATACAGTTTTGTAACGGTATCTTCATTTTTATTTGCTATTAGAATTACCTAACCACACATTTAACTGGACATGTATTAGCTGAATAAACTATCTGCACGATTTGAGCCCAGTTATCTTTAGTAAAACATAAAAATAAAGAACAGATATGCTATTTTGTATTTATAATAATTCTTACTAGCTTCAGTTGTGCAAATGCATAACCCTATTTGGCATATAATAATATTAAGTAGGAACCCAAATAATGTTTATAATTCCATGATTACTTTCCAATCACCTTGACATCATTTCCATTCAGATTCATTCTGTTTATTCTACTGCCATTTGGCCTGCTGGAATCAATCCAATAGACGAACTCCTCTTTGTAATCAAAGTCTACTGCAATCACATTGTTCAGACCCTGAAAAGGAAAAAATAATTAACCAGGTTTTTCCATAAGCCATTTAATACAACAAAGATGACAACTCTGACAAGATAAATAATCAAAGATTAATCAAAATGTATATAACTGTATAATATATGTCTTGTATATTTTCAAGTTTGATTTATATCTTTTAATAGAACATGATGCTGAAATGAGACTGCTCGATTGTGGCACTCACATGTTATTTAAACTGATAACTATAAATAACCTGAAATTAACTTCCCCTTTAAGTTAATTTATGTGTTACAAATTCAATTTTTTTTTCCAAGTCAGAAAGCAGTAAGGTTTGTACCAAAAAAAAAGGACATTGAAGCACATGTGGAGGGGGGGGGTAGTGTCCAACCTGGCTGCAAGGCCATTTTCCAGGACTTTTGATCTCCTAAAGTTCTGAATTTTTTGCAGCTAACAAAATCTATGAACCACATTCTGGATCTTTAAAAAGAATATAACAGGAATCAAACACAAAGGATAATGGACTTTGTGAAATAATAATGAATGGAAGAAGGGGTGGTGAATGCTTCCCTCCGTGAGGGAGCCTTCCCAGACCCGCTGAAAGAGGAGGTTATTAAACCGCTTCTTAAAAAACCATCTTTAGATGCGGCCACGATGGCCAACTATCGCCCAGTCTCAAATCTTCCATTCTTGGGCAAGGTGATTGAGCGAGTGGTTGCTGAACAACTCCAGGCACGCCTGGAAGAAGCGGACCATTTGGATCCCTTCCAGTCGGGATTCAGGCCTCATCATGGGACTGAAACTGCCTTGGTCGCACTGGTTGATGATCTCCGGCGGGCTAGGGACAAAGGTGAGAGCTGTTTCCTAGTTCTGCTGGATCTCTCAGCGGCGTTTGATACCATCGACCATAACATCCTTCTGGACCGTCTTGAGGGGCTGGGAGCTGGGGGCACTGTCATACAGTGGTTCCGCTCCTTCCTCCTGGGTCGTGTTCAGAAAATGGTGGTGGGGGATGAGTGTTCAGACCCCTGGGCTCTCGCTTGTGGGGTGCCTCAGGGTTCTGTCCTCTCCCCCATGCTTTTCAACATTTACATGCAGCTGCTGGGAGAGATCATCAGGAGGTTTGGGCTGGGTGTTCATCAGTATGCAGATGATACCCAGCTCTACCTCTCTTTTAAATCAGAACCAGTGAAGGCGGTGAAGGTCCTGTGTGAGTGTCTGGAGGCGGTTGGAGGATGGATGGCGGCTAACAGATTGAGGTTGAATCCTGACAAGACAGAAGTACTGTTTTTGGGGGACAGGAGGCGGGCAGGTGTGGAGGATCCCCTGGTCCTGAATGGGGTAACTGTGCCCCTGAAGGACCAGGTGTGCAGCCTGGGAGTCATTTTGGACTCACAGCTGTCCATGGAGGCACAGGTCAAATCTGTGTCCAGGGCAGCTGTTTACCAGCTCCATCTGGTATGTAGGCTGAGACCCTATCTGCCTGCAGACTGTCTCGCCAGAGTGGTGCAAGCTCTGGTTATCTCCCGCTTGGACTACTGCAATGCGCTCTACGTGACTACTGCAATGCGCTCTACGTGGGGCTACCTTTGAAGGTGACTCGGAAACTACAACTAATCCAGAATACGGCAGCTAGACTGGTGACTGGGGGCGGCGCCGAGACCATATAACACCGGTCTTGAAAGACCTACATTGGCTCCCAGTACGTTTCCAAGCACAATTCAAAGTGTTGGTGCTGACCTTTAAAGCCCTAAACGGCCTCAGTCCAGTATACCTGAAGGAGCGTCTCCACCCCCATCATTCTGCCCAGACGCTGAGGTCCAGCGCCGAGGGCCTTCTGGCGGTTCCCTCATTGCGAGAAGCAAAGCTACAGGGAACCAGGCAAAGGGCCTTCTCGGTAGTGGCGCCCGCCCTGTGGAACGCCCTCCCACGAGATGTCAAAGCGATAAACAACTACCTGACATTCAGAAGACATCTTAAGGCAGCCCTGTTCAGGGAAGTTTTTAACGTGTGATATTTTAGTGTATTTTTGGTTTCTATGGAAGCCGCCCAGAGTGGCTGGGGAGGCCCAGCCAGATGGGTGGGGTATAAATAATAAATTATTATTATTATTATTATTATTATTATTATTATTATTATTAGGGAATCCACCCCCCCAATGTACTGCAACTGATTTAGCATGGTTCCAATCTATTTATGTCTGCAAGGATACAATATACTTGGACAAGATTGCTTCAGAGCTCTTGCAATATTCCTTCTAGGTCCTATAACTTAATGGCAGGGATATTCAAATGATTCAGTTAGATGTAGTGCTAGTTTAAGTGGATGACATTTAAATGGAATTTTAGACTGAAAGGCAACATCCTCTGCAGGAGGATCCTAAGCAACCTATACGCAGCCACTGTCACCTGACCTGTTTTGAGTGCTGTCTTGGCATTGGGAGCCCTTATGTTATAGCCCCTAGAGATTTGTCCCCTTTCAGTGGCAGTTTAGGTGTGGGAAAATAAATACCATATATACTCAAGTATAAGCTGACCCGAATATAAGCTGAGGCACCTAATTTTAGCACAAAAAACTGTGAAAACCTATTGACTCGAGTATAAGCTGGTTCACCACACCACAAACCTGGTGGTGGCTACAGCGGCAGAGGAAGCACAAGCAGCCTGAAAGGGCTGCTTTCGGGCTGCTCGTTCGTCCTCCACTGCTGCCAACAGAGGCAAAGGCGGCGTAGGAAGGAGCAGCCCGAAAGGACCATCACTCGAGTACAAGCTGAGGGGGACTTTTTCAGCCTAAAAAATGTACTGAAAAAGTCGGCTTATACTCGAGTATATACGGTAGTTTGGTTTGGGCATGTTGACGCCCTTTAGGCACCTTTAGATGATGGGTTGGCCCGCGGGGCTCACTTCTCGGATTCTGCGGTTCAGAGGGTGAGATAGGAGCCTCCACCTGGGGTTCTGCAGTCCCAGGGATAAGGCTTCCTCACCTTCAGGGTGTTGCCTGGGAATTGGGGCAGGCTAGGAAGCCGTGCCTTAATTCCTTCGGCAAGGGTGGGTCACCCAATGGCTACAGTTATACAGTTAAGTTAGTTCTTGCCCCATGGTCATCCCCCTCTGCTGATTTCAATTTAAGATCTAAATAAAAGTGTCCCAGTTAAACCCCATCTTATGTGCCTGCCTCTTCGTTTGCCTATTGAGGTGCAAAAGCAGGTGCAGGAGAAATTATTCAGGATTCCATTAGAAGTGTGAAGTTAGATCACATAACACTCAAATTGGGAACTCTCAGATGTAGTTTCTGAGAACAAGCTCTGGGGGAAAGGGGGGATTCTCCAGGAAGGGAGAATAGATGCTATTCATAGTATCTCACAGTTAATGAATCAAATGTTCTTGACAAAATTGACAGGATTTTGAAAGAATTCATCCTTTGCGTATGCCAAGCTGGCTTAGGTGCTTTATTAATTCTTAACGAAAGAAACAGATTCCGAATATAAAGAGAGTCAGTTGGAAGCATTGAAACAAGTTAAACATTGGTCAACTTAAAAAAAAAAAACCCAAACACAAAATTTTAACATATTCTAATTCCAATCAACTGATATTTTAATATTTATGCCCTCCAGAAATGTCCATTAAAGACTGTGCATTTTGAATACATGGTCCAGTATATCTAGCAGAAATACTTACGGTGATTATACATTTACAAAATGGGATGCAATTCACAGTAGAAATATGGGTCTTATTAGAGTAGGATAACACATGATATGATGATGACTGGTGCTCATGAAAATAGACACTGGTAGTGGAACTTTATTTGTAGGGAAAAAAACATTTCAGCAGGTATGGCTACTCAGGATATTGGGACCTGAATAGTAATTAGATTTAACATATTATACATATTTGTATCAGGTCGAGTGGTCCATTTACATAATTAAGTAAGGTGACAAAGGAAAGTGTAATAAAGAGAAACCTCATTTATTATAGCCCTTTACAGTTACTAGAAATACAACAACTGAATTACAGACTTTTAATGCTCACAGCCAACCTTGTCCATAGCTTATCTTGTGCTATGGAGTGCAGTTAAGACTGTGGTTTTATGTTCATCAAGCATTCTAAACAGCAATGAGTATTAAGATTATTAAGTATTAATTAGATGATAATTGGAATTGTACCTGTTTCAATGAAGTGTAGTTGGATCCGTCAGTACTGATTTTTCTGATTTCATGATGGTCAGCCAGAATTAAAAAAGGTTCTTCATCTAAATATAGCGAAAGGAGAAAAATACTATGTTAGCATTTAAGTTAATTTATGGAGCTTCAAGAAAAGAAATACAAGTAGTGAAAAATAAAATGCTACATGCTGTGAACAGCGTTGTGGATGAAAGAAACATTAAAAGCATAATATTTCAAGTAAGATCAATGATGCGTCATAATCTGAACAAGAGATTCAATTAGCATTTCTTTCAGAGTACTTTAATTTAGCCTTTGTAATACAGAAAATGTATTAGCACTCTCAATAATTTCAATTCCAAAATGAATTTAAGCACAGCTACTCAGCCTGGCTTTTAAGGGACAAATAGGTGATAAGTAACAGTTGACATTAAGAAAGGGAAAAATTCAAAAGTCAGAAAGGTCCAAATTAATGCATGCCGGAATTTTCAGCGAGTAGTGAGCTGAATAGTTCTGAAAATACATTTAACTTACATTTTAATAATTCAAAATTTCTGTAAATGAAGTGCACGTGAAGCATACTTGGAACTAGTGTACATTAAAAAATACATTTATAGTGCAATACTATACATGTGTAATCACAAAGAAGCCCCATTAATTTTATTGGAACTTCCTAGTAAGTTATTCTCAGCACAACCTCAGAATAATATTTAAGAAATGTACAATAAAAGGTATGCTGAGCAAATTCAAACCACTCTAAGCCCTGATTTTCAGAGTGACAGATTTTCAGAGAGTCAGTTTTGCAAATCAGTTCTGGGCTATTCAAATGGCATGTAGAATGGTGATGTTGCTATGATCACTCCTGGCCTGTTCCTTCCAGTGCAGTGTATTTTGTGGAATGTTTCCCTGTAATTTCCCAACAATACATGCCTCTTGCAACTGGGCCTACTGAACATTAAAGAATGTTTGCATTAATTCTATTCCCACTAGCCCTCTCCTGCTTGTGAAAGGTGCAGCCGTCCAATTTCCAGGGACCCTCCTTCCTTCTCAGCCCCTACACCACAGCCTGTCCCATTCAGCAGGCCCCATTTAGCTGACCCTCAGGAGAGGATTTATGGAGGAGCTGCCGGGGCAGCGCCCCTTCACATGCTTTTCTCTAGTTCCAATCCCATAATGTGAAACAAATGATGGGACAAGATGCTCACATCTGGACAAACATCTATTTTTACCTAAGAAGAAGAATGCCTTAAGACAGTTTGGTTAGTACCGGAAAGTTTAATGCATTGTGCATTACACAGATAATTTTGTTTGAACAAAGTATGTTTAGGTCTTAAACCTGCATGACTAAAGGAAAATGTCAAAACTAACTTAAGTTGCATTGCTTTCCATGGGACTTAGTTATGACTAAGTTTAACTGCACTGAGTCAGTAATATTCCAGAAGCCAAGGAAGCAAATGATACCTGAAAGTGACTTGCAGCCATTTGGGTTATTAGGTTGCACCTCATAACCATCTGCACACAAACATTTGTAGGTGCCATATGTATTGACGCACTGCTGGCTGCACGGAAAGCCAGACAAACATTCATCAATATCCACACAAGTTTTGCCATCATCCTTCATGTGGAAGCCAGGCCAACATTTACACTACAAGGAAAAATAAAAGCAAATTATACATCAGACATCCTAAGGGTAGCTGCTTTCTTTCTTGCACAGGCACCGTATCAATGTGATCAAAATGTTGTTTAAAACCTAGTAATATAACATCTAAAATAACTTTTAAATGACAATTCAGACCAAGTCGTCCTCTCCAGGTGGTTTTCCATAGCAGAAGTTTTATATTTCTGCTGCATGTTTCTGTAAGAAATTCCGAAGCCCACTTTATGAAGGAGAAGAGGTAGCAAGGTTTGAGGATACAAGTTAGAGATGGACTGTGAAGATCTACCCAAAGCATACAGATGATCGTGATCTCCTTGTTGCTAAATGCTACACTAATATTTACCATCCTGCTCTTTCCAGGGCCAAAGCAGGGCAGAGAAGAGGAACCTAACTTTTCATACCCGTCATACTCGACTAGCAGGTAGAAATATTTTTCAGCAGCTTCTGCTCCCCACATCACATACATACACATACTGATAGACCTTCCCTTATATGCTTTAAAGAACCTTAGGGGAAAATATTCCTCATACCACCTCCAATTCTTTCCTCCCAATCTTTTCTCTTCTACTTTTCTCTCATACTTTTCTCTTCATTTCCCAGCCATTAGACATGGGATGCTAGAAGCATTCATACAAAAGTACTGGGGGAAGCCAATGGGCTAGTATTGTGAAATTTCATCCCCCCTTCCGCTTCAAAAAGGTGAGTATAATCAAGTTCCGTCTTCATGCTAATTTACAAAAGCTCTAAACACATTTTTAATTTTTCATATATTTAATTTACTGGTGTTATTTTGATATTTCTGCTGGTTATTCAGTGTGATGGGACTAGTTCCACATGATTTTGTAGTTGTTTTAATGTTCTTTTAATTGTGAACCTGGTCAAAAATCTATGGGAGATTAACATTTAAAAGTAAAATGATGAACAATTAAAATATTTTTAAGATGACTGACATTGCTATACATTTTTTTTCTTTGCTGCTTCCCTCAGTCTGCTTCTCTTTTTTTCACTACTACCACCAAAATATTTAGCTCATAGCCTTACATTAGAGGTGGGGAACTTGTGTCTTTCTGGAAGTTGTTGCACTACAATTCCCATGGTGGGAGGGACTGATGGGAGCTACAGTCCAAAAGCATTAGGAGGAGGAGAATAATCCTTTATTCTGACCAAAAGAAAGGCATATCAAGATATTCAGACATATTTCAGTTTATTTGGCTTTCCATGAAACATTCCGCCCCCAAATCATATAAAACTAAATCTTGTATTAGTCATAGAGTCTTATACCCTCTGTATTATAGTAATGGAATAGCAAAAACTGGTGAGCACAAGGTGTGCTCTCTTTTCCAGGAAGTGTCAAATTCTAATGTTTATGGTACCTATGCAAGTCAAATTTAAGATTTAAAACTCTATTTATAACGTACTATTTTACACACCAGGACTACCAACCTTGTACCCAACAGGAAGATCTTGACAATCTTGAGAACAGCCACTGACTTTCTTACTCAAGCATTCGTTAATATGGCAGTTTCTCTCATCCGATCCATCACCACAATCTTGTTTAGTATCACAAACATTTTCTTGGGGAATACACTTGCCATTTTTGCACATAAAAAAGGAACTGTTGCAAGACTGTTCTAAAAATAAGAAACAAGAGGGAAAGGACACAAATGGATTGCAATGAACACGTTGAGATGTGTCAGGATTAACATGTGGGCTGCATCTTAATTTAGAAACAGATCATTCGTGAAAATTCAGTCCAGCCCTTTCATATTCTGTTTGCATATCCCACAGCAACATTTCCATTTATAGAAAGTCTGTCATCAATTTCACTGGATTACATCACCAGTCAGTGTAACTATGATTAGTCATAAACATACTGCTGGTTTGTTTCAAATAGTAAATACAAGTTCTGTCTATATTTCCTTTCCTCCAACACCTATATGTATAGCCCAAGTGTGGCCCTCAGCTGGATTTCATCTGGCCCTTTGAGTTCCCTCCTGTCTATCAGCTATTTAGCATAAAGAGGGAAAAGGCCTTCATGTTGCAAAATATGGAACACTGGGTCTTGCCTCTGCAGGAAGATCAAAACATAGGGGGAATAAAACAACAACAGCAAGCCCTGCAGCACCCCACAGCTTAAGATCCAGGGGGCTGAGAAACTCTCATCCAGTGCTCCTTTCTGGAACTTCCCCTGGAACCACCGCAGATCAGAATCACCACAGATCAATGCCTCTGATATCCATCTCCCATACATGGTCCAGGAGGGTCGAAAGCCAAGGCGAGATCTTGTAACAGCAACAGGGTCATACTCCCACTGTCCTTCTAAGAGAGATTATTCATAAGGGGCGGCCAAGGCAGATTCAGTACCAAACTGTCTCACTAAAGATGATGATGACCCACCCTTCACCTTAAAGTTTCAGGACAGATTCCAACATTAAAATACTATACTAAAAACAGCTTTAAATAGCTTATAATTACAGAAGTAAGGTGTGTCCTAAAAAGATAAACCTCAAATGACAAAAGTCAGGGTAAAGAGGTACATCTTCATCATTAACTGGAAGCTGTATAAACAAGGCACCAGATTCATCTCTGTGGGGGTTGGGGTTCCCCAACTTTGGGGCTGCCACAGAGAATGCCATCTTCCTGGTCACCAACCCCTGAGCTTCTGAGGGTAGAGGAACTACTGAGGACTTGTGTTCCTTGCAAATATGCAAATTTGCACACCTGCAATTTTCAGGATGCAATTGTAGTTTTGACGTTCAAGATTTTGAACAGAGATAGAGCAAGGCTTATAGTTTTGCTGTGCAATTACGTTACTAACCCTGGGTTGGACAATTTGAGAGCCTGATCCTCCCTTAGTTCTTTGTGGCCTGAATGTTCTCTCAACACTCCACAAATACCAAATTTTACTGAAAACTACATTATTATTTAACAACAATGCTAAATTATTTTACACATATATTTAATTGTAAAGATATTTTAAAGGCTGAACCTGCGCTTCTGCATTTTATGTTAATTGGATGTTCATCAGAATGGTCTGGACAATCAAAATCTCCATCACATTGCCACTGAGAATTTAACAGGCATCTTCCATCAGCACAGCTGAATTCTCCAGGATTACAGTGACGATAGCCTAAAAAAGAGTGGCCAAACATTAATAATGTAGACCTCTAATATTTATATTCCAAAAAAGGTACTATCTATCTTTTTCAAACAGGAGCTGATCCATAGAACATTTCAAAGTACTTTGCAGATGTCTTCCTTAGCAGATGCAAACTTCAGCCATAGTGGTGACCAAACTATCCACCTCCTTCTCTGCTGCTGTGCCTCTACAGGTGACCCGGGTATGGCCAAAAGGAGCAGTTTCAACAGCTTTTAGCAAGGAGCTACATGGAAACACCCAATTCCATGGCTGAAAGCTGTTGTAACTACTCTGACAAAGCAGAACAGTCTCCAACCATGAAACAGGGCACACAGGGCTTACAATTCTTCATGAGCAACTACAGTAGCAGATTTAACAGTTTCTGGATCTCTGCTAAATATGATAGGGTTGGGACATGTCTGCAACATGGCTGTAGCCTAGGCTCACATAACCTAGAATTCTACACTGAAACTAGTTTTTGAAGACAGACTAGAAATGTGTCTGATCTGACAAATATAAAGGGTTTGAGTTTAAAACAATAAATTTTCTTACTTACTTTGCCAAACGTTTATTAGGCATTACAAGTATAGGCCATCATAAAATATCCATATATAAAATTTTAAACTATATACAAATAAACAGCCATGAAAATATATAATAACAAGGATTTTCATTGGGATTTCTTCCTGCTAAATAGTGCCATTCACCCCTCTAGGAGATACTATCCAATACATTTGTCAGATTAGAGTTCTTTACTCAAAATTATTCTGCTGTGAGTTAAGCAGTAACCTGGCTGAAGCCACCCAATAAGTATTATGGCTCAGTTCCAATTTATCCCAAGCTCTGAAATTTCCAAATCCAAAACTCTATCCACAGCAAAGAAATACCTGTTTACCCTCTTGTTCTTTGATTTTACTGGTAAATGTGAAATGTTTATTTTCAAGAGAAATACATAGCGACTTATTTATAAATGATAACTCCATGGTCTATTTAAAGTTGACTGGATTCCACATTCTGTCAAATAGGACATATTGAAGAGATCAAATATCTGGTGCTTCTTAGAAACCATTTTAATACATTGACAAATTGCTCTGAAAAGGCAAAGATTTTCTCTACAGAAATCTTAAAGGAATATGAGCACTGCTTCCTTAGAAGAAGAAGAAATTTAAAACCTGTTAACTTACTTTCTTCAAACGATTTTATTCTATTTGTGGGGAGTTTATCCTTGTCAGCAGACAGATACAGAGCACACAAACTTCAGCATTAAGACCTGTCTCTGTATCATAGATTAACAGTGCAATTTCACACAGGTGTCCTCAGTAACTCACATTGAATTTAACAGACTTTCTCCCAGGTGTGCATAGGATTGCAGCCTAAGCTTCTCACAATGCTCCATTTATAGTGCACCAATGTACTACTACTAATGCCTTATTTTAGGGAAACTTATTTCAGGGAAAAATATTTTAGGGGAAAATATATTAGAAAAAGCAAAAGTAAGCACATTCCTTTGGAACTTCTTTCTTTGGGAACTTGGAAATTTCAACTGGTTCAAAATGAAGCAGCCAGATTACTGTCTATTTTTTCATTTCAAACTCATATAGCTCCAGTTTTAAAACAGCTGTACTGCTTGCCAGTTTGTGTCCACACCCACTTCACAGTGCTCACATTAAAGCCCCAAATGACATAGGCCCAAAAGTATCTTAAGAGTGCCTCCTTCCTTGCTGAAGCTTTCAGGTGTAAAAAATTATACTTGCCACATTCTAGCGATTCATCCGATCCATCTCCACAGTCATTATCATGGTCACATACAAACTGCTTGGGAATGCAGACTTTATTGTGGCATGTGAAAGTATTTTCGTCACAAGTATTATTAGGAGCTAAGAAAAAGAAAATGGAGTGCAAGACAGTGAACCACCAACTTATAAAGAGAAAATGTCAAGTTACTGTCAGCCACCAATACAGTGGTACAGATAAATACAGCAACCCCTCATCTTATTTATGTATGTTGCAAAATGGTTCATACCACATCCTGCTGTGGCAAGCTCATCACTTCCATTCGGACAGTCTCTTTCACCATCACAAAGCCAGTGCTGAGGAACACAGGCATAGGAACCTAAGCAGCTGAACATGTCTGAGGCACAGGTTACGGAGCCTGGGGGAAAAAAATTGGTATGATTTTAATTTTATTTGTTATGTACAAAAGTTATATTCTGATGTGACTTGTTAAAAAATAAAATAACATATACTACAATTTTCTTTAATGATTTCTAAAATCTGAAGTCAAACAACAAAGACAATACCTCTGAGTCAGTAGCAGTTAGGGACATGCATGGGTGGGACTGCGCTGCTCAGCAGGGACAGTGTAGGCGCAACATTGAGATTGTAGGGTTGTGTCCACTTCTGTGCTACACTGTGCTGAGCTCCTTACTGCCTTTTCCTTCCTTCTCAGTAACTGGCAGTGATGTGCAGCATTGGGAAGTCAGAAGAGCAACACAGCTGCGCCTGCACAGCCTCACCAGCCACAACTGGTTCAAGGAACTTGGATATTGCTCATCAAGTTCTTATTACTGCACAATACCATATGTCTTATAAGGGATACCAAATATTACATATACTTCTTATATCCTACAGAATATGATAACGCTCCAATACTTATTTCTGGTGGTTGTTCATTGAGTTGACTGAATGAAGAGGCTAGGGCCAAGTAATTTTGAAATGTGCACCCCAAGCTCATATTTGTATCACTGTAGTACTCACCACATATAGGTTTGCTTTCATCCAAGCCATTTCCACAATCATCCTCCCCATCACAAATCCATTGTTTAGAGATACACTTATTTTCAGAACAAGCAAACTGATTCCATGAACAAGAGGAATCTGCAAGGGCATGTAAATGATAGGTGTTGCATATATTCAATAGGAACAGATTCAATATCAACACTATGAAAAAAAATCTAGCATGCTCCCCCCCCCCCACCTTATTGACAAGCAAAATTCTTCCTAGAAATTTCCGATAAAGTTCATTTCACATATTGCCCATCTGGAAATTCCCTTCAAAATTCCTAAAGAGCTGATGGAATTTTGCTCAGCTTCTCCAGGCATTGTTAAGATTGTTTAGTTGTTTAGTCGTGTCCGACTCTTCGTGACCCCATGGACCAGAGCACGTCAGGCACTTCTGTCTTCGTTAAGATTGTTTATATATCTTTAAATCACATTATAATCTACCTCCCATCTTTAACAAATGTAAATAAAAATAATTCTTGTTCTACTATTCAAAAACAGCTACGTAGAGGAAAAGACACATATGCATGCCTTCCAACAAGCATTGAAAAATGTAATCTTATGTTAAACAAATATCCTACAACATATTATGTGAATACTTTTGCCCACTACTAAAGGTATTTTAAGTTTTCACGAACATATTGTAAAAAAATAAAACAGCTCTAAGATCAAAATAATTACAAACTTTCTTAACAGCTTGAACTTGTATGGTTATGTGTAATCTAACAGTAATATATATATATATATATATCTATATATATATATATCTATATCTATATATATATATCTATATATTTATATATATATCTATATTATCTATATATCTATATATATATATATATATATATATATATATGTTCTCACAAGAAAAATGGCAAAGATCTTTGAGGGACTAAATATTCATTGAGGGACATTACACCATAGTAATACATATGAAACGCATTGAAATTGCAGAGGAGTCCTGCAGCAAGGCAGATTTTGATTATCTGTCTTTCTGCAGCCTCCACTGACATGTTCCTCATTGTTCCAGAAAGTTCTCCATCCCCCCAGAACAGCTTTCCAGGATACTAAAGTAGTAAGGAATAATTTATGGAAATCATCTCCTTCTCCTCCACCTCCACCTCCTCTGCATACTCTAATCACACCAAAATATATTTATAAGTTTGTTGATCTCTAGCAAAGGAACCTAACAGCAGAATCCTATACATGTCACTTCAAAGTCAGCCCCTAGGTAATTTTAGACTCTGGAATGAATGGTCTTCTTGCATCCCTCCTTTAGAAGTCAACATGTATTATTTCAGTTGCACAGCACACAACATTTCTTTCTCTCCTCCCTCCCACCATTACCAGATTTTATATGACTTATTTTATGCTGCTCTCTGATGGTCTTTGCAGGGGGCTGGACTGTGGGGCAAAGATCCTAACTGCACCACTCACTACGGAGCTATACTAGATTACAATCTAGGTATATATGTATATGATTAGAGCCTAAATGACCAAATTATACAATAAAGTGTTTGCTATGTATCATGCCTATATAATTTGCAGGATTTCAAGCTGTTCATTGAGATTTGTTAAAATACCAGTTTAGTTTAATTGTATTCTTTTTCTTGCAGAGATTTCAATTGACATCTCCTTTGCACAAACATCCATGGTTCAAAGATAAGATACTAACAGCAGTGAGGTAAGATACTAACCACAGTGCAATTCATCACTTCCATCTTCACAATCTTTTTGACCATCACATACCCAGGTATTCAAAATACACCTCCCACTTGGACAACTAAAATAATTTTCTTCACATGTATGCTTGTTTCGAACTGCAAATAAAATAAAAGAAGCAATTTGTTTCTGGTAGTCATGGAATTTTGGATGAAATATACATAGAAAAGATTATCTGGGTTCGATCCACTAAATAGAAGGGCTCCTTTCATTCATGGAAGGGGTTTTGATCCAGTAAAGGCTCCCACAGGAGAAAGGGAAGAGGCAATATTTGCCCATTTTCTCTTCCCCATGTAGCCATGTCACCTTCTGCATTCTTTTGGACAGTTGCTCAGCTGTCCAGACCAGTTTCTCAGAGCACTGAAGGAATACCAACATTGCCACTTCCTCCTATATGCGGGAGTGCTCCATATACAGGTTTGTCAAAGAGAAACTCAACATACAATAAAGAAACAATGCCACTAATGAATAATTCTTTATCATGAATAAATATAGAAATTGTTTTTATTTCCATGATTACCTGGGCATTTAAGTTCATCTGTATAATCTCCACAGTCATTAGATCCATCACACATCCATTCTGGTAGTATACAAAGTGATGTAAAATTACAGCTAATAAATCCTGAAGATTTGACTCCAAGTTTATAGAAGTGAGCACAGTCTGTGCTATCTGAGGTACACAAAACGGAATGGGCATACATTAAAATATATTCTTTTCAGTGTGGATCTCATCACTGTGATTTCTTTGACAGTGGTTGCTTAATTTAGCTCCCACAATCACAGCATTGCCTGTTCCCAATTGAATTACATCACACAAATTAAACTTACAGTTATATATTAGTATTGTATAAGAAACAAATAGTTACAAATGAAAAAAAAAACCTAAATTCCTTACTGCAGTTTTTCTCATCAGAAGCATCCAAACAGTCCACAATCTGATTGCATTGCGCTGATTTTGCAATGCAAGTTCCATCTGCACAGTGAAATTCTGTTGAAGTACATCCTGAAACTACAGGGTGAAGTGTTTGGTGGGTGGGGAGGAAGAAAGAAAGATATAAACATAACTTGCAAGGTTTGGGATATTTAAGTTTAAAGTTGCTACTAAATTAATTACAACGCTTAAATGTGTGTTGTTTAAAAGTAGCAAGTCACACAGGGCCGTCTTAAGCATATCCGGTGCTATGGTGCAAAGATCCCTCCGGCGCCCCACCCCCCCATTTCCCAGAGTTGTTGACCTTTTTCCAAGCCTCTGTGGGGATCGCTCTCCTCCCACGGGGGCTTGGGAAGGAAGCTGCATGCCCACCAGCCATATGATTGACGGGGCGCAGCTGGCAGGTGTGCAGGAGGGAAAGGGGAGGCTGCCGGCAAAGCCGCACAGTTCCCCCACTTGCTGGGGCGCCCCTGAGAGGTCAGCGCCCTGGCGCAATGCGCCAGTAAATCTAATGGGAAAGACGGCTCTGCAGTCACACACATCATGACCACAGACCACAGCCCAGAAAAGCACATTGCACAGGTTGGCCTGTTCAAGACGCAAGCAAATACCCCTGTGGCATTTTATATACCCCTTGCTTCTTCATCCCACAGTCCATTATTTTCCTGGGTGAAAGATCCCTGCATTGTAGGGGGTTGTACAAGATGACCCTCATAGCCCCTTCCACCTCTACAATTCTATGATCCTATTATTCTAATTGCAGCCCTTTTCTGCATGTTTAAGGAAGATGCTGTGCATTATTAAGTCTCTACCTCCAAGTCTGAAAAGAAAAGCAGCGATATTGATCAGCTTGAGCTGAGAGAAGCTGAAAAGGGACATATTTCTGTAAAATAATGTGTATCCAATTGTGCTAATCTCGGCCCTACTTGGCCTAAATACCCAGTAGTTATGATAGGTTTAGCAGAGCACCCATGGTGGATTAAGATAGATGGCATTATGTCTGCCATTTTTATATAAACTGCTTGCGACTTTTCTGCAATTTTGTGCTGCTTTCTGTGAGACTAATTGAGACCGTGGCATCATGGCAAGAGTCTCAGCAAACAATTGTAAAGCAAAAAACAAAGGGGAAAGCATAACACATTTTTTGCAAGCCAGCACTGGAGTGTGCCAAAGTGCCCTGCCTGAAGAATCGCTGATGAAGCAGTGGTCCCAGTTACTCTCTTCCCCATCCAACTATAACCAATTGATTTGAGATGCTTTAAATATTATCATATGCAAGTTGCCTTACATTACTTTCTTTTTAGATATTTCACCTCACAGAATTAGTTTTATTTTCTGTACGTTCTACAAACCTATCATTTCACAATGCCATTGCACTTTGTGCACTAAAAAAAAAAAAGGTGATTTGCCAAAGTTACAGTCTTGAGTCTGCTTTTTCACTGGTTAAGCCAGACAGAAATTAAATGAAGTAAGATAGAATTATAGGGTAGAAATAAGGTAAGTGTCTGAGATATTTCTCCACAAAGTAGAACTACAGTAGACACATCGGTAATTGAACCAACAACAATATTCACAATACTATTCACTTGGGTGGAGATTCAGGGATATCTGAAATCAATCTCATACAACATTGGTAAACAGTGCACAATGTAGTAGCATTGGGTTTGCACTCTGAACTGCTCGATTTTCACCTACAGAGGCCTATTTTGCACACATAGGACTGCTGCTGAAAGTGAAAAACGCCTGCAGACGCTTATTTCTACATACCACTTATTCGACAAAATATGTTGTCTGAAATATTTGACTGGAATTGGGGGTGGGATGGTGGTGTTGAATTATAATTCTGGAGTTCAGATATGACTTTTATTGGTAGTCAATGAAAATAAATATTTGGTCATTGGTTCGGGACACTCACAGATTCTTGAAATTTAATAAATACTAGAATTCATAAACATTATACTGCAGGAAAAGAAACAAACAAAAAAAGTACCTTCACAGCCTATTTCATCAGACCCATCACCACAGTCATTTTTGCCATCACACACTTGATCAGTTGTAATACAGCGACGGTTAGAACAAGATTTAAAGCCTCTTCGACAGCTTCTATTTTCTGGTAAATTAAAATACAAAGACTATTATTTTATTTACATAACCTTCCTATTAACATGGCTAGATGAGAGTAAGTTTTGGTATTTGGAGCGGAGTCAATAAACTATGAATCAGCTTATATGGCTAGTCAGAAACATTACATGGAAACAAGATATGGCAATGTAACCCAATGAGATAAAAGGATCTTACCACAATAAAATAACTTCTCATCAGACTTGTCTTTACAATGGGAGATGCCATCGCAGGACAGCTGGTAATCAATGCATTCTCCATTTCCGCATTCAAACTCAGAGTAAAAGTTGCATGAGGAGTTTTTAGCTGAAAGAGTGAACAACAGAAAAGCAAGCATAAGTTTGTTTGTTTGTTTGTTTGTTTATTTAAAGTATGAATAATCTGCCCTTCGCCCAAAGTTCCCAGGGTGGAAATATACACAGTCTAAGCAAAAGAAAAAAGAAAAGAAAGAAGATCAAAACAAGTGTTAAAACAAAATACAGAAGTTCAAAGTAATGGTGCAACAGCCAATGGCAATTCTGTAACTAACTAAATATATATTACATAAATGATGTGTATTTCAGATTGCAAATATTCCACTTCAGAGTGCCCTGGACCCAAGCCATGGAGAAATAGAAGCCATGCTGCTATGAAAACACACACACACACACATATATATTTGTAATTTCCAATTTCATGATGTTCTGAAACCCTGAATTATTTCATTTTCTATTCAATTAAGAATGACTACTTTTGGAATAATAGAATCATAGAATTGTAGAGTTGGGAGGGGCCGACTCTTCAACTAAATAGTTGGACTAGCAGGAGCCACAGCAAGGAGTCTCCTCTCTCTTTCCCCTATGTGCCCACCAATCAGTTCTGGGAGGATCGGAAGAAGGGGAAGGAGAGGGGAGATGGGCCTGCCTGGCCAACTTAAATGCTTGAATTGATGGAATAATCAGCTTAGCAATATGTTGAATTCCACCCTCTGATGCCAACCATAAAAACCACATTTGTGCCAACCACAGATTACTACTATCTGCTACTGATTCCATACTGTCAATTAACAAGACCTGAACTGAAAGCAATGAATTTGGACAAGAACAGAAGACTAAATTGGTGGTATACCAAAACAATAAAAATGTGCTCTTGCCCTCATTTCTCCACACATGAAAAATTTTAAGCATACTTGGAAAAGATATAATACAGTGGTACCTCGGGTTACATACGTTTCAGGATACAGACTCTGCAAACCCAGAAATAGTACCTCGGGTTAAGAACTTTGCTTCAGGATGAGAACTGAAATTGCGCAGAGGTGGTGCGGCAGCAGCAGGAGGCCCCATTAGCTAAAGTGGTGCTTCAGGTTAAGAACAGTTTCAGGTTAAGAACGGACCTCCGGAATGAATTAAGTACGTAACCTCGAGTTACAACCGCCTCAGGTTACAAACGCTTCAGGTTACAAACTCAGCTAACCTGGAAGAGTTACCTCGAGTTGAGAACTTTGCCCCAGGATGAGAACAGAAATCGTGTGCCGGCGGCACAGCAGCAGCAAGAGGCCCCATTAGCATAAGCACACCTCTAGTTAAGAACAGTTTCAGGTTAAGAACAGACCTCCGGAACGAATTAAGTTAGTAACTAGAGGTACCACTGTATTACAATGTAGCGTATCCGTTACCTAACAACCAGTGGTAAGATCTGTACTAAAGTTGTCTGAGTTAAACAGCTTAATGCCTTTGGGAAGTAAAAATACTTGAACATGTTGCCAAATTAATTCCAGTTTAGAACTTACTGCAAATCAGCTGTGTGAGGTGCTCTCAGTGATATGCTGATGGTTTGTTAGTAGTGGTTCCAAGTCTATACTGAAATAAGCTGTTAATAAGAAATACTAATGTTTTAATTACATTAACTTGGAACCATTGCAAATCAGGTGCCTGTCCATACAAGATCAATTGATCTCTACAGGATATGAGTTTCACAGCTATTCTACGATTGTGGTACACTGCAGCTGTGCTACAGCTTTAATTAACATGCTTTTTATCACTGTAAATCATCTGTAGGAGCCACTTGATCTCAATTATAATGCCAAACAGGAGCACCAATGCAACAAGGACTGCATATCTATAGTACAGTCACTTTAATTTATTGAAGAAAATCTGCTTTAGATCAACTCTACATGCACAATTCCAAAGTTTGAAACATTTTAATTCCAGCAGTCACCTATGCTCTTTAAATAGCCTCTTGATGTGAAGTATTCAAATAAATCATACACATTATTAAATACAACTAATTAACAAAATATGGAAATATAAAATTGATGTAAATTTAATTGATGTTTACAGTTGCAAGCAGCACTTAAAGACTCTTGGAAAATGCCAAAAATTTCATTGGAGAAAGGTGCAAAAAGTCCTAAAATTTAGCGAATGGTAAAGGCAGAACGCTTACATTTCTCAGCTAACTTTCTGGATGTTTCAAAATACTGTTTCACATTTCTAGTTGGTGGTTTTAGATCACTCTCTTTATAAGAGTAATGGGTATGTGGAGAGTTCATAGGCTATGAGGGGTAGTTCCACTATTTGCCACCAGTCATGACTCTTGGACATTTGTGCAGTTGATATGCACAAATAACAATTAGTATTGTTATTGTTGTTATTGATTTGATTTATAACCAACATTTTACCCTAAAGTTTTACACTGAGTCATACATTCGGCAGAAGATAGGTTAAGCCAGAAGATAAAGGGTGCAGTGAAAAGGTTTGGGTACTCCTCCCATGGTTACGTGTAATTGTAAGGCATACATAATTCTTGGAACGCACAAGGGCAAATTCAAGCACTTACATGTATAAAAAAGAAATGCTTCAAAAGCTTTCATCAATATATTTTCCAGACAATTTAGCAGATACAAGCAAAATACTGCTGGATCTAGATATGCTGTAGGATTTTAATCTAATTTTTACTGTGAAATTACCCTGTCAGAACCTGCTTCACCTGATTGCAGTTCAAAATTCCATATCTATGGCTTTCACGCCTTCTTTTGTTCCTGGTGCCGTTCCAGTAGCGGGGCTAAGCAGCCATGGTGGGCTCCGTTTGTCCTCCATCCCTTGCCCCACCCTTGGGGTGCAGAACACACACACACGCCCCAGGCAGTGTGGAGACAAGCTCCACTGCCGATTGCTGCTATTATCAATTAATATTACTTACGCACACATCTGTTGTCATCTGTAAGTATTCGTTCACCCCTACAAGAACAATTAACACGGCCTTCGGGGGTCAGAAGACATAAGTCATGACAGCCCCCATTCATCTGGGCACAAGGGGATAATTCACCTAAAAAAGAGAGAAAGAGAGACACTATAATATAAAACCATTAAAAAAGAAGTAATCTAATATTGACATTGGAACTACTTGCTTTATTGTTCAGAAACGCTTGATGATAATAGTAACAATAATAATAATTTTATTATCTATGCCCTGCCCATCTGGCTGGGTTTCCCCAGTCACTCAATCTTGACTGATTTATGTCTAACAAAATTATGGGACGCCTAAGGAAACACAAATTAATTTTAAGCTTTGCTCTTAGTACATAGAGGAAAAAATGGAAAATAGGAAGCTGCAAGGTGCTTCATCTGTGACTGTATTTTGATACCTTCAAAACTGTATATATAAATAAAAATATTGCAGTTAAAAAAAAGGATTTTCCTTGCATAGCCGAACCTTGTGCCCTTCTCTTTTCCCTGGGGGTTGTCTCAATGCTCCAGAGAAAATTTGGGGACAGCATTGTGTGCCAAGTCCCATTATGCTAGCAGGAATCCTTGTGCTGGCTTCTGCTAGTGCACATTTCTGCAATTAGTTTTCCCTAATACAATGCATTTATATGCACACTTAACACTAATAATAGGCATTTTATATGCATTTTGAGATGAAGAACTGTATTGCAAAAATTTGAGAAGTGTGGGTCTCAAAAAAAGCTGTGCTTCAGGTAGATCATGTACTGTTTTAGGAAGTGCAAATTATGTAAAGTAAAGGTAAAGGTACCCCTGACCATTAGGTCCAGTCGTGACCGACTCTGGGGTTGTGCGTTCATCTCACTCTGTAGGCCGAGGGAGCCAGCGTTTGCCGCAGACAGCTTCCGGGTCATGTGGCCAGCATGACAAAGCTGCTTCTGGCGAACCAGAGCAGCACACAGAAACGCTGTTGTTTACCTTCCCGCCAGAGCGGTACCTATTTATCTACTTGCACTTTGATGTGCTTTCGAACTGCTAGGTGGGCAGGAGCTGGGACCGAGCAACGGGAGCTCACCCCATTGCGGGGATTCGAACCGCCGACCTTCTGATCGGCTAGCCCTAGGCTCTGTGGATTAACCCACAGCGCCACCCACTTCCCGCAAATTATGTAGATTTGCATTAAAATGAGAATGAAGCAGAATTTGTCCCACATTCCTAGGTGGTGGTGGTGAGGGTAGCACTGATGGGAGTGCTGCTGCCAATCCAATGCAAACCTCAATTTAGGAGTTGCCCTGCCCCAGGCCAGTCCAGGTAAACAGCAGTGATGTGGGGAGTGGGAGGGGGGACTCCACACACACAGTTAATGGAGCAGTTTAATGAGCAGGCCAATAGTAACTATATTAGAAGAATTAGGTACGTTGAATTGGGTGGCATTACTTCCTTCATGAAGTATGTGTCTAACCCCATTATTATAACACTGTGATGGTGTATGATACAGATGGGCAAACTTGCCAATTTCTGTTTACCCCAATTTCTCATTTTTCCACTCTTAAGTTCAGTTTTCCCATTTCCACATCATGTTGTAAATTAATTTAAAGAAAGGTCTTCATGACAATTCATGAGCATTTTAGTGTGACTTCCTCCAAAGCTTTGCATGCAATTTTACATTTTGCATGTGATTTCTCCTAAAATTGTGCATTTATATACACAATTTTCACTAATGTGAGCATTGTTCGGCACACTTTAGTATACAACTCTTTATACTTTGCTGGACTACTGCATTGCAAAATTCAGAGAAGTTCAGATTTTGACAGATAGCTGTGCTTCGGTTAGCACACTGTTTTGGAAAATACAAATTATAAATGCATATAAATGCAAATTGAATTAAACTTCTCCCCATCCCTAGTGCATGATGCCATAAATGCCTAGTACTACACTGCCTTAGGGAGTAATTTAAGCTATGGGACATTCACCCCCAAAGAAGTTTGAAATGGATCAGTATCAGACAGTGAGTTCCAAAGACCTTCCTGCAAATTCCAAGCCATATCAAGATGCATTGCACATTAGCCTATAAAGTTAAAAGTGGCCATGCTGGGCAAGTCTGATTATGGTTATAACTTTTCAGGTGTTTGCACAAGGCTTGAAGAGGATTCTTCATCTTTCTTTATCCAAAGGAATACTGCAAACCCATCATCTTGTGAAGATTAGCGCTTGTCAACAAATGCTTTAGTTAAGCTTGCAGCCCACTTTGGTATGTGACTTTCCTGTCATTAAAAAGGTTACTATATAACTAAATAAGGAATTACAGTATGATAAACTACAAAAATAACCCTTTTACTTATAACTATCTACCAATAAATAAATATTAATGGTGTGTTTGGTAACTTACAGCTGTTAGTGTCATTAGCAACAGCTATGATGCCCATTGGTTGATGTGGTATGTCAGATCTAAGAATTTTTGTATCTCCACCTGTATATTTATTGGATCGCAGAATAGCTCTTCTCACCCAGTCGGTCCAGAAGATCCAGTCATCATAAACGGCCAGACTGAGAAAGGTGCCAGGTCCAGATTTGACAATCACCTGGTTAGAAAAGGAAATAGGCATCAATTGAATTATATTTATACTCCTGCTGTTTGTCTATTTCATTTCTTCCACAGGATGTTATTTTTGTTTCAATCAATATCGGAGAATGGCAAGACAGATTGTTTCAACAAATGGCAAAAAGTTATTTCCAAAGATATCTGGCAAGGGAAAAACCATAACATATAAAGTATTGAGAGATGTGAAAGAGAGAGAAGGTTTCTCTCTGCTGGATACGAGATTATATTACGAAGCAGATTGTATGTGCTGGTTGAAGGAATGGTTGTTATTGAAGAAATCACATCTTTTAGATTTGGAAGGTCATGATAATATTTTAATAACATGGAAGGATTAATGTAAAAACCTGCAGTTTCAAAATATATATGGGATATACACGGGAATAGATATATAAAAGAATATGTTTAGAGAATATGGAGTATGCAGGAAGATGATAAGAAATTTTAAAAACCACAGAAAGAGGAGGAAGGGAGTCGGAGTTTGAAATGTTAAAATTATGACTGAATAATTGTTGTTATATATATCAATTATTTAATAAAAGTAATTGGGATTCTATGTATCAGTTCTTGGCATGCTGGCATCATTTGTGTCATTGGCATACACAATAGTTCAGAATATAGTTGCATTTCTATAGCAATGTAGTTGCATTTGGATAATTAAAAGTCACACATTATTTTTCCCACATCAATAAGGATTAAAGGGCACTGAATGGAGAAGGCAATATTATTGTAAATTATTTTTCTTCAGTTATACAGAAAGTATCAGCATATTTCTAGAAATCAGCATTATGATCTTACTCACATTTCTGAGTGATCCATCATATTCACACCTTTCTATTTTCCCCAAGCTGCCATCGGAAAAGTACAATTTCTCTGCACTGTGATCAATCGCAAGTCCATTTGGTGTCAGGAGGTCAGTGCTAATAACAACTTGTGCATTTTTGCCATACAATGTAGCTCTCATGATGCTTGGATGCTGCTCATTCCAATTAGTCCAAAACATTAAACTATATGAAAAAAGGTTGAAAGACAGACACAATTTCCTCATCTTAAAATGGACATTTCAGCCACATAAATGGACATATAATGCAGCAGTGGTTCTGCTTTTAAAGCTGATGGAATTATTGAAAACAGGTCCTTGTAATCACCATAAAATCACATCTACATCAGCAGCACTTCTTTAGATTAAGGGAATGGTGAAACAACTACTGAAATAGGACAAAAGGTTCCAGGGTTGAGGGCAAATAGTCTAGATGTTTTGGAGTGGGAGCTTTCTTTTAAAATATGTAGTCTCAGCGTTAAAAGGTCTCCCCACCCCCCACACGGTCCATCTCTCTGCTCAGTCGCTGTAGGACATGTTTTCCTTAGGAGTTGACATGATGGCAACAACATTGCGTCAAGATGTAAGTGCTGTTGCTGTCAACTCCTGTGAGGGGGAAAAAAACTTCGGCTGGTACTGAGAGAAAAAGAAAATGTGCTTAACTCTTGGGCTACCATTTAAAACATCAAGCTAAGTGACACTCCACCCAAATATTTTGGCTAACCCCACCACCAAAAGCTGAAAGGCAATCTAGACACACATGCACACACACACAAATCCCCACATTAGGATGGTGAAGTGCCACACTAGAAAGTGCCACTTCTGTTCAGGGATTCTAACAATCCAATCTCAGGGTTGAGATGCCATGGATATTCATCCAAGACTGACTTGAAAACAAATGTCTGGAGAAGAGGACTTTAAAAGAGAGATTTCAAGAAGCCTGGAAACTGCACATCTCCAACTTGGAAGAAGAGCAGTGCAATAGAAAGCATCATGGCATTCCTTTCCCCTATAGCTACCAGTCCCTCAAGAACCCTTCTCTTTGTTTTCCCACAATTAGGAGGTGGCAGTAGCAGCGAAGACATATTATTTTTTCTTCTTTCCACTCATTTGTCTTGAAGTGCTCCCTGGTGCATAACTCTGGCCTCAGCACGTTAGGCAGATAGGTGGGTCTTGAGACTACAGGCCACAATGCCTGTATGGAGATTCCAAGAGCCAAACTCAACTGCTCTGCCAGTTCTGATGCAGTCTCCAATGTGTTGGGATACAAGAGGAGGAATTGGGGAGAAACACTTCCTACTACTACCACCGTACTGTTTTACAGGTCAGTAAAGGAAATAGGGGATACTTTAGGAGCCAACAGGAAGGTGGGGTGTCATTTGACAAGTCCTTCAGACATGGGGAATAAAAGACTCGAAACCTGCATAGGCAACATATACAAACAAATGATTGCCCTTGCCCCACACAACTTGAATCTTTTTTACAGGCATCAAAAATTAAGCAAAAAGATAAAGAACACTTTGTTGTTGTTGTTGTTTAGTTGTTTAGTCGTGTCCGACTCTTCGTGACCCCATGGACCAGAGCACGCCAGGCATTCCTGTCTTCCACTGCCTCCCACAGTTTGGTCAGACTCATGTTTGTAGCTTCGAGAACACTGTCCAACCATCTTGTCCTCTGTCGTCCCCTTCTCCTTGTGCCCTCAATCTTTCCCAACATCAGGGTCTTTTCCAGGGAGTCTTCTCTTCTCATGAGGTGGCCAAAGTATTGGAGCCTCAGCTTCACGATCTGTCCTTCCAGTGAGCACTCAGGGCTAATTTCCTTAAGAATGGATGCATTTGATCTTCTTGCCGTCCATGGGATTCTCAAGAGTCTCCTCGAGCACCATAATTCAAAAGCATCAATTCTTCGGCGATCAGCCTTCTTTATGGTCCAGTTCTCACTTCCATACATCACTACTGGAAAAACCATGGCTTTAACTATACGGACCTTTGTTGGCAAGGTGATGTCTCTGCTTTTTAAGATGCTGTCTAGGTTTGCCATCACCTTTCTCCCAAGGAGCAGGCGTCTTTTAATTTTGTGACTGCTGTCACCATCTGCAGTGATCATGGAGCCCAAGAAAGTAAAATCTCTCACTGCCTCCATTTCTTCCCCTTCTGTTTGCAAGGAGGTGATGGGACCAGTGGCCATGATTTCGTTTTTTTTGATGTTGAGCTTCAGACCATAATTTGCACTCTCCTCTTTCACCCTCATTAAAAGGTTCTTTAATTCCTCCTCACTTTCTGCCTTCAAGGTTGTGTCATCTGCATATCTGAGGTTGTTGATATTTCTTCCGGCAATCTTAATTCCAGTTTGGGATTCATCCAGCCCAGCCTTTTGCATGATGAATTCTGCATATAAGTTAAATAAGCAGGGAGACAATATACAGCCTTGTTGTACTCCTTTCCCAATTTTGAACCAATCAGTTGTTCCATATCCAGTTCTAACTGTTGCTTCTTGTCCCACATAGAGATTTCTCAGGTGACAGATGAGGTGATCAGGCACTCCCATTTCTTTAAGAACTTGCTATAGTTTGCTGTGGTCGACACAGTCAAAGGCTTTTGCATAGTCAATGAAGCAGAAGTAGATGTCTTTCTGGAACTCTCTAGCTTTCTCCATAATCCACCGCATGTTTGCAATTTGGTCTCTGGTTCCTCTGCCCCTTCGAAATCCAGCTTGCACTTCTGGGAGTTCTCGGTCCACATACTGCTTAAGCCTGCCTTGTAGAATTTTAAGCATAACCTTGCTAGCGTGTGAAATGAGTGCAATTGTGCGGTAGTTGGAGCATTCTTTGGCACTGCCCTTCTTTGGGATTGGGATGGTAGACTGATCTTCTCCAATCCTCTGGCCACTGCTGAGTTTTCCAAATTTGCTGGCATATTGAGTGAGGCACCTTAACAGCATCATCTTTTAAAATTTTAAATAGTTCAGCTGGGATATCATCACTTCCACTGGCCTTGTTATTAGCAGTGCTTTCTAAGGCCCATTTGACTTCACTCTCCAGGATGTCTGGCTCAAGGTCAGCAACCACACCACCTGGGGTGTACGAGACATCCATATCTTTCTGGTATAATTCCTCTGTGTATTCTTGCCACCTCTTCTTGATGTCTTCTGCTTCTGTTAGGTCCTTTCCACTTTTGTCTTTTATTATGGTAAAAGAACACTATCTAATACCAAAAGGAATTTGTAGAAATCAAGACATTTTGGGCAAAATCCATTAAAAACATTAAGGTGCACTTACTCTTTGGTAGTCCCACAGACTATGATTGATTGGAATTATCTCATATTAGAAACATATACACACAACACTGTTTGTTTCCTAATGCAACCAAGAGGAACCTAACTTGACAATGTAAAGTTTGTCATACAGTAACGAATATGACTATGGCACTTACTTTTGGCATTCATCAAGAGCTAATACATGTGGATGATCATCTTCAGACATAGTTATGACTGCTTCTCTGTTGAAAGCACCTCTCCGTTTCTGATCAACTGTGTGTCTTGTGATAGAAGACGTAGTAGAGCTGGTCCAGTACAAAGTGTCCCATGTTCTATGATATGCAAGACCCTCCACAGAACCGACATCTGATGGAGAACACATATTTTATATTTAAATCAAGTGAGCACGTTCCAAAATAGAATTGTGTAAAACTGTCATTGTCACACATGCAAAAAAAAAAATGTAATTACCACACAAAAATAAGCTACCTGTGCAATGCTAATGGACACATGAATGTTTTAATAATTATTCTGGAAAATAATGGTTGAATAAGACTTGAATATGATTGAACATGATTGAATATGCTTGTTAAATAATAGTTTGAATTAACAGCAGTGGATAAATACAACAATTAGAATGTGAGTTGGGGGGTGAGTTATCTTGAATCAAGAATAAAGGGTGATAGCCAACTAAGGCATATGCAGAGTTTTCAGAGGTTCTACTTGGGGTACGACTAATGTTGAATATCATCCAACTACTGGATACTGCAAAGCTTCCATACATCCACAGAATGCTTCCAACATATATTGCCTGGCAGCTGGAGAAACGTTCCCAACATACACAGCAATCAGAGTGGTTTGTACATGTAGCAGGGGGACATAAATGCAGTTTATAAATAGTGGTTTGTAAATGTAGTAGGGGTTGTTTTGTGCGGGTTTGCAGAACTATCAGGGAAAGTAAGTAAATAAAATGACCCCTTCAGAAGTCATAGGAGAATGGGGACTGCTGCAAGTCCTTTGATTTCAACTGGAATGTAGCCTATTGGAAATAGCCATTAAAGATGGATATGAAACCATTAGCAACTGTCGTACACTAATTATTTGCCAACAAACTCATGATAAATATTTTTCATTGTCATCTGAAGTGTCAAATAATATTTTGATAACATGAAAATCAATGCCATACACTGATTTTCTCAATCTATAATAATGCATAGGATTTATATATCTATCAATATAATATTTTCAGCCCTGACACACTAAATCAGGGTGGGGAAGCTTTTTAGGCTAGTGGGCCAGATCACTATCTCTCCACCCCACACTTTAGTTCCTAAATTAAAGCACTGATGGCATTCAATACAGAGAACACCAATTATATTTATTTCATCTCATTCATGAAGCAATGCGTTTATGAGTTTATGAGTTTCAAATGAAGTGAACACTAATACAATATGATATTAATATACAACACTCACATTATTCACCTGCTCCTGACAATCTGAATTAAATCAGTAATATGGTATATAACTGATTAACTGTCTACACAACGGAAAGCAACAGCTTATGATTTACAGAGGCAATGGTACAGTGATCACATCATTACATTGCCAAATGCCATCTATCACTTTTACTGAACTTAACGAAGATGGATTACATCCCACCAATGAGATGCAGCCCATGAATACTATCCTGCTGCTCTTCATCTGACTTGCCTGGAAAACGGAATAGCAAATAAATATAAAAATAACGGATGAAATCACATGAAACATCCTTTCTTGTGCGTAGACAATACAAACAACTAAAAAACACCAGCCATTGCAATTGACACTATTACAACTGGTTAGTTCAAACTAGAAAAACACACACAGAGAGATTGTAAATATTATTTCCCCCATGTTTTAAGTTCATTCAACGTATTACGTTTCTTCTTCTTAAGATTCTATTCTTAAAATATCCTACAAAAATGGAAGGCACAGCTATTCCTCCTCCAACCTCAGCCCTCTAAGACATGGTGAATAAGGTACATGAAACCTATTACGCCCCATCCAGGATGTTTTGCCATTTCAGGCGAAACAGAAATACTTCCCACCTCCACCTCAGCTTTCCCATCATCACCAACTCCTCCTTCGCAGCCTCTCCTTTCACTAAAGGAGGCAAGGGAGTAGGAGGAGGCCAGAAAGGAGCAGACGATGGCAGGCTAGCAGCCCTGGCCCCATGAATTTGGAAAAAACAATATTGGGGGTTGCTGAACTAAAAGCAGCTGAAGAGCTTGATGCACATTCCTCATTTCCACACAAAAAAAGTTCCTACATAAATCTTTCCATTGGGTAATGAAAAAAGCACAGTGGCGGTGGTGGAAAAGACTAGTGGATGATTACGAAAGCACAGATTTCAGCAACAAATACAATCTGTTCTCTCACCACTGTACATGCTAAAACTGGGAACTAATAATGGCCATACATAATTAGGTGTTTGGCCTAAAGTATATCCATAAAGAATATTGTGAGCTGAGTTGTGGTCAGTGCATTTTTGGAGGTATTTTAACCATATTATGCATTTACCGGTACTGCTTGTTTTCTTGTTTACTGTGCTCACTCATTGTGTTCTTGCAATTTACCTTTTCAGGAAGAGTCTGTCAGTTGCTTTCCTAGCCCAGATGCTGGGAATGAGGTTGGTTTCTGACAATCTGTTCATACAGAATATTTGTAACAGACAACAGGTGGTCACCATTTGGTGACTGATATTAAAGCAGTGTTTTGAAGCAATAAACCATATGAGGATATGATTCAACAGTTCACACAAATTATAAATGGCACAATGAGAGCACTAATTAATTCTTTACTCTTTCAGTGGGTTCCTAAGATAGTCATAAAGAACAAACCACCAATTGCCTACCACCACCCCCAACATGTAATAATAAGCTATAATAAAAATGAATAAATTGGCAGGATGAAGAATTTGTCTCCTGACTGACAGATTGTTTGATTGTCTGATTAGATCCTTTTTGCAAACATTAAAAGAAAGATGCTACTTAGCATGATAAAATAAGTATGCATATGCAATTTGTAAAATTAGAAAATGTGGCACTTACTGAACTCATCAACCAACTCATCGGGATAGAGATTTAACACTATAATGACACATGCTTTTTGCGGGACTCTTTATACACCATAAAGAAAGTTAAATATTAGGCAATTTCTATGGAGCTTATTAGTAAAAAACACAAAACATTTAATACTTTTTTCCTGGATTGTCACAGACTTCATATTTTATTCAACTCATGGTGAAATTACAAAAATGATATATAGATCTTAAGTTTTTATTATAGAAAAAGTTATTGTACAGAAGCCTAAAAATATTAAGGGAACCTAAAATATATATCATGATTAATATTCAATAAGATAAATGCTAACCTAGATGCTTTTGTCTGGCAGTTAAATAGGAACCACTTAACTAAAAGGAACAGTAACACACATATGAACAACCTCAGTGGAGAGATATGCAATATATTACAAAGCCAGTCACTTTGTGTTAGGGATAAATTGACTTTTATTCTATAACTCCTATTGTACAAATAGTCTAGGCAGCCTTTCAATTCAGAACACTAATATTATGAAAAATGTGACAAACTGACAAAAGCAAATCAATAACATTTTCCATATATATATAGATATATATATACGCTAGGCGCTGAATTAATACTAGCTTTTCTCACTCAGTCCTTTAAAATCCTTTCCTCTGTCAGATTTTTTAAAAAAGATATGTATTGGCTTCATAACTACGTCATGATATAGGAGTTGAAAGGAACTGGAGTCCAGTGAATAAGCTGATGAAGCTGTTGAGAGCAGCCATTAGAAGTTTTGGAGCAAAGTGTCACCAACGCATTGATGACACACAGCTCTATTTCTCTGTAGCATCTGAATCAGAAGAGGCTGTCAAAACTCCGGTGTGAATGCAGTGGTGAATTGGAGTGGCCCCCCTATAAACTATGCTTGAATCATGGGAAGATTTGGATGGGTGGTCCCCGTGTCCAGGCAATAGGCAAGTTACCTCTTCTTTCTTAAGGAGTAGGAGTAGATAGGGACGCGGGTGGCGCTTTGGTCTAAACAACAGAGCCTAGGGCTTGCTGATCAGAAGGTCGGCGGTTCGAATCCCCATGAGGGGTGAGCTCCTGTTGCTCAGTCCCTGCTCCTGCCAACCTAGCAGTTCGAAAGCACGTCAAAGTGCAAGTAGATAAATAGGTACCACTCCAGCGGGAAGATAAATGGCGTTTCCGTGCGCTGCTCTGGTCCGTCAGAAGCGATTTAGTCATGCTGGCCACATGACCTGGAAAAACTGTCTGCGGACAAAACGCCGGCAACCCCAGAGTCATCCGCGACTGGACTTAACGGCCAGGGGTCCCTTTACCTTTACCTTTATGTAGCTTGGGGGTGACTCCTGCACACATCTCTGTCACTAGAGGTACAACTGTCCTTTGTGTCTAGGAATGCCTTTTTACCACCTTCATCATCAGCTACAGTCATTACTGAACAGCCTGACCGCTGTAATACATATTTTGGTAAACTCAAGGCTGGTTTATTGCAACACGCTCTGTGTGCGGCTTTCCTTAGGCCTCATCCAGGAAAACCAACTGGTCCAGAATGCAGCGGCACTGTTGTTGCTGATTTTTAAAAAATACTGCACTGGCTTCCCATCCACTACCAGGTCAGGCTCAAGGTTCTTGTATCAGTTTACACAGTTCTGAACAACTTAGGTCCTAGTTACCTTACGGACAACCTGGACCTATTTATCCAAACTGCATGATTGAGATCATCTGTAGGAGTGTTGTTAGTCAACTCCCAAGTTAGTAAGGCTGAATAGTAAGTAATAAAATGGGGAAGGAGAACCAAGGGAATCCATTTCTCCATCCCTTTCCTTCATTGCAAGTGGAGCGCCATTAACCCCAAGTCTGGCCCCAACTCACCATAATTTTAAACCAAATACAAGTGAAAATGCAATTTGCATCCCTTATTGTTACCATCAGCAAAACAATTCTAAAACAGCAGCTTTTAAAGTTTTGTTAGGACAGTCAAAAGAATACTGTAAACCGCTCTGTGATCCTCAGATGAAAGGTGGTATATAAATTTATTTGTTGTTGTTAATTTTTTCAGTGATAAAGCAATAATATTTTTTTTTTAGCACCATCATAATGCATGGTGCCTTACAGAGTTAAATGGGCATAAAAGATAAGTCCTTGCCGCCAATCTAAGATGTAAATGACCGCTACCTATAAACCCCCCCCATTTAAAAATGATAATTATATTTTAATAGAAGCCTATCTCCCACTTCTCCTATCCTGGTTTGTGATTTTTGCAAGCTCTCTCCTCATCCCCACCCCCATGCTACTCCATGCATAATCCATGTTGGAAAGGATGCAGTGCATTCTTACGGACATTCAGACTGAAGAACTTTACTAATATAATTCAAACATAAAAGGAGAAGATGCTGTCAGTCTTAACTTGCTCTTATACAGTTACTTATGCACCACTACAGGTAAATAATCTAACAAAATAACAACAACCAATACCAGGTTTATTACTGACCAACCACTAATTTAGTCTTTAAAAACCATCTAAAAACCATAATAGCTTCACATCTAAAATTACTCTCCCGATGTTGGAGAGCAATCTTTTTCTCACTAGTAGTGTTCATGTGCAAGAGATCACAAGTTGACAACGCAGCTGATCTTACATTTTAAACATACACAAGCACACACCCCTTTATTATATTAATCCTATGCTTACAATATGGTATTTAATTTGAAAAAGTGAATGCAGCATACATGACAGTTGACCGAACATATGGTGAGTTAAACTCTTCTTATATTTATTTATGGTGGTTAAAACTTGTTCGTGACTGATATCCTTGTGAGTTTTAAATCTGTTTTCAGTGAACTGGAAACATGTTAGATAATGGGTTGTTTATACACTGTAAATCTACTTTCAGTGAGCTGGAAATGTGTTAGATAATGGGTTGTTTATGAGTTGCAAATCTGTTCAGTGAGCTGAAAGTTTGTCAGATAATGGGCTGTTTATGAATTCTAAATCAATATTCAGTGAGTTGGAACTATGTTTGATAATGGTTTGTGTATGAGTAGTAAATCTGTTTCCAGTGAACTGGAAACATACTAGATAATGGGTTGTTTCTAAGTAGTAAATCTGTATCCAGTGAGGTGAAAACATGTTAGGGAATAGGGTGCTAGTGAGCTGTAAATCTGATTTAGTGAACTGGAAACCAGTTTAATGGAAGACTCCTTACAAGTCATAAATTTGGTTTCTGTGCAAAGAAAATGTTAAATTACGTGTAGGATTTGGGTAACCATTTGCTTTTAGGGATGTGTAAAATCCATCAATAAATAGTGTTTTTTTAAGTAGTAAAAGTTTCTGTGAAGTGGAAATGTATCTTCAATATCACCAATTTTATTCTAGAGTGTTTCAATGAAATACTGTAGATATTTGCTTGAATATACAGCAGCCAGATACAAATTTTGTTTTCTCTTAACTGGAGTAGGAGAGCCCAATTATAATAGTCAAAGCAATGAACAGGCATGGAAGGTTCTTCATTTCCTCTCTAAGATTAAAACCCTGAATTACATCAATGACACTTTCCTCCCCAATGCTACAAGCCCCTAAGAGGCAGAACTCTGAGTCACATCTAAATCTCTCAGCCACTATGCCTACACCACTATATCTCCTCTGAGGCTAATAGAAATATATGATAAAATGTTTTGCTTAACTGTTTTGCTTAATATCACTTCTACAATCTGTTCATGAAACAAATGTAGAAATTAGACTGGCCAGCTCCAGCAATATTGCCCTCTGTAATCTTGTGCATGAAGTCTGTCTCAGATTAGAATCTGAGACAGAGAAGAATTTTGGGATTTACCATGGTCAGTTTTTCTTTGGGGCAAACATCACTAAGTTGAAACTGGAAGCCAGTGCTCAATGTTATTGAAATAGCAATTGTGAATAAAGGCAAATAATTTTTTTAAAAAAAGTTCAGCTGCAACCAGTGCTTCAGTATCAGATGATATCCTAAAACCTGAGAGAATACATTTAGATTAAGAAATACTTAGATGCCCAATTTATTATTACAGCTTCCAATCAATTAAAAGTCAGTAATTAATCACTTGCCATTTAACCATTAAAGCTAATATTGTGTATTCTAAAACTCAACAAATTGCGTTTGGAGAGTCTAAACAAAATATAAGATCATTACAATTTAATAAACAAAAGCTACCACTCACTGCTAACAAGAAAAGTCTAGCTGGAATGTTTTCTTTTTCATTTCCTATTATGGGAATAGGCAGCTATGAACACAGCAAAAAAAGTGCACCCTTAAATTTGCCATCCCACAAATTAAACCAATTAAGGCTGCAATCTAAAAATACGTACAAAAGATAACATCCCAGTGAGTAAGCATTGCACTGCAAAGCTTCATTTATTGCAGTTATAATTTAGGGCATGAGATGGATGCACTTTGGGGGGGTAAAAATACCTAAAAGACAAGTGGATTTAAAAACAACCATGCATAAGTATACTTACTTTCAACTACAACTTTTCTGCCAGACCAATCATCTTTAATAAGTTGTATGTTACCAAAATGTGCATCACTGAAGAAGATTCGGTTAGTACGTCTTCCTTTTTGGCTGTAGTCAAAAGTCAGTGCTATCACATTTTTGAAATATTCAGGATTTTCGTAAGGTTGTATTGGTGAATTTAAATTTGTTTCATCCGAAAGATGTATACTTTTAAATATTGTTCTTCCTGAATAAAGCAAATAGCCATCATGTCTCAGGCATGTAACTCCGTCCTCGGCTAGGTAGCCATGTGCACAAGCACATGTTCTCTGCATATTTCCTCGAAAAAGGCAAAGTTGCTGACATCCACCATTGTTCTTTGCACAAATGTTGGTTCCTGCAGGGAAAACAATAAAAATTCTGATTTTTATAACTTACCATATCGTAATGATTTTGATCATGCTAATATCACACACCAGAAATGTTATTCATCCATGCATTTACAGTAATATAACTATTATTTAATTAAATTAAATGGCTCTTATGCCACCAATGGACGGAGAGGAACCCCCCCCCCCCAGTTTCCCCTTCCATTTGCAGCTTACTTTGTCCTCCAAAATAAGCTATGGAGGGTTGGGGGATCCTCTAGAACAGTGGGAAAGGCAGAATCAAGAAAATGACCTCTCTACCTTTCTGCTGGAACTATTATTAACCACAGTCATTAATCAATGATTGAAAGAATTGTTGAGATTTCTCTACAATTGCTAAGGGTTACTGTTATAGATATATATCGGCTATGAATGTTCAAATGTCTCATAAACGGTCATATTTTATTATTTTAGAGGGATTAGAAGAGTTATATGAAATATTAAGAAATGTTTATTTAAACAAATGTACTTGGAAACAAGTCCCTTTAATTTCAATATAATTTAAAAACAAATAAGTATGTATAGGCCTGGTTTGGTTTTGGTTGTTTTTATATACATAAAAAACAAACAAATCAAAAGTATCTGTAAACAGTATAAATCAATATATAGAAATTCTATATCTAGAAATACTTAAGTATATATAAATATAATCAAAAGCACAGACTTTTGTTTTAAATGGTCTGGTTGGTTATAAATGTTCATTGTAATATTTGTTAAATCAGGCAAAAATGAATAACTTAAGGACCAAATGTCAAAGTAACAACTTTTAAGTACCTCATGTTGGGAGTCCAACCTGTTACTAACACAGTTGTCAAAACATATTTCAACTATTAATTTTAATTTGTACTTTTGATGTTAGCTCAGTTTCTAATTATGGCTTGGATCCTGAATTTGCTTCTGCTGCTGGAAGAATCTCACGAACGGTGTTTTTCTAATGGTATGCTCCCACTGGTGAATGAGGGGATGATTTTGGTTGATTTCCCTATCCCTATGCAGCCCCATCCATGAAAATTAGGTCCAGATGGTCAGAGGACCCCCCTAGAACAACAGCAGGGAGAAGGAATTGGTAAAAGATTGCCTCATTCCCTCTGCGATTCCTTGTTGGATCTAAAATCTTCCATGAACAGAAGGAGTCCTTCTGTCTGCAGAAGGCATACTTAACCCTATATGTTTAAATTTTTGCTTTTCTGCATTCTTCCATAGACAAAAAGGGGGGAAAAATGGCAATGAAAACAAAATGATTTGATTACAAATTCAATCCTGATTCAAATGATCTAAGGAACTAATGTTCACTATTAACATTTTATGTGTCTCTGTGTGTATTTGACTGTTCACTGTTTTAAAGAAGTCTATCAATTATTGCTCATTCCAATAGAGACATTTGTTTACATGTAAACACATTCCAGTAATTTTGGTGCACTGCTAATAGGAGAGAAACCAAAGGCACAATTCAAGAGGTGCTCCCCACTGCTGATGTAACCTTTTCCACAATCACAAAGCAGCTGAGCACCTGTAACGCTAGACTAATTTTTGATTTCAGTATCTCACGCCCCATAATCTGTTGCCATGTGGCCATAAAAATTGCCTGGCTTTTCCTTGCCTCTGTAACACAGCAGACTGATATGCAGAAATTAGTAGGTGAAGCTTTTCATGACACAAAAAGTACACATTACTAAATTGCTGCAAATCAAATAGCTGTTAAGGCCAACTACAGAACAGTTCAAAAGTTGTCAGCTCTTGCCATGACATTTACCCTGATAATGTAGCACCCTGCTTGTGGTTAACGCTTAGCTGGAATGAAATATTCAACGCAGCAATAGAGAAATTAAAATAATAATTTATTTGTCAGACAAATAAATGAGAGACACAGTGGTATATGGTTACCAAAGCTCTGCCCACTCCAGCCCTGATGGCCAGCACTTATATTTCCTCAGCCCAGCCCCCTTGCTCCTCCTTTGGCTGCCTCTGTCCAATCAGCCTGGTTGAAATTCCTATTGGCTGTTTGCTAGAACCAATCATAAAAGATACACCCATTTCCTATTACCTTTTATGGGAGACAAAGAGCTATATTTCCTTCTATCCATAAATGGCAGACAAGTAGCCATATATCTTATATTTGCCTCGACCAGGCACCTTAATTACCAGATAACCTTTGGCCCCTGTTGCCCCTTTATTCCAAAACAAATGGCTAAAACAGATGGCTCATGGTATTAAATTTTGTCTAAACAGAGATCTTGGGTTCACCTTCTCACACACCATCAATGGAATAAGAATCTAACATAAGAATCTAACATTTCTTACTTTCTAAATCCTTTGCAGAATTACATTTAAGCCAATATATGCCTGGCATGAGACATACAAACATTTGCAAATATATTTTTTTAAGCTCATTTTAAAATGCAGACCTTGATCTGATGCCTCAATAATATCTTGTTCCTTGTTGGGAGCTTTTGCAACTGTTCTAGAATAAACATCTCCCAGTGAAACATGGGTTAGTTCCAGTGCCATGACCAGTGCTATTTTCCTAGGAAAAGAGGTGGCAGAACTCACCATGAACACCTCCGTTGTTCTATTATAATGGCAATGGCACCTGCCTGAGAGGGGCTGGAGCAAAAGCCCTGGCCATGACTTTTGGCCTTGCGGTAAGATATGCCTGGGGTTTGCTTAAGTATCAGATGCCTGTGCAGTATGGGGGAGCAAGGGAGGTAAAAAAGGGTCATTACAACAAAATAAAGTGTATTTGTAGATTACACTACATGTCCCCAATGTATCTAAACACATGAGACATCTTTCCTTGCCAAGCAAGCAGGTAATTGAACACAATCCATTGAGCCTCTATGTGCAAGTCTATGGATGTGTACAGCATATGCACAGAAGGGCCTTTCCCTTTGGGCAGAATCCAGCCATGTTAAGCACTTTGAACCCCATTGATTTAAATGGAAGTTTTAAACACAGCTTTAAAGCATTTGTAAGTTGGCCTGAATCATTCCTTCCTTTTCTGAATAGCAGCTCCAAGAAGTTGCTCTCTTTCAGAAAACCCATTGTGCAGTGAATCATGCAATGGTGGTTTGCAAATTAAAATGCTATCTCAAAAAATGATCTTTCTGTGGTCTCCTCTCCATCTCTGCAGTTAGCACAACAAATGCCACAAACAAGCCATGAGCTTCTAGTTACCTAGCATAACATATCTAACTTACGCTGATGTCAGTTACAAAGTTTATACTACTTATTATAGTATAGCAACCGAGAAATACTTAATTGTTTCTTTTAGATGGAAAGACTTATGCAATCATGCAAATAATATCAAATATTTTGGAGACATAATTTTACAATCATTAATGTTTTAGTAGGCTACAAAGGTTAATATTTGCTGTAGAAGGGTGTATATGCCACTTAATCAGTAAATGTATCTAAAAGTGTTACATATTTTGGATCATCTTTGCTTGTTGTAATGCCTTTCTGTTGTTGGTCTCCATCTGTCTCAAGAGACCACCGAGTGTGCCTGTGGAAGCTACGTCAAAGTACTCTGTTAACAGCACCAACTGACCTCATGGGGGCACAAATACTGGCATTCCTGTTATATTTTTACTTTCTCTACAACAACTTTACACACCCTGAGTGACCTCAATGGGACTCTGTGCAAATGAAAACCTGACTTTTGGCTTCAACTACTTTTCACTTCACTGATTTTAAATGCCCTTTAAACCATGCATTCAATTAAGACCCACTATCTAAAAATGAAGTTAATGCTATCAGTATTTAGGATCTTGCTGACAATGAAGATGCGGGCATCTCTGCTAGAAGGTCACATTAGAGGGTCAGTACTTGTTAAAGGATAAAACAGGTGTTTTGTGAACAATGAAATTATGCCTGTGCTTTCTCCCGTCTTGAACGGTCATCATGATGCCGATGCAATACAGCTTTAGGCCTGTGTTAATTACTTCTATCTTAATAAAACTTATTTTTTTAAAAAATAGTTGAAATGAGATAGAAAACATTTCAAAATATTTTCACCTGTTTCTCCCCTTTGTCTTCCTGGCTCACTGACAACCCCTCCCCCCCCCAGACATTAACCATTTGTCGCCTAGTAAAATTTGAAAAGTGTATTAATATCATTCAGATATGATTTTTTCAAACTGTCAGTCATCAAATTCTAGCATGTTACTTCATTATTCTCCCTTACCCCCATTATTATTTCATCTAGTGCAATCAAGTTGTAGACACAGGCACCATTCACCAGAATAAAACTGTTCAAAAGAAGCATAAAGCCCGTTTGAAGGAAGCAGGCATTAAATCTTACTAATTCAGCTGGGAGATATAATTTTTAAGGCACAACACACAAACACGCAAATATTTTTATTTCTGAAGGTAACATAAACAGAAGTGGGCATCAACCATCTATCAAAGCAATTAAAAATACAAATAATAAACCTTCTAGAGTGTTAGCCATGTTAGTTTGTTGCAGAAAAGAACAGCAAAGCATTGTGTGGCCTATTTAAAGACTAACAGATTTATTGCACTATTTTAGGATGTGAGCTGAGGATCATGAAAGCTCATACCATGATAAAGATGTTAGTCTTTAAGGAGATACAAAGTTCTTAGTTATTTTTTAAAAACTATCTACATTGGAAATTCAGGAACTTATTTAATAAACTGTTATACTGATGTCTTAGAATATCATTTTATTTATGTGTATAATATTCCACACAGTTTTCATTGTTATAAAAAAAAGTGACATCTCAAGTGGATGTAGCATATTGAGTCATTGCATCTATACGTACCACAAGTAAATAAAGACAAGCAAGACCTTTTGTATCCCTGAAATTTTAACTGTATTGTGTGTATATATGCACAATTATAGTTCTCTGTTACCAGACCTAATAGGGAAATCAACACAAAATCGTCACATTTGTGTTCATAGCCTGGCGTACTCTGGTCCAAGGGGTCACGAAGAGTCAGACACGACTAAACGACTAAACAACAACAACGATATTCTTGTAACATTAGAATAAAATGTAATCACAATGGGTTTTATCCAACTGATGCTCTTACATGAGTGCAGGAACTTTTGATCCAGCAGGAATCATCCATTAATGGAGAACAAGAACAAATGATTTTTTTTATTAATTCTCCCTCTACCCTGCAGCCTCCAGCATTTTCTTCAAATGTCCTGGGCAATCTCCCATCAACCCAGAACTGGTTTATTTTATAGGATTCATAAAGTACTACAGCATTCATAATTAAAAACCAATATTAACAATATTAAAAGCCAAAAAAATAAACTAAGCACTGCTGAATTCAGACACACACACTTTCCAGCCATATGACACATAATATTTCACTCTATGACAGTAGCAAGCGTTACCTCCCCCCGTTTCATGCCTCTTCTGGCTCTGGGAGGCTAGCGGGGAGGGGAGCTTGTCATAGCAGGAGGGGGAGGCACCTGTGATTCTTCACCAACCTGAGACTCATCTCTGCCTCTTGGCATCCCTCCTCCCCTGCTTAGACTTCTGCCTTTGATTCTCTCTTCCATAGATTCCCCCAGCTTACTAAGTCCTGTTACCTCATTTGGTTCTGACATCTCCCCTTCCCAGTCTTCTCCCTCTGACCACTCATTGTTGTCCCACCACCACTCCCCAGGGTTTCAGACCTCTTCCCTTGGTGGTTCTCCAGCTGGTTCTTCCCACCATTCCTCTGCATCCAACTAATCCATGACTTTATTCAGTTCATTAAAGACATATAGACATAAGGCCCCCAGCAGCAACTCAGTCCTGAAAATTCCTCAGGCTGGAGGTGGGATAGCACAGGTGAAACCAACCACCCCATAATAACAGATTAAGTCTCTTCTTCTGGAAACACCTCCGTTATGAAGGCTCCTAGGGTTAGAGGCTGGAGCAAAGCAGGTGGAAATGTTTGTTGTTCACTGGAGATTCCTTGTCTATAATTTCAAGTGCTTCCAATTCTAGGGTGAGACTAGTTTAAACCTGAGTGCATTCACCAAGTTTATAATGGACTTGGAGGATCATTTTCAGTTCAGCTCTAGTTCTAAGCTGAATTTATCACTCAGTATGGGAAATGGGGTGCTCCTTGCATCCCGATATCAGTTTATGTAAGTTATGCCTTCTTGATCACGACAGTCAGGACTGCCCCACGACATTTTGTTGCCCGAGGTGAATAATCTATTTATTTATAAAAAACATTTATATGCCACTCTTTCATAAAAAAATTGAAAACAAAAGCAGAAAACATTTTTTTTTTGTTGTTGCTATGTAAGTTCTAAAGAACTTATCTATAGAATATGGTTATAAAATGTCCATTTTCTACTTTCTATCATACAAGAAACTTCATTTTGGGTGGGTGCATATTAAGTATTGAAATTTCCTATATATTCTAGATTTATTTATTTACTTACTTACCTACTTACTATATTTTACCATGTAGTCCCAAAGTAAGGTGGGACTCAATGTCATAGAAATGTGGCTCACTTTAATTCTAAACTTTGTTTCAAACATACTGTGGTAAAATCTAGTACATTTTAATTTCACATTGTTCTTTTCTATGATATTGGCCTGAATATTGTATGATCTTTACAATTACTTTCTCCTATTTTTCATTTCCTCAACTATATTTATAATTATTAAGTAGGGGGTTATCTTATTTGATCATCATTTAGAATATTGTTTTATTTAATATTTCAATAAAATACTTAAGTCTGCTATTTAGCAATTTCTGAAAACATTCCATTCCAAAAATACAGTGGCTATTTTGTTTTTCATGCAAAAACAAAACAAAAAAGGACGATAGAGGGAGAAGGGTGCAATCAAACATTAAAGTGTTGAACAAAAGTTTACCTTTCTCACGTCCTCTATTGAAGACTTTCACTTCCTTCAAATTTATTCCAAGACCTGTCCTCATGGATACCGCCTCTGTGGCATCGTTTTTGTGGCCTCGTCTGATGGAGCCATTTGCATGAGCTCTGCCAAAAAAAATAAAAAAAGGAAATATCTGATCCACAAATCTCAACTAATTAAAATAAATTAAGTCATTAAAATGCAGGAGACATCTGGCCTAGCAGAAGGTGAAAAAGCATACTTTTGACTGTGATGTTGATATGGTTTAGCTTTGAATATCGAAAAGTGCCTTTTCTCTGGAAATTACATAGCTTTGTGAGATCCTTTCAGTGACCTTGCTAAAGAATGGCTAATCCTACAAGGGTGAAGCATCTGGCACAGAAATAACATTTTGAGACTCAAATACTTATGGAAAAATAAATTACCTGTCAGACCAGTAGATGTAAGCCCCGAAGACTGCGACTGAAAACATATCCACATTGCTTCCTGACAGCACAATCTCCCGATTCCTTCCACTCTCAAGGTCGATTCTTTCTATCTTGTCCATTCGAGCATCACACCAGTATAATTTATTTTCCTATGGATCAATTGAAAGGTAAGCTCCAAATACTTTTATCCTAGCTTTTATTAGGAAAATAAAATAATGAATGTTATGTGGTATAAATGTTTTAGCATAGCATAGCATTAAATGGACTCTATTTGGAAGAAGGCACAAAACCAACCTCATGGTCTACAGAAATTCCATTAGGCCATGTAATTCCAGTGCCAACAAGAACCATCTTCTCTGATCCATCTAAACGTGCTTTGCCTATGCAGGGTGCCTGTCCCCATTCTGTCCAGAATAAATATCTATAACATGGGAAAAAATAGGATAAAATCTATGTTTATTGAAATTGATCACGGGGCAAATTCTTGAGTACTATGAGCATTAGAAGGTTTGGGAAAGTTCTCATCACTGCCTGTTCACTGCATCTCTCACATATGTTTCTGAGAGTCAGAGGGTATAATGGATGAATGGCGTGGGATAGGGAATAAGGGGCTACTATAGGAGGTAAAAATTGGCAAAAATCATACAGAAGCACCTTGTGCAAGAATGATAAACTTAGTATATTAAGAGGTAGGTGTACAATATATATATATTTAATTAAAGGTTTCGTTTGCTAAGTTTGCTAACTTGCAATCTGTTACTTTGTTCACACATGCTTCTGTATACACAAATGTGCTCCATGAGATATGAAAATTATTAAGAATTTTTGCTAGTACCCACCCCTTAATGGCATCACATCATAGGTCTGCATACTGGATTCCCAGCACTGGCCCAAAGGGGACTATGAACTATGGCCCAAATCCAAATTGTTAAACAATTAGTTCCATATACTTATGTAAGCTTTTGGCTTGTACTTCTTGAACAGCTGCCCTTTGTTCCACATGGGAAACATTTCCATTACTGATAGGAGACTAAGGCTGAGAGAATTACATTTTGATAAGATTGCAAAAGAAATTGAGGGCTAAATTGAGAGTTAAACTGGGAACATGAATACTTAACCACTATTTCAATAATTTGGTTCAAATGCATGCATATAAATTTTTAAGTTACCCTTTTTCTGGGTGTACAGCTATAGACCTTGGCTGGTCCAGACCCTGAGAAATGACTACATATCGAAAAGATCCATTCAGCCTGGAAACTTCAATATAGTTGAAGCCATGATCTGTCCAATATATATTACCTGGAATGGGGGGAAGCACCATTCAGTTATGGTGATATAAGCCTTTAAGAATGCTTATACTAACATGGCTATTGATGTAAGTTTTATGCCTGACTTATTACTTATTAATAAACAAAATCAACAGTTATATCGTATTTGTAATGGTCAAATGATACTATAGTATACTTGTTACAAATTCATACCTAACAATGCTAAGAGGATGTTTAAAATAAATCTTCAGGGAAAGGCCACAAGGAACAACAATCTACCCCCCCCCCAAACAGAGTACATCAGAGGTTCTTACTGAGTTAATAAAACAAATACATCCAGAATAAAAACAAACAAAAATAATGTGGCTAGATCTAGACTCCCCATGAGCGGAGTAGGTGATTTTCACAGACTCATCGCTCCTCCAGCAGCCCGCTTTGTCCCCTGAAAAGCTGGTCTGGAGGATTGAGCATTCTCTAGAACAACATGGAAGGTAGTGTTGGAGGCTGCAGGGGGAAGGAATATTATGGGTCTCTTACCCCACTTTCATTGGACTGATGCCTTTTCCATGAGTGGAAGGAGTCATAGATTCATGGAAATGTAGAGTTGGAAGGGACCCTGAGTCCTTCCAGCCCTATGCTTGCATCCATCCCACTGAATATTGGAAAGGAAACTGAAAGCAAGCATAGCTAACCTACTATTTTCCCCATGGTTACAAAGTAAACATGATTTGAAATCATGATTAGTATCATTGTTGTTTTAAAAAGCATTTGATAGCATTGAATGGAGTTATTTATATCAGACGTTAAATTTAGCTTTGGAGAGAAATTTATCAAATGGATTAAATAGATCTATCCCACCTCCCTGGCATTTGTTACAGTATCAAGGGATGGGTTCTGATACTCTCCATCTTTATAGAGGATGTATCAGAGCTTCCCTATCTCTGTTAGTATTTACTTTATCAAGTGCTTTTTTCTGGGGGGACACAGGGGTATGCACAGCCCTAAATATTTTGTGAATCTTAAGTTTGGCCTCATTGAGGGGCAGTATTTCAATATGAGTAGGAAAATGAGAGTACCCCCTAAACATTTTTTTAGGGGAAAAAGCACTGGCTTTATCAATCAAGTATTTCAGAGAGTTTATCTATGTTCAAAACTAAAAGGGGTTAACATTTTTTAAAAGTGCAGGGTAAGACTATATGCAGATGATTGCAAATTAACTTTGCTTGACCCAGCAGAGAGGTTTGAGAATGGGATAAAAATACACTCAGAATTTGCATTATTATCAGGTCATAAGGTTAATATGAACAAATCATAATGGTTAGAATTTAATGTTGGGAGAAAAGAAAAAGACATGATAGCCACAGACTATTAAATTCAGGGAGGGGGGGCACCAATTCAGTACTTGAAGACATGGATAAATGCAAAATCATCATCATATCAATAACCAATTGCTGTGGGAGAACAATCCAAACTGTCAATGTGTGTGGATTGGATGGAAGTGCACCTCTACTGAGCTCTGCTACCTAAGCCAGCCTTCGGTCAGCCAACGACAATGGAGTGATCAGTGTAGCACTTTCCTGGGTGGGCAGTAGGATCCCCACCAACAGCAATGTGGCAGGGAATGGGAGGTTCTAAGCTGGTCCAGGAGCTGTTGGTTCTTGAAATGGTTTCACTGCTATCACACACAGCATCAAGTCAAATATGGGCTCAACTGCTTCATGAGCTATAGGCTGCCGCAGCAATCTACCTCCCATCCACTTTCTGCCAAGGCCACCAAACATAGCAGGGCTGTGATGTCAGTGGTGGCCATGCTGCTTTGTACAGTCTCATCAACTAAGATTGTGCTTAGCCATCCATTTAAATAACATGATAATACCAGATGACAGATAATTGGTAATAACATTTATTAATGGCAGCACATTAGCTATTGCCAACAGACGGAAAACAATTAACCCACACTCATATGCATGAAAAGATTGGATATAGTTTATATGGTGGCATATAAACTAAAAGAAAGAGACAGCAAAATGATCGGTTCATACTAAAGAGTGTCTTTCTCTCTTCAGTACTGGAATGACAAAGTGCAAACATGCTCTTGCTCTTCTCTTGTGCAATCTTATTAATCTACTTTTACAATCATTTGTTTCATATATATAAATTGCCACAGTACTGTTCTATTTAATGTTCCTGGGGGGCGGATGTGAAATGAGACTGATAATGTTTTTCATACGAAAGGTAATAAAAAAAGGAAAAGTCAAGCAAAACCTAAATGAACCTAGATAAAGAATTAAAAATGAAGAACTGGTGTTACCCGCTATCCAGTCCACTGCAATGCCTTCTACTCTTCCCAAACCATTTGTAATGATGTCTTCCTTCCATGTCTGGTCCCTTCTAGCTCTGCTTATTTTGTTGAACCCCATGTCTGTCCAGTAGATTGTATCATTTCCTACGAAAGAAATATTAAAAATTAGCAAGTATCAAAAATGCAACCTTAAATCTGTAATAAATGTCATTAATCAACTTAAAACAAGATCTTGTGGGACGGGCTCATTCTAATGGTGGCCTCTTCTTAGCACCTCAAGTGCATGGAGATGTCATTGATGAGAAACAGTCCTCCATCTTGGGGATGTGTACATAGCTGCTGTGATTTATGTAACTCTGCAAGACTGGGGGGGGGATGTTGGTACACATAAGCAGTGTACTTCATGAGCCGTCTTATTGACAGAAGTGTGAATACACATGACAGTTCGCCTCTTCTGTGAGCAAGAAAAGAATAGGTTTCCATCTTTACTGTTCATCAAAGGTTGAGCTGTTTATCAAATGAGAAGATATGATGTTGTATAAGTTTGGTCCTCCAGGCGGTGTTGCTCTCATTGGGATTGGGGGCACTGGGTTAGTGGCATTACACCCATAGAAATGACACACCTCCACCCCCATGAGCCACTGCTGTAGTAAGTTTTTATACACACTTGCCTTCCCTTGTCCCTTCTAACATTCGTCTTTCAAATGTTTAGTTAGTATGTTTAGTTAGTAATCTAGGTTGGCAAGTATAGATCAACTCTGATAAAAGGTTTCGTGTTCAGTTGCATCAAAGATTCAGGACTTCTGCTCCCTCCTCGAATTCACATGTCACTTCCAAAAAAGATTATGGTGACAATATTTTGTAACTGCTCAAGATGTTAAAATATGTGTAAAATAAAGATAAATATTTGCATTCACCTGCATGAAAATCTATGCCCACAGCAAATGAGGCTCCTGATATAGGCATTAATGCATCTGTCTTATCATTTGGATCAAGAGGAACTCCTCTGATTCCTTCATGAACAGAATACATCAGGAATGATTCTATGCCTAAAGAAAACACACATGCACAGAAACAGTAAAGATTAAAACCATTATGAATATCAGCAACCGGGGTGGATGATGGGGACTTCAAGGGACATTGGAAGGGAAAGAGGAATCAACATCAAACCTCATTAATAGCCTAATAGCTGTTTTTAGGATCTTATCTGATTAATGGTAGAACATATAAATGGAACACAAAAGTTCATACAAAAAAGTTGTATGAAAAAATAAGCACCTAATGCTACAATTCTATATCCATTTACCTAGGAATAAGTCTGAGGCAAATGGTTTCCTTTGGAACCAATCTGGTGCTTCTCCCAGTTCATTTGCACCATGACCACCTCCCTGGCCCCTCAACCCTTCCCTTCTCCCTCATGATAAGTGACTGACTTGCTGGGAACCTAGCATAGGGGCTACACCCCAGCTGGTGAGCTACTTCTAAATAGCACTATAATTCAATTACTCCAGTCCCTTTGCATTCATTGGACAAAACTAAAGCTGAGCCAAAAACAAAACAAAAAAACAACTTTTTTTTACAACATTTCTAAAATGTTAATTTCCACACACCCCTAAAGAAACCCCTGTGGTGGCTGACATTTTCCCCATTTTGAGAGGCCATTTCCACATGGCTTTAAACAGAAAACGGCAAGGTGTGAGGAATTTTACTCTTACTAAGCACTTGGGCAGAATATTGCCTTCACGTTTACCCTTATATCTGCAAAAATTAAAAGGATATATGGTTTCTTTCTAAAAAATAAAATAAAATAAAAGCTTGATTTTCAAGGAAACTCCTGGAACATTGGATGGTTTGTATGGTTTGCCCTGTGAAACGTCTACAAATATTGATTACTTTGAGCCAATGGTTTTCAAACTTTCTAAACTCAGAGAACATTTCCCACATTAACTTTCTTGCCTTGTAGAGGATTATGTGAACCGAGAATGAATCAAACATTAAAGAGGAACATCAATAATAGCAGACAAGCTGTCTTTCAAGAAACCATGTCCTTTCTTATAAAGAACCCCCTAATAAGCTTCCACGGAAACCTAGTGTTCCCAAGAACATAATTTAAAAGTGCTGTTTCAAGCAATTATTTCAGGGCATGTGTACAACTTACTAACACACTGATATATTGCTGATGGAAAAGTTTGAAAACGCACAAAGAGAGAGTGAAATCAATGGTTACAATTTCTTTGGGCCTTTTGCATATTTCCATTTGTTTGTTAGAAGCAACATGTCAGAAGGCTCCGAAATCACTAATTCTGAAACTGCAAGAACTAGCTTTCTGTTATCAACATCAAAATGCAGAGATTGGAATTACAACAAATCCCGTATTAGTTAATTTTGTAAATTCTATATAGTATAGGAAAACCTGTAATAGCAATAACATACCAAAAATACACTCGGAAGGATCCAGAGTAACAATAGTCATTTTATTTCCCAACTATGAAGCAGTTGAAAATTACTCCAGTGCTTTTTATTTATTTCCTTTACTATGCATTATTATTTTATTTTATTTTATTTTATTTTATTTTATTTTGGTAATAGTGAAGCTGTACCTTGACATGACATACGGTTTTTCCGAAGGTTATAGCCTACAGTACACAAGCATGTCCGGGTTGATTCTGAGGTTGGTAAGCAAAGTTGGGAACATCCTCCATTATTGTGTTGACATGAATTGCTACCTATAATACAATGGAGTTGGGGAGGGGGATGAAATAGAAAACAATGTAACAATTATGTGTGGAATACAAATATGTAAAGGCTAAACTACATGTGACCTTAATTGCTTAATTCTGCCCTTGAGTATAGGTTCTGTTCGACAATAGCAGAGTAAAAGCTTTGCTCCACATTGGTGCCCTAAAATTCACTTTAACCATTAGCCCCCATTGGAGTTCCAATCTGGGTTGGCTACCAACACCTACAGTTTGCATTGCAAAAACATTTTATTGTATCACTGTGGAGCAATTAAAACACCTTATGCACCACTCTAGGATCTTGACCCAGACTGAGCCTCCAGCACTGGCAATTGGGGGGCCAGAGAAACGCGCTTCGAAGTAGCAAGTAGGACTATGACCATGAATTTTAAACATATTTATATAGTATTTCAATTAAGAAGAGTAGGGTTACAATTTTTGTGAAAATATTGCAGTGGCAAAATAATCATCAAATTTATTTAATTATGAAATGTTAGTTTTCTATTTTCAGTCAATCATAATTGTACAGTGGTAGCTCGGGTTAAGAACTTAATTCGTTCTGGAGGTCCGTTCTTAACCTGAAACTGTTCTTAACCTGAAGCACCACTTTAGCTAATGGGGCCTCCCGCTGCTGCCGTGCTGCCGGAGCACGATTTCTGTTCTCATCCTGAAGCAAAATTCTTAACCCGAGGTACTATTTCTTGGTTAGCAGAGTCTGTAACCTGAAGTGTATGTAACCCGAGGTACCACTGTATTTCAAATGTATGTACTTTTAAAGTCTTCAAACCATGAGGTTTTCAATATTTTGCAGAGAAAAATTATCAAAACCTTCTCTAATAAAATATTTTTATCACATGGCCACTTTCCAAACTATTTGGCATTCCCCTCCCTTTAACTCTAATTATATGTCAAGAAGTTTGTATTCTAGTAATGAAAGCTGCCACCCAGGGCAGAGTACACTTAAGCCCCATAGATTTCAATGAAATTTAAATGTGCATAACTGTGTACTAGATTGTAGTGAAGGCATTAGCTATATATGTTGTAAGGTTTTTGCTCTTTCCCTTCCCTCTGTTTTGTGGGTGGGTAAGTGGTCTTTTAACCAGCCTCCTGGAGAATAGGCAAGATGGGTGTGATAGGATTCTTTACCTGTGGTTGCAGTCATGAGATTGTTGTCTATCACATGACGGTGTATGTTTTCATTTCACAGTGTGGGAAGTGATGGAGACAGGAAGTTTATGTTAATGTGTTCTGTGAAGTGGGGCTATTGTCCTTTTTTCTTTCTCTCTGCGGTCTGATGAGAAAGAGGAAGGAGCTAAAGCAGAATACTCTGAGTATATTATATGTAAATAAATTAGATTAGCCAAAATGCTGTGCTGCTGAGTTCTGTTACACAAACTGCGAATACTCTGCGGATCCCTAAGTGTGCTGATGCTTATTGGTATCAGTTGCTGTGATGTTCGAGCTGAAGAAAGCTTTTGAAGCTCCCGAACGATCAACCAGGAGGGAGAGAACATGCTGGTTGGGCATGTGTCTCTGCCAGGGTCCTACACAAGAGTAGGACGATCCTAACAGGGTGGGCCAGCTGCAGGACTCTCTTGTTGCAAGCTCAAGGGGTAGAGGGAGCAGGCAGAATGAAAAGTCCCTATCTCTGCATCAATACTGAAATGCAATATCTACAATATTGTTATAGTTGGGGTATCAGACTCATAGAATTATAGAATTTCCCCCCTTCATTTTTTTTATAAAGAAATATTGGTTTTCCAATAATTACCCAATATTTCTTTGACACTCTGGGGCCAACTGCGCCAGAGTGGGTGAGCGGCCAATAATTACCCAATATTACCACACTTTTGCCAATTATGCAGATCAAAATAATTCCAATTAATTCTATATTTATACAATTTAATCAAAGTGGTTTCCCGTGCTCCTTGATCAATTATTTTTGTCCAGTTCTTATATTGCTGTGTTTCATGTTTTTTTTTTATTAACTTCTAATTACATTTCAGTTGGTATATTAATCGTTAAGGTAACAGCTGCATTTTAAGTGAATACTATTCGTGTTATTACATTATCTAACTTTTCATAGGATTTCAAAAGAGGTGCTCTAATTATTTTCCTTTTCTCTGCATGTGTCAAGTCTGAATATATCCAGTTATAAAGTCCTTGGCCTTTGCCCGCTGTCCCACTCTTGAAATTCCTCCAATTGCTGTTGTCTCTCAGCGTAGCTGGGGTGGGGCTCTAATCTTGGAGAATTCTCAGAATATCTCATTAGCTCCCTCCCATCGTGCTCTCATCTTGCTCAATGTTTCTGGAAAAACAACATACTCCAACAGTCCACTCTTTCTCGCTACTCAGTCAAGAGTGTTGAAGTTTCCACAGCCTGAGAAAGAGGCATCCAACTTCCACCACAGGACATCTTGAAGTACTTCATTTTAATTAATCACCATCAGTGTCTCCATGCCTCCCTCATCTGCTGCCCCAAATCTTTACGACTGCATTTTGGGCAAAGTCCACTTGAGTTATATCTCTTCTCTGTTGTTTTTAAGGGTGGTAGAGGTGGTATCTGCTCTAGTTTCCCAAGATAATCCATTCCAGCAGTAGAGCTCTCCCCTCCTTCTATCTCTTTAAACCACATGCAGATAACTGTTGTTTTAATCACAGACTTTATTCCATATTGCAGACCAACTTCATTTTATATCTTTAAGATTTTGCATCTGGAGAGGGTTGCCAAATCATTCATAAAGAAACTCAAAAGTAAACAGGAAACCGGAGGCTCTCTTTGCCATCCATCGCCCTCACCAAATAAAATATTTTCTCAGTTCCAAACCTCAGATCAATGCAGCTGGGTAATTCCACAGTTCTGATGACAACAGCTTCTCTTGGAGTGTGCCTGACTTTAAAGCCAGTTAGAAATCCAATTTAACAGGAGAACTTCTGCTTCTTAATGGCGGCATAGGAGGGTTTTGCCAGGCAAAGTGCTTTTTGCACTCAGAGCCTTCCTGCTGCCTTCATTCCATGCCAGAGTGAGAACTGTGAGTGAAGCCTGTTCCTCCCTTCCCTGAGAGGAATTTCCAAGAATGATTGACCCTCTATCATTCTTTTTTTTGCTTCGCCTTCTATCCCCGCGGTCTCGTGGAGGCTACCTCCATTAAGGCAGACAGGTACCGGGAACCAGAATGATAAAATTTTAGAGCTGGAAGGAACTGCTTGTAGTACATGAAATCCGGCTGGTGAATTAGGCAACGTCACAGTTACAATGTTAGTAAAATGGAAAAAAAAGAGGAGAAACGTTAGACCTCACTACAAAATAAAGGAGTTGGGGTCCTTTAGACCTTCCATTCAAGGGCAACAGGCTCAATGAAGAACAGACAGGAGTTCTTATTGAGGCCTTATCTGCAGATAATTGATGCTAAATGAAGTTTTTGCTTTTATTAAATTCAAAGTTGATGTAAAGTTATGATGTTGCCTTTATTAAACCCAAGCAATGTGTGGTGTCTCCTCCTTTTCATTAGTGGTTCGGGTTACAAATACTAGTATGGAAATAGTTATATTCCATTTATTTGGTACTAATACAACTGATCTATCATCAACAGCAGATGTCCTAAGTTGAGCTTCCTTCAATGAAAGTACTTCTGCCATTCAATGGATAGGGATTCGATTCAGTGAAGAGGAGACACAGTATTTATTGATTCTCCTGCACTCTCTGCCCCACCTCTTAGGCTGCTCCAGAAGGCTTCTGAACCCTTTGGAGAAAAAAATTCAGGGGACACAAGGAAATAATAGCAGGAAAGAATAACTGGTGAAAATAACTTCTTTGATTCTTTTTGTGAGAGAAGAATGGAGTTCTGCTCACTGATCACTGGAGCAAACCATTCAACTGATCATAATCATAGAAAATACAGTTTACCTTGTTGTGCTGCTTTATCATACACCTTCATATGTACAACTCCTGCAGTTTTGTTCCGCAGAACTGTGGGATTTCGTCCATCTTTCTTATTGCAGGTGCCCAGCTGGCCTAAGTTTTGGTCTGCCCACCATAGCTTCCGATCTGTAAAGATAATGTTTATCATTAAGGAAAAACACTTCTTTACTAATATAACAACTTTCATATAAAAATAGATTCCCATATGATGTCTTAGTTATTTATGAAGTAACATGTTTTTAATATATTATTTTATTTTTAAAAATGCCTCTCTCTGCACCTAAGCATTTTTAATGAACAATAAATAATATCATGTGGGTGGTTGGATTTATTTATTTGATATACCACCCTTCATCCGAAGATCACAAAGCAGTTTACAACATAAACACACCAAAAAACCCACAAAATACATAGCCAAATAGCAAAAAACAATACCACCCATCCAATGTATTAAAATAAGACCTATGAACAATGACAGTTCTATAACGTTACAGTGTTAAAAATGGCAAAGATTTGTCAAATACCTAAAGCCTCTTTTTTTTTTACAATTCTCTGTCACCCTATTAATAATAATTAAGATAAATAACAATTAGAAAGTAATACTGTTTAATTAAGCGCAATGCATGATGCTGTATGAGCAACACCACAGCTAGAAATACAAAGCAAAATACCATACCTTAGAGTTCTGGAAACAGTTTTGATGGTTTTTTTGTTCAGAATCAAAACTATTCCAGGAACTCTAAGGGACCAAATTTGTCTATTATGTCTAGAAGAAAGGCATTATATTATAACACTGGGTACCAGGCTCTCAGCACAAGTGGAGGTTCACCCCCTAGCTCCAGCACTAAAATATAGTCAACCCACTCAAAAAGCCCCAAAAGATTGGCTGTGTGTAAGAGATTACATGAAAAAACCACATTGTTTTCAAACTATATCCTGGTTATGTTTTGACTAAATCTTGTAAAGAGTATTATTGAAAGAGAAAGAATTGGGAGACTTAAAACAAAATGAAGAGCAAATAACACAGTAAGGAAAAAATTGCAAAAGGAAAGCTGCAGTGAGGTGGTAGGAAGTCAACGGGTGGGAAAAGATTTGTATGGGTAGATGTATAATGTATTAATTTAAGGGATTATTTTGTAATTCCTCAAGAATATATGTATATGTACAATCTATACTCAATAAAAATAAAACTTTAAATAAATAAATAGTCCCATTCTCTGTTGAAAATCATTGTAACTGGACAAGTGCGGCTCAAAAGCTGGTATATTATACAGAATCATCATGCAAGTTGCCTTTTAAAAACACAGAGCAGGCCAGCACTATCAATGACTCCAGACGTATTTCCTGGGAGTTATGAGACCAGTCCCAGCAACCTATGACAACTTGTGCTTGTAAAATGGCTGCTAAGGGGGAAAGCAAGAAAGAGCAGAGACTTTAGAGGACATGTCTACTGCTGTTGCTTTTTCGTTTTTTTGAAAGGGGAACTCTTTATTAAGGCAAATCCAGACAATCAAATAAGTTCACCACCAAAACTATGACTCAGGCACCTACTTTCTCACCATGTATTTATTTATCTTACTAAATAATTTCTACCACACTCTTCAAGATCAGGTTTCCTGGCAGTTTATAAATAAAATGATAAAACTCTATCAATACAAAAATGCAACCAAATGCAGTTAAAAGCAGTATTTTTTTAAAAAAAACACACACCTCAAAACCACAGTGTAAAAGTCCTTTACAGCACATACTTATACATACATACACTTTAAGTAAGAACAATTGAGTTCACTGGTAAATGTGCATAGGATCACAGGCTTAGGACTAATTTCTTAGTTCTTATTAAAAAGCCCAAACATTTTTAAAAGCCTAGGAGAATAAAAAAGTGTCCAGAACACACATGTGAAGGAAGTGGATTTTGCTATCCTGGAATGACCGTAGGTCAATACTAGTAGGTATTGTTGCATAATTTACATGTATGGGGAAATATGTCTTTCTCATATGGACTGTTGCATCTTGTATGGCAGCGCATATTTTTACCTGTCTGTTCATTTGGGAGATTGTCATGTTAATGTGGACTTCTGCCTTTGTAATGGGACTTCCTTTCACTCTCCTATCCTCATACCTCATGCCCCTCAAATCTCCTAGGAAAGGCTGGAGGAACCAGGAAGTATTTAAGCAAATACGTCCTGGAAAAAAGTTATTGCACTAATGGGATGATTTTGTTGGATAAAACCCATTGTTCTCTTACTGTGGTCTGCTTTGTATAAGTTATATATGTTCTGTTTTAGGTAATTGTCTAAGATATTTTTAAAAAATTAATTGATTGTTATAAATTGCCTTAGAGATCATATGGTCAAAAAGCGGGATGTAATTAAATAATGCATGCATTAAATAAACATTAATAAAATAGGTAAATTGAATTAATATTTTCTCTTGAAAAAAGCTCATTATTTTCAATCAGAAAACACAGGATCATGAGTATGTTATTGAAGGGTTCACACAGGAATTCTAAATATGAATAATTGACAACTGACAGCTGTGAAAAAGGCAAATTCCATACTTGGGATCATTAGTAAAGGAACTGAAAATAAAACTACCTCTATCATCATGCAATTATACAAATCTATGGTGCAACTGCATTTGGAATAATGTGTACAGTTCTGGTCGTCGCATATCAAAAAGGATATTCTTGAGTTGGAAAAGATTCTGAAAAGGGCAATGAAAACAATCAAGGGTATGGAACAATTCTCCTGTGAGGAAGGATTTCAGCATGAATGGCTTTTTGGTTTAGAGGAAAGGTAAGAGTTGACGTGACAGAAGTTTATAAAATGATGCATGGCATAGAGAAAGTGGATACATGATTTTTTCCTCCTCCCTCTCTCATGACACTAGAACTCATGCGAAGCTGTATGTTGAAAGATCCAGTTCTTCAACATGCAGAACATACCGGTAGCTAAACTCGTAGTAGGGAGTGACAGCCACTAATTTAGATGGGTTTCTAAGAAAGGGTTAGACAAATTCTCAGAAGATAATTTTATCGGTAGCTAGTACCATAACTGAAGGGACGCGGGTGGCGCTGTGGGTTAAACCACAGAGCCTAGGACTTGCTGATCAGAAGGTCGGCGGTTCGAATCCCCGTGACGGTGTGAGCTCCCGTTTCTCGGTCCCTGCTCCTGCCAACCTAGCAGTTCAAAAGCACATGTAAGTGCAAGTAGATAAATAGGTACCACTCTGGTGGGAAAGTAAACGGCGTTTCCGTGCGCTGCTCTGGTTTGCCAGAAGTGGCTTAGTCATGCTGGCCACATGACCCGGAAAATGTACACCGGCTCCCTCGACCAATAAAGCGAGATGAGCGCCACAACCCCAGAGTCGGTCACGACTGGACCTAATGGTCAGGGGTCCCTTTATCTTTTAGTACCATAACTATGCTGTGCTGCCGTGGTCAGAGGCAATATGCTTCTGAATATCACTTGCTGTAAACCACAGGAGGGGAGGGTGTTCTTGTGCTCAGGTCCTGCTTGTGGGTTTCACACAGGCATCTGGTTGGCCGTGCGCCCCTTACAAGGCCTGCCCCACTCCATACCTCCCATTGCTCAGTACCATTGCAAGTGGAGTCCTCCACTGCTCTCCCCAGCTCCCCTCTTCCAAGGCACATCTTACCTCTCTTAATTAAAGGCAACCCCCCCCCCCAAATTAAAACACGCACACACATTAAAAAGCAGTTAAAACAACTTTAAACATTTTAAACAATTAGAGCAAGGCTATCCCCAGGGAATATGATGTTATGGGGGCGGCCCTTGCCCGTGCCTCCCTCCAAAGCCATTCCCCCGAAAAGGGAGACCTCGTCAGCCCAGGTCTCGTTATAGCCCCGCTCCCCTGGCAGATTGAGCCAATGTGGGCTCTCAACCAGTCAGTCTGCAGGGGGTGAGGCAGGCATCCCTCTGCTGGTCAAAGGTGCAAAATGGCAGGCTTCCTGAAGAGGAAGCAGTTGGGTCTCCTAAGGTCTTATTAAGACACTGCCTCTTGACATACCTGCTTAAGTGTTGTGTAATGAGGCAACAAACACAATAACAAATAGCAAAGTCATTTGTCAGCACAAGTCCTAACCATTAGAAGACCAGCTCCTTTCTTTGTTGTTTGCTGAATTGCCTGACAGCCAATAAGCCCTTATCACTAATTAACATTGCAAAAATATGTTCTCAGACCACCAGGTCAGTGCCTTCACCCGGTCTACCTAGTAATATGCTAATGTCCCCAAGGGGATTGAGTCCTGTTTCATCATAGAATGCCTTAGGTCAGCTTTCCACAGAGAACAACAAAGTCTAAACAGTTCCCTAATTCCACTGAGCTGCTTGCTTTTAATTAATTTACAACTCAATAGCCCAACAACCTATAATACTCAGCCTCCTTTCTCCAGGCTCTCACACAAAACACACAACCTCACCCAAGGTTTTATCTCCTCCCCACTCCCCACTTTTGTGCTTTTATTGAATCAACCAAGAAAAATGTAATTTCTGGGGCTGAACCAAAGTTCACAAATGAGAACATTTGGCTCAAATTTTAGGAGGGGCCAAAAATCATTCTCCTGAAAATAGGTATGACTTGAAGGGTAAGGGTTAAAATTCTTTAAAATAAATTTCAGGGGGCTAATCCTTGGTGGTGGTGGTGCAGTGGTCCTTCCCATTCCCTCCCCCTTTCTTTATTCTAACTCTGCCAACCATGGGAGTGACAGAGCTGCTCTCGGCAGCCAAATCTGACCCTCCCCTGCAAATGACCTGTTGTAGTACAACTCGAGGACATTATGGGGACATCAGTGGCACACACCCACTCCTATTGAAGCCAATTCCCTTTTAATTCCTCTTCAATTGCTTTTTAAATTTAGAAGACACTATATTGCAATAGTGCAATAAAGTGGTCTGCTGATCCCATATATATTTGATATTTTGTAAATCAGGCATATCTACATATAATTAATTTACTTTAAAAAAATACTCTTCAAGCAAACAGGAGATCAGAAAAGCAAAGCAGCTATGATTAACAGAAAATCAAAGCAGCTAAGATTAACAGAACAAACTTAAACATGTCTACGCAGCAATATTTCCCGCTGCACTCGTGGAAGGGGTGGCCTTTTGATCCAACAGAAATGTCTACTGCAGAAAGGGGAGGGGAGTATTGTCATTTTGTCTTTCCCCCTCCCCTATGTCACCCCCTTATGGAGAGTCACCCAATTATTTGATGTTGGTTTTCAGAAGATGCAGGCTTGAGGGGGAATCAGTAAAATATGCCTCCCCTCTTTTTCTGTCAGAGGCATAAGGGCATCAACTGGATCCCAGTCATTGAGTTCAATGGGGGTTATCACCCAGCAAGTAGGTATAGGATTGGAGCCCAAATATATGTATCATGTCATTTCATATATACCAATGGCATAGACTCATTCTTTTCTTACTCATAATGCATAGAAATTCAAAGTGTTTATTAGGAATCTATACAGATGCTTTGTGCATACATTGTGAATGCCTCACTGAACCACAGTAATAATGAATGCATTTTTTCCCTCTCTAACACTTTAAACAGATCTACAGGTTAATTAAGTTCAAATGTGATGGCATCCACTTCCTGTGCAATATGATAAATTTATAAAATGATAATGGCATCTCCTAAACCAATGATTCTGTGAAAAGATTGTTCTATACTTATTATTATTATTATTATTGTAAATGTTTCTGAAGAGGTACAATGAATGTGTTTTTACAGCCACTGGCATGGACATAAGATGGGAACAGCAACAGCATTAAATAAAACAATGGATCTATGAAAGAGAATTTCTAATTACGGACCAGATCATCAAGCCTGGCCCAGTTCTGTTAGATGGATACAGAACAACAACATGCAAATAGAGAAAAAGTTAGGCAACACTATCCTCCTCCAGTACTAAGACAAATTCTATTCACTATAACAAACACTTTCACCCTTCCTACGTTATTTATGATTGATCAAAACTCACAGTAATTTATTTATTTATTTATTTATTTATTTATTTATTTCATGCCTAGGCTACCCATGTATAAATGCTGTAACGGGAACCCAAAATCCATGCAATGAGAGACTATGTTTGCTGTGGTCAGTATCATTGCTAGCTATTGTTTAGGATGTTAGCCATACCCTTCACTGTTCTAGCATTGCAAAAGTGAGGCAATCAGGAGTCAGACTCTTCCGACTTCAATCATACAAAGAAGTGTTCAAATAGTAGCTCCCTATGCAATCAATAAGCGGAATATTCACAGTACCGTTCAACTAATGGGCCTAACAAAATTCTTGCTCCTTGTCAAGTCCTATACCAGGTAACTCCGCAACCGGGAGCTTCCCTGTGCAATCTGAGCAACATGTCTTCTTCAGTTCAGCATACCCCAAAGGAACATGTCATGGTAAGGCTCTTCTGCCTATTGCACTACTAATTAAGATAGTTGCTATTTGCATAAATAGTAAATAGTCTCTAGTCCACCTACCTCTCCTGCTAATTCCAATCATGTAATTAGACAATCCTGTTATCTTTGTTCTCAGATCACAGAATCATTTTTTCACAACAGACATTAGAATTAGAAGACAATTCAGCACAGGGTTATCTCATCACTAGCCCTTAGAGTATTGGCCTTCTTTGCAGTCTCCTGCACCTATACAATTAAAAAAAATTCAAAAAATCAAAACAGAATTCTCAAAAATAGCCACATGCTGTTATCTTGTTTTCATCTTTGCAGTGACAATGGCTAAAATCCTTCTTAGGCTGCATAAATCCCATTAAAATCTAACTGTGAGCCAATGTCATTTCCTTTGTACAACTATTCTTTAATTACAGCAGAAGTTGTAATTTCATCATATTGGGGAAAACCATTAGTAAATTTGACTAAGCTCAGGAACTAAAAGTTCCAGTCACACAAAGGCTAGGCAATCAACTACATTTTGAGGAACCAGGAAGACTTGACATTTCAATGTAAAATAAAGAAGTAAAGAAATAAATGAGCCTAGTTATTCAAAAGGAGATTTTCTATGCTCACCTGCCAAATACATAACCTTAAGCTAAAGAGCAATGTTTGTTCCCATTCAGTTGGAACAGAGAAAACACAGAAGAACACAGTTTAAGTTCCATCTATTATGTACAGGCAGCAAGTGTGCTATGTAAGCAGAAAACTTGTATACTTTTTAAGCGTCCTTCACACATTCTTAAGCACTAACATTTGTTTTCACTTAAATAGTTGATTAACTGCATATTAAAGTGTATCAATATTAGAATAGACAGATCAAATTAAAATACCTACCTGTGCTATTCACATACTATTTTATTTTAATATTTTAAGTATTATGTTACATTTAAAAATATGTAATCAATTTATGCCAACAGTGTTTTCCAGTAGCTAAGTATAAACTTATTACTGTAGTTGGTTTATAATGATATAGAGGTGTGTGTGTGTATATATACCTGTGTGTATGAGAGCGCGCGCACAAAAATACACAGACACACACACACAAATATATATACAGTAACACTTCTGTACTTAGTGATACATCTTTTCCTTCAAGAGTTGAAACAATACTTTGAATACAGATTCCGATGGGGTATTAATTTTCATTAATGATTGTTTAAATCCTTAAGAGATGACAACCATATACTGTACTTAAAACTGGACAAATTGCCCAGATATATTTCATTTATTACTGCTAATGTGCTTAAGAATCTTGTGGCAGTTAGAAAATTTAGGTGTACAGTGGTACCCCTGGTTGCGGACAGGATCCATTCTGGAGCTGCGGTTGAATCCTGAGGTTTCCACAACTGGAGGGACTGCTTCTGCACATGCACAAGCGGCGGTAGAACGCTTCTGCGCATTTGCATGCAGCAAAAACCCAAAAATATACTTCTGGGTTTGCCGTTTATAACATTTGTTATAGTGAATATTGCCTGTCATTATAACCAGTTCAAGACTCATTGAATTGCTAAAGAGTATGTAGATGGATATCTGTTTAGGGGAAGTATAATATATAATATAATATAATATAATATAATATAATATAATATAATATAATATAATAATATAATAGTGTATGCATCAGTTAATTTAAAATGTAAGCTACAACTTTCTACATTTCTATACTGTGTGAAATAAATAAAACACTTCAGGTATTCAAAGTATTTGTCATTTGTTTGCCTCTGTATTCAATAAAAATGTATGTTAATGTAGTAGTTACAGTCTTAATTATTGGTTATCAAATCCTATGACAATTTTGCTAGGATGCATGCATATCCTGGTGCATATACAAAACAAACATGAAGAGTTTGAAAGGAACTTGTTTGCCTTCGGCCATGGTTATCACAGAAAATGAGATGGAGGAAAACAGGGGACCTTTCCATTAAATCTTTGTTAAAATCAGCATGGTACACAATGAAAACAATTTTACATTATATAAGAGTATATAAAAGCACACAGCTGATATGTGCATTTCAGAAAGTTTGACTACTATAACAATACTTAATTCTAATTTGCACGGTCAGTATCATATTTTATCAATTATGTACCTAGTTTATTTGTTCAAATATATTATATTGATCACTTAACTAACAGAAAGCTTGTTTGACATATTTACGTTAATTTTTAGTCACAAGTGAGATGGGCTTGAACCAGACTAAAGAACATCTCCAAAGAAGACCCCCCTGCCCCTTGCAAATCCACTGTGACCTGCATTGATTTTGCACACCTCACAATGACTCACTGTTCACCAAATGTAGATTGTCTAAGAAAATCCAAATCAATGCCTAAATCAATGCCTAAATCAAGGTCTTTCTAAGGAAGCAGGGTGTTGGTTCTCAACTTTCTTGCTACTTGCTAACAAATGCAATGTCTGAAGTGGAGCTTTTTTTAGGTGGGGGGGTGTGGAACTGAAGGGAACTGCCCCAGGACTCACATATGAGAGGGGCGCATCAACACTGGCCTTGCAGCATTGTTGCCAAGACTCAGGAAAAACAGAGAGTGAATCATCCTATCTCCACTCATTGCTGATTTCACCAACTGGGCTGGGGTCTTCCTCTCTGCATACAGAGGCCATCTGCTCTCCTGCCCTGTCCCCACACTGGCCCTGCATGCAAAAGTGAGGCTGCTGCCAAGAGACTAGGTCTGCAATGCTGCCCCTCCCCATGGATACTCCTGATCACCCATAACAGGTAAAGTGGGGCAAGCCATGCTAATTGCTCTTCAGTGATGATATATTTGTGAAAAGAAAAATCCCTTAAAGATAGTGCTAGCCCCCATCTTTCTCCAGGAAATCTAATAATAAATAATAATAATAATAATAATAATAATAATAATAATTTTTATTTATACCCCGCCCTCCCCGGCCAGAGCCAGGCTCAGGGCGGATAACGCCAGTAAAATTACAATAAAAACATAACGGGGGGAGGAGGGGGAATTTAAAATACAGGTTAAAATGCAGCCTCATTTTAAAAGTAGCCCACGGATCAAAACCATAAGGGGAGGGAAAACATAAGGGTCAGACTGAGTCCAAACCAAAGGCCAGGTGGAACAGCTCTGCCTTGCAGGCCCTGCGGAAAGATGTCAAGTCCCACAGGGCCCTAGTCTCTTGTGACAGAACGTTCCACCAAGTTGGGTCCAGTACTGAAAAGGCCCTGGCCCTAGTTGAGACCAATCTAACCACTTTGCGACTTGGAACCTCCAAGGTGTTGTCATTTGTGGACCTTAAGGTCCTCCGCGGGGCATACCAGGAGAGGCGGTCCCGTAGGTACGTGGATCCTAGGCCGCATAGGGCTTTAAAGGTCAAAACCAGCACCTTTAACCTGACCCTGTACTCCACTGGGAGCCAGTAAAGCATTGGATGAATGTGATCCCGCGGCAAGGACCCCCTAAGGAGCCTCGCTGCGGCATTCTGCACCCGCCGGGGTTTCTGGGTCAGCTTCAAGGGCATCCCAATGTAGAGTGAGTTACAATAATCAAGCCTGGAGGTGACTGTCACATGGATCACTGTGGCCAGATCAGGGCGAGAAAGGTAAGGGACCAACTGCTTAATACGGCGGAGATGGAAAAATGCCACCTTTGCTGTGGTTGCAACCTGCGCCTCCATGGAAAGGGAGGCATCAAAGGTTACACCCAAGCTCTTGACAGAAGGCGCTGGCACTAATTGAGCCCCCGCAAGAGATGGGAATGGCCGTGCAACCCCATGTCGCCCCGACCCAGCCAGAGGACCTGTGTCTTCAAAGGATTTAACTTCAACCGGCTCCCACGCAGCCATCCAGCCACAGCTTCCAAGCATCTGGGAAGAGGAGTTTGATTTGGGCAAAGGGTGCATGAGGGGAGGCTGTTCTCCTTACAAAAAAATGGGCAGCAGAATGCACAATAATTTTAAGGGCTAATATGTAGATGCAGTTTCACCATTTTACTTAGTAAGCAACAGAAACGGTAGCTACTGAAACAGCTATTGGGGGAATATGAATTTAATTAGCTGCTTAGACTTAGTTGAGCCATTAATTTGCCTAGCACAGTGCTGCCCTATTCTGTCTGGCAACTACGTTTCTGGCATGCAGTCCTCCTACCATTTATGCTCTTTAACTGGTGATACTGACAATGGAACTTGAGACCATTCCCCCTGCACAAACACCATCCGAGTACCCATCACAATTTGCAGGGCCAGTGCCAAACATCAAGGGGTCTTCAGCACGACCCAGGGATCCCCACCCACCACCAATCCTACTTCTTACAGCGGCAGAGCTGTCTATCCTCCTCCTCATTCCTCTTCTATATTACTTAAAACAACAACAACAAACACATACACAGTCTTCACCAACAGCTCCCTAGGCACTTGGGCTCCCAACAAGAGCCAAAGGAACCCTCCTTCTCATAGAGCCAGGCATTGTGAATTGCTGCAGAATTGTTTTTTAAAAGCATTTCCAGCTCCCATGACAACAAGTAATAATCATTATTAATTTAAAATAGTTCAGTTTTTTATCCTGCCTCTTTGGCAGGGCCAACGTCAGGCTCATATGTGCCCATAGTGCTGGAAAACCAAATGGTGGTGGTGCAGGCAGAGTCTGGTAGTTGGCACCAGTAGCACTGCCTGTTTGAGTTCTCTGTTCCCCTAAAATTAAAACACACCCTCACTGATGCAGGCAGAAGAAACTAAACACAACAACAACAGACTCTCCCCCTACCACCACCACCTCTGAGGCTGGCAAAATTAGCAGCTGGAGTAAGTAACAGAGCACAGTCTGGAAACACTGAGTAGGCAACAGATCACAGTTTGACAACCCTGATTAAAACCAAATACCCAAACTCTGAACATTTCCAGTTTCACATTTTTAACTAACTAAAAAAATAGTGATTTGGTTTTACTGCCCTGTCTGTCAGCTCCAGTCAGGGAAGCACAACCCATTGCACCTGAGATTAACAAGTATATCCTCATGATCCCTTTCCCCATCTCTCTTGTAATGCGAAGGATCACTTACACTATGTTGTTGTGACATCACCTCATTGTTTTCCTAATCCTGTCAGTGGCTGCCAATAAGCTACATTAGAGCTGGGAAAATGTGCTATGTGATGACATCATGATACAGGGTCCTTCATAGTACAATGAAGAACATGACATGGCTATGCCATTTTCAGTTGCAGCACATGAGGAGAGTTGCCTTGTGGATACAGGAAACTGGCTTCCTCAACCTCAGCCCTCCAGATGTTTTTGATCTACAACTCCCATGATCCCTAGCTAGCAGGACCAGTGGTCAGGAATGATGGGAATTGTAGTCTCAAGACATCTGGAGGGCCGAGGTTGAGGAAGCCTGATTTAGTCTAAGCAGCATTCTGCAGTTCCTCAAACTCCATGAATAACAGAAAACAAAAGGTAAACTTGGCTCAGACCTCTAACTTTGTATGAATAAATCTCATAAGGCAGATTGGTTTCATCAGTGGATCACTGCAATGCCATACAAAACCACACATAGTTATTCTTAATAAGAGTAATGGATCCTTTCCTGTCGTTGTTTTTAAATCAGCTCCAATACTGCAGGTCATTGTCAATTCCAGATACTACAGAGTATTACATTGTAGGATGCAGGTGGGGTTAAAATAACATGTCACATGTGATTACTCCTCAGAAGCACCAATGTTACTGGCCAAACCACCACAAATTATACATACTTCATTACTAATTGCTATAAATAATTGCATGGGTCTTCGCATTAGATATAAATGCCCAAGCTATAAAACCTTTTGTTTAAAAATTATGTCAGTTTGACCCTCCTTTACTGTATCTGCAGCTGTGACACCTAGTTATGGCCTAACCAGTCCAATTAAATGACCATCCCTGACTTGTTTATTTCCACTCCCAAAGTGCAGAACAGGCAATGAGGTGAACCACTGACACCCCTGACACCAACATGCCCCCAAACCCTACTTGTTACCAACCCAGCAGCCAGCTATCCTGCATTCTCCTACAGAAGATGAGGTAGGAAGCTTGCACAATGTTCAGAACATCCTTTGTCCCCGTCACGGCCACATATGCAGAGTCCTTGGATTCAGAGTCCCTGAAAAGCAGCAGCTCTAAGGAAATGGACCTACGCCCTGGTCCATCCAACATAGACCCACCAGCACCAGATCGCTCACCAAGCCCTGCAAATCCTAAGGATTTACCTTGAACTACAGATATCAAGGATATCAAGAGCTACCCGCTCTTCTGAGCTTTAAGAAAGGCCTGCAGCATCTCCAGTGACCAGCAGCAATTTATCATGTGGCTACACCAGCTAAAGCCATGGTTACTAACAAGGGTACCACATTGCCAGGATTTGTAATGAGGATTTGAAATTCATTTGAAGCATACCATGGTGCTATAGTCTCCTCCTTAATAACACCCCCCCAAAAAAAACTTGTTATTACTTGTTTGGAAATTTGTGTGCTTGTGTGGTGGGGTGTCTGTGTTTCTGGGACTGGATCTACACTCACCATTTAAACATTATTAGAACAGGATTAGAAATATCATTCTAAAAGATCAAGACAGAAAAAGTCCCATTCTGTTTCCTTTTGCTTCCTTTCCACAAGGTCTACCTAGTTTATGATAGCTAGTTGCTCTGCAGAGCTCTCTGGTGTCACATTTTAAAAACACATTATTAAAAAGAATGTCATAGGGCTATATGGTTATCAGAACCATTCCTTAACTTTTTTTTTTAGCATTAAACATGAATGTAGATCCGCCCTCAGTTTTGTTCAGAGCAGTATTTATATCAAGCAATTTGCAAGAATCATAGAATGCTAGCATTGGAAAGGACCATGAGGGTCATCTAGTCCAAGCCCCTACAATGCAGGAATCTTTTGCCCAATGTGGAGTTTGAACCCACAGACCTAAGTTTAATAGTGTAATGCTCTACCGGCTGAGCTGTCCTAGATTCTTCCACCTCTGGTCCCCGTCCTTAATGGATGAGACATGGTATACCTGTACCAGTCCTAAACTAGCAATTCTAGAAACTGATATTGGTTCTTTAATAGCAGCCCTGACTTACTTGCACAGCTAAATACTAAAAGCCGCATATTCCACAATACCAAAAAGGGAGGTATGGAAAGGCTTGTTACAAAAATGGAAAAGGGGCTGTAACTGATAACGTTATATTCACTATGGAGCAGAGAGACTCCCACGGATAAAAATAATGCACTCCCCAAATCACCTAACTTCCAAAGTTTCTAAAACCATCTAGTTTAAAAGAAGATTTCTATACTATAGCTCAATGGAAATTGATCCATCAAACAATAGTTTAAACCAAAAAATTAAAATGAAAGAGGCTAACTTCAAAAAATTATACTAAGAAAGTACTTTCAGAGCAACGTGGGAGTTACTTTGAAAGGCTGACAGGAAAATGAAATGCTGAATATCAAACATGCTTATTTAGCTGTTTACTTACCCATAATGGTTAAGGCTGTAGCTTTCGTTAGTTCTTCTTTCATTGAGTCTATTACTTCAAAACTGCCACCATCTAAATTGCATCGGTTTATGGTTCCATTTCCTGAACTGATCCAATAAAGCCTGTTTTCTGCATAATCTATAGATAAACCTGAAAAAATACAATAAATGAAGCATATTTGAAACAATTTAAAACTTATGCATTATTTTTTTATTGCTTACACAATAGCAAAATTTATCCACAAATTTTAAGTCATCTAAAAAGTAAGGAACTGTTTGTGGCAAACAGCAAGCTAAGTTTTTATTTGGCTGAATAGTGTTGTGAGTTTGTGAGTGCTAGACCTCTAAATTCCTGGATCCTTTTAAGTGTTAGAATTTAATCAAGGCTTGAAGTGCCAAACTGAATGCCAGACACTTCTAATCCCTGGATCCAACAAATGCTAATAGCTAATTGAAACAACAAAGTATCAAAGGGCTCGTGCTAGATGGCAAATGGGTAGAGCCCCCTCCCTCAACAGATAAAGCCATAGTTGAGAGGAGTTATATGAGCTAGAAGCTGGATGCAAAAGGCTGCAGGATGGAAAGGCAGAGAGAGACAGAGAGCCATGGCTGATTTCTACTTGAATCCAAGGCTATGGCTATGGGAGAAAGAAAGACCGTATGGGGTGTTGATGCCGTGAACCACAGCATCACAGGCTCAGGTTGTATATATGTGCAAATAAATCATATATCTTAAAGACACCACAGTCTCTGCTGTGCCTCATTTCTAAAAGGAAACAGGAACCCAGGGTGATCACCTAGAAACCCTGGAATCTTGTATCACTCTGAGACTGGGGTAGAATGTCACAATATGTTGTCTACTGTTCTGAGAAAACACATGGTCACCATACAATTCTTTCTAGAAAAGGTACTTAATATGATTGCTTAGTATTAATTACTGTTGCTGTGTTCTAGATTAGCATTTTTAGGAGGGGGAATGGAGAGTGGAATACTAAGCAGGCCGCAGGTTTATAGAAAACATGATATAAAAGCATATTTTGACAGTAGCAGTATAATTACACTTTAGGATAAGAACCTGATAGTACTATGCAAGCATTCTGTATAGCAGCCTTCACTATATGGGTGCTCTCCCAGATGTTTTGATGCTGGCTAGAGCTGATAAGAGTTGTAATCTAAAATACTGGGAGGGTGCCAAGTTTGTGAAGGCTGATGTATAAGGTTCTTCTCAGTTCTACATTTGTCTCACACAAGCACAGAGCATAGGGGGAAAATTTTCTTTCCTTCCTCCCTTCCTTGACAACCAGATCAGAAATATGTGGGAAATTCATTATGGGTCAGTCAGTCAGATGGAGGCTTAGCAATACTGCCATCGTAGGACTACCAAAGGATAGCTCCTTACTCTTCTTCACTGCTAGCAGGTAATGGGTGCTTGTCCCTTCTGTGAATGGAAGGGCTCCAGAGACTGACATTCAGTGGAGACTGAGTGCAGTAGTAAGGGGAAGGAGGATCATCCCCTTGTAGACCTGTGTGCCATAGACTACACTGATTCATCTTCATGGAGGCACATTTTCAGGAAACTGTAGGGGAGAAAGAATGGGCGAAAACTGACCCCTTCTTCCTACCGTGGAATTGGCCTATGGCCACAGTCCTGCTCATGAGAACTCTGGACCCTATCCATAGAATAACTTATTTCAAAAAAGCAAAGATATATGAAATTGATTACTTTGAATTTGTGGTATTAGGTTAAATAACTTCATTTTTATTGCCACAGAATTTTGGTCTATGCCAGTATTTTTGCATTCTATGCACCACTACGGTCACTCTATATCATAAAGAGTGCACAGTGTAAGAAACATACATAGTGGAAGATTGAGATGTGTGAGGGAAGATACATGTTTATTTGAAAACAGATTTTACGGGGGCAGGGGGACTCACAACAGGAAAGGGAAATATAAACTGGAAAATACTTTTAATTAATGACTCCAACCACATACTTCTAATTAATGAGTTCATTTAATTAAGGAATAAAGCTTTTGCTCTTAATACTTCTGAAATCAAGCAATAAATCTAAATTAGGAATATTAAACAATGGATTAGCTTTGAATTTTTATTTTTATTTAAGAGCAGCAAAATTCATTCAGCCGAAACTGCCTGAAGGCTGCAATTATTCACTCAGTACCAGTACTCACTCATAGAATGCAAGATGGGTGTTCTGACAAGATTATGATGCACTTGTATTTCAAAATTTGCTTATGATTATAAGGTCTGGCAAAGTAAGTAAGATTTTAAAAACCAACAAGAAAAAACATAAACCACTCAATTACTGAACACTTTCTTTCTCAAAACAAAAATCAATCCAGTGAACTCTAATAAAAGAAAGATTTCATATTAAATGCTTGGCAGGGGGTTGGACTCGATGGCCCTTGTGGTCTCTTCCAACTCTATGATTCTATGATTCTATGATTCTATGAAATAAATTATTGTTTCTTTACAATTCTAGATTTTGTGGCTTTACTAACGCTATTAGAAAGCTCATCTTCATACAATAGGGCAAGGTAACAAACATTCTATGCTGCTCTTTCAAGCAGCTCCTTTTGGATCTTGCTTTTTGTTACCCACTTAAAATCATAGCAAAAACATTCTGTACCAAATGTAGCTTGCCCACCATTTTCAAGGGTAGTCCTATGTAGAATGCATCATAGCAGACCAATTGATTGTAATGTTTCAGGGGCAAGAATTACTGAAGCTATAGTGGTCCAGGGTTACTACATTGATTGCTGAGGCTACCCTAATCTATGAATGGTCATAGCTGTTGAGCCCACAGGAGATAGTCACTCCTAGCCATAGAAGCCACCAGGGCCTCAAGTGACAAGACTGGATCCAGGGGGATCCCCAAAATATGTAATTGATCCTTTAAGGGAAATGCAACCCCATCAAGAACTGAAAATCTTCCAGTTTACTGGACACAGAAGCAACCTACCCACAGCACCTCAAAGTCACAACTCTAATACACCAGGAACATTGATGAGCAAGTGGGTAAGGAAATATTTACGCCAGGATTTAGGCATAGAACCGAACTGAATGCAGATAAAGATCTTGCCAAGATTAATATTGGATGACATTAAAGAAAACTATTTTAGAACCCTATCCCCGTGGTATTTAACTCCATACAGAATAAGTAAAATATATGGAACAGAGCAATGCAACTGCTGATGGTGTAATACACCTTGGGCAGATTTCATTCTTGCATTTCAGAACTGCCAGACAATGCAGATCTATTTGATTTTGTAACCAGCGCATCTGATACAGTATTAGTATCATATGTACTCTGGTTTCCTAACAGCCAGCAGCAACCAAGTGGCAGCATTCTGCACCTGTTCGAGTTTTTAAACTGTCTTAAAAGGCAGCCCCACATAAACTAACCAGGATGTGACTAATCAGTGCATTACCAAGGCTAGGTCTAACCTCTTGACATAGGGTCATAGTCCATCTATGAACCTGAAAAGAAATCCTGTTTATTCAAAACTGTGTTTTAATGGGTATTGTGTAATGTATTCTGTTAATGTATTGCAATGTGCTTGGTGGGCAAAGTCTTCTGTCTGGTCAGATGGAAGTTGGTTTAACTGTCCCTGGGGGACATTAACTGACAACTGAGGAGGGGCTGGAGATAGAATTGCCAGTATGCAAAAGAAGGAACAAAGGTGTGCATATTCTGATTGGTGGTTGCAGCTTTAGAATTCTGAGTTAGGCACAGTGATTGGCTAGGGCTTGTCTAGACTGGCCAGAAGAAGTGAATATAAGTCTGGGTGCTAGTCAGACAAAGGTCAGTCAGTGTTGGTTGCTGCTCGGTGTTCCTGGTGGGTAGCCAAAAGAAGAAGACAGCAGAGAAAAAGGAGGGAGGAAAACAAAGACCTGAAAGGAAGGCAGAGTGGCTTGGTGGCCCCAGAACTTGCTGGGGTAATAAGGCGCCCTGAATGAGAACAAAATTTGGAGTCCCACCCACTAAATATTCCTCATTTTCACAATAATTCCTTTTGGTACAGTTGCTTTTTAATGAATTTTCTCAGTAGGTACACATAAATATAGAATAGTAGTAGTAATAATAATAATAATAATAATGCACACCTTTGGCTCGGTGCCCTGTGCACTTGCACTGCCCTAAATCCAGAGTTGGAGGTAACAAAATTACTTGTTTTAAGATGAAGAGAAGAGAGGAGAACCCATCTATGGTGCTGAGGGACAAGGAGTGATAGGCAGCTGGGAAATCGTGTCCTCCCTAACAGAGGGCACATGTTGCGGAGAGACCTGGAGACTAACCTCCTGGTTGTAGGTGGGTCCATTGGATAGCCACAACACCCAATTGGTAGGTCCCTCGTTGCTGGGTGTAATCTGGCCAATGGGGTGCAGTCTAAACGGATTGAGGGACCTATATAAACCCATGCACATGACCCAGAACATCCTCTTTTGGCTCGTGCAGCGGAACACCCGCTCACCTCTCCCTAATTTTAGGGCCTTTTGCGATTGACCTTGCTATGCCATCTTGTGTCATCTGTCATAACAAGGTCAATCGCAGGAGCACGGCAGGAATTTCCCCCACTTGGCTGATTGGCTGTTGCCATTTGGGTTTCACCTGCCGCGTAGCAAATCATCACAACTTGTAAGGTTGTGGTTGGGCACTGATTCAGGTGATAGGGATGGGAGAACGGTCTCGCCATCCCTATGTGAAGAGTATTCCATTAAAGGAATGCAGGGACTCAACTTAGTTTGGTCAACCCCTGAAAGGGGGTTGTGCCTGTGCCTGAGTCAAGGGGAGCATCTGGGGAGTGAACAGAGTCTGCTCCCAGGCTTTTCACCTGCCTCAGGTGTTCACCCTTGGCTGATCCATTTTAGAGCTCTGGGTCAGCGCTACCTGCAAGGGTGTAGGGAGCTAGTCGACCCAGAGCCTATGCAACCACTCACTTTTCTGTAATCAATAAAGTTGTGGCCTAAATTCTGCCAAAAACCAAAACTAAAATTTGAGTCAAATGTGTCTTTATTTAAGGGGGAGGTCTCTGGGTCTGAACACGCAATGCTAGGCTGTGGTGTTTGGTAAGAGAGCCAGAGGAAGATTCCAGGACAGCAAAACCAGACATGTGCTTCAATAGGTCAGTAGGAGTTGAAACAGAGACTTCAATGAAAGACCGCAGTGACGGTGTTCATGAGGCTTAACTGGGGTGGAGTAAATAGAAGGGCAATCTGGAAAAAGGGTTTTTAAAAGGTTCCACAAAACTGTCTTGGTGTAGTAATAGTAGCATTAAATAAGCAGTATTTAAGTAACAAGTTAGCAAAGTAGATACCTATTTAAAAAGACAATGCTATATTAAAGTATACCTGAAGGAGCATCTCCACCCCCATCATCCAGTCTGGGCATTGAAGTCCAGCACTGAGGGCCTTTTGGCAGTTCCCACACTGCGAGAAGTGAAGTTACAGGGAACCAGGCAGAAGGCCTTCTCGGTAGTGGCGCCCACTCTGTGGAACACCCTCCCACCAAATGTCAAAGAAATAAACAACTATCTGACGTTTAGAAGACATCTGAAGGCAGCTCTGTTCAGGGAAGTTTTTAATGACTGATGTTTTAATGTATTTTTAATATTTTGTTGGAAGCTGCCCAGAACGGCTGGGGAAACCCAGCCAGATGAGCGGGGTATAAATAATAAATTATTATTATTATTATTATAAAGTAACTGCATAAGCTTGTGCGCTACATACTCTTGCAATAAACATTAATATCTTGTTAAAAACACTAACTTGCTAGCCAAACCCCTACCATTCTCCTGCAGTAATCCTCTAGAGTATCCCATTCCCATCCCACACTACTATTAAGCTCACTTTTCACCTTCCCAACTTAGATTTCATGATTTTACTCTACCTCCTGCACATAAAACAGACAGCATAATGCAGATAAGAATTGTTAAAAACAACAACGTATTAGTTTGCATTGGGTACAATTTGAAATGTCGTAATCAAGAAATGCTCTGATTGTGTCTTGGTTAAAATTTCAGTGTTGCTGACCCTTTTATCTCTGTGTGAATAATGAGCCACTGTTTCTTTTATCATTCATGTATCACCAGACCATGGAAAGAATGAGCGTCATTAAAATAGCTCTAAGTGATATAGATCACAAGTGAATATTTTAGGACTTAGCAATAAAAAGTCAATTAAACTATCTCCCAAAAACAGACATTTAGAAATAATTTATCATTTTGTGTTCCTAGAACTCTGAGAACATTCAAAGAGATTATCTGGTACTTCTCAGACTCAAAAGCACATTATATTTACGATAATCTTGTTAATTACGTGCCGTGCTTGTCAAACATGATGCTATAAAGCAATAATAAATGATGAGATGAAGAAATGAAGAATGCTATAATGTTAAGTTTCTAGAAGAAAACAAATCTGACCTTGTATCATACAATTGGAAGAGTACATGACAATATGAATAATTTTCAGCATTCGGGAGAAAGTTATTAGAACTACATAATGATAAAATGTTTGAGCGGTAGCCGCTAGTAACAACAGTATATATTAATCAAAAACCATGGATACATCAATCTAGAAACACGAGAGAGAAATTTTCCTTCATCTCTTTTTGTCGCTGGCTACAGAATGGCAAGAGCTGAAATCAATGCTATCAGTCTGGCAAGAATGATTTATTGGATAGAGAATTTTAAATTTGGTCTGTAGTTTGGATTCGGGGCACTGAAAAGATACTACTGTGAAACTAAGGTGACATGTCACATGAGCAGGCTTCCACTCATGCAGCATGACTTCCCCAGGCTCTTCCACCACCTCCTACACCTCTGGAGTAGTTTTTGGAGCTGCATGTGGGGCTGCAGGGGCGAAGAGAAATCCATTCTATAAATGGTGTCCATTCCATTAACAGACAGACACCACTGGTTTTCACCCATAGTGCTGTGTCCTTCTGTACTGCCCTCCCTCCCTGATTATCCACTTAACTTGTTCCTTTCAGAACGGAACTCACATGCTGCTTGGAGTATCTCCACAACTCATACAGCAATTATAACATTACAATAGTAAATTGAAATCTGGAAGCCAGATTACCCATGATTCCTCATTCTCAGTCCAGCACAAGCTGTGACCCAGCAAGCCAAACAGTATACATTGTCACCTACTTTTCTCCTTAAAATCATACATTTAACAGAAATTTGCACTAAAGTAACTGTACATGAAAATGAGTGATCGTAGTAATATTTACCAACTGGATCCTTTTGATTCTGAAACAGTATTTTGCTGTTGCTGCCATCCATATTTGCCACATTAATGGTGTTTCCATCAGTCCAAAAAAGTTTTCTTTACAAAACAAGACAAATAAAAATTACATTAAAAAAGTTTAAGCTGCAATCCTATTCTGTTTTGCATTATCATATTGGAAATAAAATTTGCATGAATCCAGAGTGTCTCTGTATAGATTCTACAATATTCTTTTTTGACCACATTCTTCCCTTAGTTAAATAAATAAGTATGGTAACATTATATACTGACCATGCCACAGGGTTACAATATAGATTGGTGAAAAAGCAACACAGAACCTCCCCCCTCAAACAAATAACATCCTCATCAGAGATGAATGCATGGAAACCCCATTTGTGATTACTTCTTCCACTCCCCCCCCCCGCTTTTGGTAGGTGTGGAATTCTGAAAATTGTGATATACACAACTAGTAGATTTCATGGGGACTCCAACTCCCACAATGGGTTATCTATATTAGGAAGCTGGCAATGCACAAGAAACAGAGGCATCACTTCATAACTTAATTTACTAGTTAGTACAAGCAGAGCTCATCTTACATGGATTTCACATATGTGATTGCAGCTATATGCAAAGCACCCCAAAATAAATAAGCAAACAGAGCACGAGAGCAGGAAGAAAATGGCCAGCAATCCCATCAGCTACTGGGAGAACACTTGGTTATGGATGGAGAGTTGGTGGAGTGCAGAGAGAGATTGGAGGCAGTTGGAGAGAGATCAGAAGAGGCTGGAGAGGTTGCGGAAAAGGTTGGCAAGTCATCGGAGAAAGTTGGAGGGATTTGTTGGGTTTTTACAGTTTCCTGTGGAGTGTTCTAGTGTTAAGTGATTTTGCTTATACATGCAATAGGCAAGAACGTAACCCTCATGTAATATGAGATCAACCTGCATTTCACCTGAAAGACGATTGCAAAAATATTGGTGTAAATAATCATACTTTACCCTTTAGCCGGATGAACAGCAAGACACTGTGGTTTATCAATTCCATGTATAACCGAGGTTTTTAAAGAGCCATCTAAATGTGCCACGTTAATTTGTGTTTCATCAAACTCTGAGCTAATCCAGTATAAATTACGGGATAACCAATCCACAGCCAGTCCCCGAATGCTTTGAATGTCTGCAGAAATGTCAAACAGCAAATAAGTCGCCTAATCAGCTCTACCAAGAAGTTTTCACTCATTTAAAAAAGGCTTTAAATATCACTGAAATTGTAAACAGGAAGACCAAAACACAGGGAATGGGATGGATGCATTTGCCATTTTGTAATTAGAAAGAATTTTTCAATTAATGGAAGGGACAGAGATCTAGCAGAAGCTCCTACTGGTGGAAGGAAAGGTGAGGCAATTTTGGGTGATTTCATCCTGCAGCTTGCAGAGCCATCTCCCATACTGTTCCAGAGGGTCCCATGCTTCTCCAGAGCAGCTTTCTTCAATGGACGCACAGGGAGATATAGGGAAAGTCAATGAAATCTCCTCCTTCCCTCCAGTGGAAGAGTACTATGGACAGTGAATGGCCCACATCTTCCCATATCTTTCTGCGTTTAGAAAGGCATTGTTCACACACCTGTGAAAACTGTGTTGGTTGCAAAATATCAGTGGAGAATGTGTGAAAGGGTCCCAAACAATACAAATTTAAGTATTATTTTTTCATAGATCAGTAGCAGTATCTACTTTTCTTTCTTAAAAAAAAAATGCCCTTAAACTATGAATCTGTCCCTTCAATGCTGAATTTCATGGTGAGAAAATTGAACTTAAGAACTTAAGAAATGGTTTGTTGGACCAGACCGAGATGCATCTAGCTCAGCCTTCTAATCTATTAACAAAAGTGGCCAGATGTCTCCTGCAGCTCACAAGCTGGTTATGAAATCGATGGCCTTTATCTGCCTATTACAAATAAGATTCTGCCCCTGAAGCATCTTTGAAGGATTGTTTGTTCTAATTTCCCTTAGACTGAAACTGAATTCACTTAGCAAGACCACTACAATGCATAAACATGGGTCCTAAAGTTTATATTATATACTCACTGCCTTAGCTATTCCATGATGACTCTCCAACATAACATCGTTAATGATGCAGGGCAGAAGGATTAGAACTTGAGAATTACTTACAAAATCCCAGTGCTGCATCAATGGTTTCTTATTATTTGACAAACATGAAACTGCTGCTATGGTATGTATCATTAAGAGCAAATTCAAAATGCTTAAATTCCATATCCTCCTGGGAACTTGTTTGAAGGCTTTAAAAAGGCAGCAGAATTAAATTAAAATGGTGGTTGTGGAAAAAGGTGAATTCCATGTTAGGTATTGTTAGGGAAAAGATTTAATTTAAACGGCTAATATCACAGTGTTGTTACACAGACCCATAGAGTAGCTGCACTTGTAAAGTTCTAGATATAGCAAAACTAGAAAAGGTACAAAAAGAGAAAGCTGTAATGATCAAGGGGCTGGAGCAACACCCCTACGAGTACAGGTTATTTAACATTTGGGTTTTCTTTGTTTGGGGGGATAAGGCAGGGGACATGTTGTCAGAAATATATAAAATTATGCATTGTGTGGGGAAAATGCGTTGAGTTTTTCTCCCTCAAGAATCTGGGATTATCCTATGAAGCTAAATAAGGAGTTAAATAAGGAGTACTACTTAACTCAGTACATAGTTGAACTGTGGGATTAATTGCCACAGGATGTAATGGTGGCCACTAACTTGAACGGCTTTAAAAAGAAGTTAGAGAAAATCATGAAGGATGAGGCTACAAAGGAACACTAGTCACAATGACTGTGTAAAACATCCAGTATGTTATGTCTCTGAACACCAGTTGCTGGGGACGCAAGTGGGATTAGTATGTAACTCAGTACGATGCTCATGTTCTGCTTGTGGGCTTCCTGTAAGCATCTGTTTGGCCGCTGCAAGAACAGGATGCTGGACTAGATGGACCATTGGCCTCATCCAGCAGGGCTCTTGAGGAACACAGAATGCTCTTTGACACTGCATCAGACCCATTGGTCCATCTCCATCCAGCTCAGTGTTTACACTTGACTGGCAGCGGTTTCCCAGGGTTTCGGTCAAGAGTCTGTCTCAAACCTATGTGGAGATTTAATCTGAGGCCTTCTCTGTGCAAGGCACATACTCCACCAGTGAGCTACAGCCCTTCCTGCTCTTATAACCTGAAAAATTATTTCTCAATATAGTCTTAGGATGCTGAATGATTCAAACTAGATCAGATATGTGCATTATGTAATAATTGACAAGTGTCTTGTATTGTACCAAATAACCTAAGATTAGTTTTGCACATTAAACATCACAACAAGATGTTTTAGGCATAAGAGTGCTGCTATTAAAAGTGTTGTCAGATCTTCACAGTTCAGTTTGTTAGCCCTGTCCACCAGCTGGACTTGCAACGTTGCATTTAAAATATATTTACCTCTTGATATAACAGTTTCTAAACCAGTCCCATTAATGAAGGCCCGTTTTATAGTTTGCGTTTTCACATCAGTCCAGTATAAGCGCTCCTCTGCTGCATCAAAATCTACAACTGTTACATCGTCAATATCAGGAACCGTGAAGGCTGTTATGTAGTTGAAGTATGGGTTCTCTATGTCAACACCTCTTATTTCTGAACGTCTGGCATAAAGAAGAAATTTTTTCATTTCTGTAAAAAATTAGGTATGCCATTTATTAGATGCAGATCAATGGAATATTATTACAATCTATATTTTGTTTTAATGATTATCTAAGTTATACATTTATATATTATAATAATCTGGTATTCATACATAATTTAGTACAAAGCAGGTAAGCACATTCATCTGGTCATTAGTAGAAGATCACATTGTCCCATGATAAGTAAAAAGTCAGCCATGTTTGTTTTTAAACAGATAAAAAACTAAGAAATCGTTTAAAATCCACGTATCTGTAGTTCAGAATACAGTGTTACCTCAGGTTACATACGCTTCAGGTTACTGACTCCGCTAACCCAGAAATAGTGCTTCAGGTTAAGAACTTTGCTTCAGGATGAGAATAGAAATCGTGCTCCAGCGGCGCAGCAGCAGCAGGAGGCCCCATTAGCTAAAGCAGTGCTTCAGGTTAAGAACAGTTTCAGGTTAAGAACGGACCTCCGGAACGAATTAAGTACTTAACCCGAGGTACCACTGTATTGTTAAAAGACATAACATTATTTGGTAATTCTAAATGGCAATAGCAGGCAGTGTGCTGGGGAAGTGGTGCGTATCTGACCTCCAATCAGCTGCATCAGATTGGCTTACTACATGCATAGGCAAACTCGGCCCTCCAGATGTTTTGGGACTACAACCCCCATGATCCCTAGCTAACAGGACCAGTGGTCAGGGATGATGGGAACTGTAGTCCCAAAACATCTGGAGGGCCAAGTTTGCCTATGCCTGGCTTACTAGGATATAATGGGGAAGGTGTGAGATAGCAGTGAGGCACCAGCAAATGCACCAGCAAAATCAATATGCTGTTCCTGCCAATGTGTTTGCATCATAATGCATCACTATAGTTTTAAAGTATTTCTTCTTAGAAGCTGCTTTCTGAGCTAGTTCTTAAGACTCCGAAAGTGATATCAAGACCATTTCAGAAGATGAGTACACTGAGATTAAAAACTGTTAAGTACTTTTTTTCATTCTGCACTTTACCTGCCTCATCATTTTCTGATGATGCCCTTTCTGCTTGCCAACCTCCCTGTTCTGCAGAAATAAGTTCGGTGAATGTACTAGACACATCCAGAACAAAAAAGCGAAAGTAATAAATATCAAAGCTTGACAAGCCAAATGCATTTGGGCTTCTTGTTGGTTCATGTGAGGCAAGAGTTACCCTCAAACGTATCAGTGAACAACATGTCCTCTACTCTGAAATTTAAGTAGTTAATAGAGAATATGTGTGTGTGTAAGAGAGAGAGAGAGAGAGAGAGAGAAACTTACCATAGCATGTTTTTCTGTCTATAGACAGCTTCATTAGATGAGGACATGCACATGCAGCACTTCTGTTGTGATTGATCAGGCACATATGAGAGCACGGACCTCTGCCATTGTTAGCAGCACAAGGATTGGGAGCTAGAATTAAAAATGTAAACTGAACATACAAATATATGTATTCTGCAGGAGACCAATGAAGTCTGACAATGGGGGGAAAATATATTAGAAGAGGGGAGGGGAAGAGAATGGCAAACAAATCTACACCACAGTAACAGTTTGCCACTGATGGACTCTTCTTCACTGGAGGTTTTTAAGCAGTGGTTGGATGGCTATCTATCTCGGATGCTTCAGTTGAGATTCCTGCATTGCAGGGAGGTTGGTTTAGATGACCCTCAGGGTCCCTTCCAACTCTACAAAATTCTGTGAGAATGCTGTTGCACTCAGGTCCTTCTTGCGGCATAGGCATCTGGTTAGCTACTGCGAGAACGGAATGTTGGACTAGATGAGCCACCAGCCTGATCTGGCAGGTTCTTCTTATGTTCTGAATTGTGTGCTCACTCACGTGGGTTGGAAGACATTGAGATCCTGCGGAGGCTCCCTAAAGTCAAGCAGTTTTCACCAATTTGTCCCTGAAAACCCTATATTGACTCCACGCTGCTCTGAAGCATCCCCAAACCCCTGGAACAGCTTTTCAGGGGGCAAAGGGGGATGTAAGAGGGATGAGAAATAGGAAATCCCTTTCCTCTACTGCATTCTGTGTATGGGAATTTTGGATTCAAGACATCAAAGCTTCAGAATAACCTCTTCAGAATTATCTCCCTAGTAAGCAGGGCTTTTTAAAAGCCAGAACTCTCTAGAATTTGGTTCCAGCACCTCTCAGGTGGGTGCCATTGCCATTCTAAGAGAACAATGGAGGTGTTTGTGGTGAGTTCTGGCATCTCTTTTCTAGAAAAATAGCACTGCTGGTAAGTGATCTGTTTCTGTGTAGATGCAAAATAATTTTACATATATTTTTATAATCTGAAGACTTGTAATTTGCATGGCATGCTAAGAGATGCCTTTTTGAACTGCAATTATTTACAGCAGAGGCTTATAAAAAGGAAACAAATACTTGTAATCCCTTCCCCTGCCTCAAATCACAAGAGGTGTTCCTGCTGCCGTAGTCCTTATAAACCACAGGAAAAAGTAGCTGTTAACATTTGCCCCCATTCCATACTGATCTATTAAAAATAATGGCAACATGAGAAGGTTCCCAGGTCAATGCCGTATACAATATACCAACACAGCCTAAAACAATATTTGTTATGGTTTTGACCTGGGGCTAAAAAAATCTAACCACTCTCTCCCATTTCCAGCCGATTGCTGGTAATACTTCACTGAAGCAGATGCAAAGGGCTGTTAACTCAATGTTTATGATTTCTTTAGTGCTCTTAATATTGCTAAAGTTTTAAGATGTCATTTATCCAACAATAATGCTGCTCAGAAATGCTCCTTTTATTTATATAAGCAGCACAAAACAGGAAGCATTAAAAAGAATTTGAAGTGGTACTCACATAATGTTAATTTAACAAGTCAGTCATATAAATAATAATAGTTATTAGCTAAGAGATATTCAGGGGATGCAGGTGGCGCTGTGGTCTAAACCACTGAGCCTAGGACTTGCCGATCAGACAGTCGGTGGTTTGAATCCCCGTGACAGGGTGAGCTCCCGTTGCTCGGTCCCAGCTCCTACCAACCTAGCAGTTTGAAAGCACATCAAAGTGCAAGTAGATAAACAGGTCCCACTCTGGCGGCAAGGTAAATGGCATTTCTGTGCGATGCTCTGGTTTCGCCAGAAAAAGCTTAGTCATGCTGGCCACATGACCCAGAAAAACTGTCTGCGGACAAACGTTGGCTCCCTCGGCCAGTAAAGCGAGAGGAGCGCCGCAGCCCCAGAGTCATTCGCGACTGGACTTAACTATCAGGGGTCCTTTACCTTTACCTTTAAGAGATATTCATTCATATTGCTGGTATGTAATGTAGAATCTGACTATGAACAAAAAGACTATGACACTTTTATTAGAAGTATTAATTTACCTTGTGGTTGACGACTTGGGTGATAGATTTGAAGATCAAAAGGTTGTGCACTAGTTTTTTGTATCACACTAACATTTTGTCCTGTCCATTTGTTGGCCTTTGACAATGTGTTTGTCCTCCAGTCTGTCCAATATACTTCACTCCCATACAAAGAGACAGCAAAGGGATGAGAAAGATATTCATGTCCTCGTATAATTTCTATCATGTCAGTTCCATCATACAGTGCGGAATAAATAGCATCTGACCTGAAAGATAATCCCCCAAACAGAAATCCATTGTGAGAGAATTCTGAAACCGGGTTTAGTGCAGTTATGAAACTATATTCTGGAAAATTAAACAAATATGAAAGGAATGTATTTCAAATGTTTGGCAAAGGATCATAGCTCAGTGATTCAATCCTTGGCATCTCCAGGAACAACTGGGGAGGGTGGGCAGGGGGGGTGGCTGCCTGAATCCTTAGAGAGCAGCTGCCAGTCAGTGCACACAATACTGAACTAAAGAAGGAGTGAGTGGCTAATCAGCAGTCATCCAGATGTCATTGGGTTTCAACTCACTTCAGTCCCAGGGATGATGAAAGTTTAATCTAGCAGTATCTGGAAGGCAATATGGTTCCCAGCCCTGGACTAAGAAATCTGACATGGTGAAGGCAGCTTCCTTAACTGACGTGCCTCTAGTCAATTCACCGAGACTGTGAGTGGAAGCGTTGGATAGGCAGTGAGGTTGGAGAAGTGCAACAATGTCAATGGGGCCAATTCTGCACTCCTTCTGATGCATTTACATTACACCAGCCCCACCAACAAGGCTTTTTTCAGCTGGAGCTCACAGGAGTTCAGGTGGGCACCATTGCCATTCTAAGAAAACAAGGGAGAAGCTTATGGTGAGCTCCGGCTCCTCTTTTTCTAGAAAAATAAAACCAGCCACCACCATTTAGCTCCTCCCCCTCTTTGGTTTTGGTATGCAACAGAGATCAGCTGGTGGGGGTTGTAAGCAGCACAGCCTCACTGCTGCCTGAGAGAGGTAATATGAAAGGGGAGCTACTGTTGGGTTCTGGGAGTCTGAACACAACGAGTGGCTTGACTTTATGCCACCATAGAAGTGCCTGGTGTCTGTTGTGCACATGGCTTAGTGAACAGCTGAAGACGTGCATAGATAGATCATCTGATTGATCTGGTCCTTGGACACAGGGTGGAATTACTCATGCCAAGTTGAGAGTGGGAGAGGAAGAATCCCAGCTCTCACATGAAGTGGAGGGGGGCCTGCACTGAAGGGTTGTTAGCTTGTTGCTAACCTGTCTCCTCATGATGAGAATCTGGCAAAAATTAATAGAGCTGTTCCCATTCATCCCCAAACACTTCTTGTGTCTTCATTCCTACTTGCAGGGGTGGGAAGACAAAGAATAAAAGCAGCTCTGCAACTTTTCTTGTTCTCATACAAAAAGCACAGGGAACATTGTTACCTGGCATCTGTCCATACTATTCGTTTTTCAAAATGATCCACAGTAAGGCCATTAGGCCATGCTCCACTATCCATGTCTTTATATATTATCTTCCTTCCCGCTCCACTCATGGAAGCAGACTCAATGCGAGGAAAATTGGCATCCCAATCTGTCCAAAACAGAATTCTGAGTGATGCAAAAAAAAAGAAAACAAAATTTACACTAAAATATGAAACAAATAATATATACAGGTGTTTTTTGTTTTGCTTTTTAATACCATCATATTAGCAAATCTGGGCTAGTTATTCTAAGTAGAATACATTTTTGACATTGCCAAAACAGCTATAAAGTTTTAATCGTGGAGTTCCATAACTTTCTAACACAATGAAACTATTCTGAAAGGAAATGAAACTATTCTCAGGATAGCTCAGTCAACAGAGCATGAGGCTCCTAATCTCAGGTTCATGGGTCTGAGCTCCACGTTGGGCAAAAGATTCCTGCATTGTACGAGATCGGACTCGATGATTCACATGGTCCCTTCCAACTCTACAATTCTGTGATTCTATGAAGTTGAACAAATAGCTCATATTTATATTAGAAACCCAATTCTACCCTATTTCCTATGGCCCAGTAGCTGTGACACATGCTCAAAACAATATCTCAGTCCCTCCTTGCCACCAGCATGTCCTTGTCATTTACGATAGCGAAGCGAAATAAGGATTGTGCCAGAAAGGACTGGAAGGCATAGATACATTTTCATTCAGCCTAGACTCCAGATGGTGTTTGGGTGTGCTCAGAACTGATCTTTCTCCAACATCCACAGGAGGACATGTCATGGGGCGGGGGATAACATTTTAGAGTTGCATAAGAGGGATGCAAAAGATCCTAACCAGGAATTCACCATTTTGAAGCACTGATAAAACTGATTTTCTCCCTACCTGATTTTTTCCCCTGCAGTATGCCCTTATTCCCTCTTCTAATATTGCATACGGATAGAATTTTGAGACAGGTGCTTTACATTACAGTGTCAAGATAAGTGCGAGTAATGTTAAGGCATAATCAATGCTAATTGGATGTAGACCTGATAGGCTATGGGCATTTGATTGCATTTGGACGTATAATTGCAACACATTTGAGAAGTGGTAGAAAGTAATGATCATGCTCTAAATCTATAAAGGGTATGTCTGATTGTGAAAGAGGTTCAACTTGGGAATTAACTGCCCATTTCCCCAAATGTAAGGGAACATGGCTGCTCTGCCTTCAGATACATTAAACTGGTATGAAGCAATCCTTGCAATTTGTGTCATTGAGAAAATGGGATGAAGGGGGAAGAATATATATAGCTGATAAAGTCTATTACACAGGCTCTTTTGGCAATTATACTATTTAATTTTCCTCCTTAAATATCCTACTTGATTTAATTAACATGTTGCTCTGACAATACACCACTACCACCTGTAGAAACATGGGAAACGAAAATGAATGTGTGTATTAGTTTTATTAACATTATTATTAATTATTAATATTATTATCATCCCCACATAACTTGTTTCATAGTAGGGTCAAAATTACCAGTGCTAAGGACAAATGAAAAACATCTCACAGTACCTCTGAAAAACATTTGCACAGTTTTGTTGTAAATAATCATTACAAATACATTTAATTACCCATATCTAGGATCCAAAGCAATAGCCCTAGGATGTTCCATGGCACCTGCTATTAATGTTGTCCTCAGTGTGCCATCTAATTTAGCAACTTCAATTTGGTCCAAATTGCTGTCTATCCAGTATATATTTCCAGCAATCCAGTCAACAGTAAGACCTTCAGGAGTAGCTAAGCCATGCTGGACCACTACTTCAATGGAGCTTACCCCTGTGAAAATATTAGAAGAGTTCTTAAAATGATTAACACATTAAGTTTAAACTTGCACAAAGTAGACACTGCAACAGAAGAACTACTTTTAAAATAATGATACTGTAAAACATTAGAAAAATTAAAATATAGTACCATAAAACATTATAAAATAGTAGATTTATGCCACATGTAGCCCATTCACAACTTGGCAATTATGGAGAAAACTGAGAAGTTTACTAATTTCAGAATGGTGAGCTATCTTTGCAACAATGTTTACCTTTTTTTAAAAAAAAAATGTCTTATGTCAGTGGGACTTGCTCCCAGTAATGTGTGTAACCCTATATACACATTACTGGGAGCAAGTCCTACTGAATTCAGTGACGCTTATTTCTCAATAGACATGTATAGGATTGCACTGTGAGACACTTACTGTGGAACAGGAATTATCATGATCAATCCTCTAATATGCAAATTACCACACTAGGCACAGTATGACACGGAAACTATTAGGATTTACTAATATTATTTTCTTACTATAAAATACATTTTTGGCGTGCATCGTAGCAAGGGTGGCGCAGTGTCAACTATTAAGGCTGAGCAGAATTTGGCCACAATCCTGCACACTGTGTGCATGGAGAGCATGGTATGGATGGAGTTTACGTGTCCTCTCCCCGCCCCCACCTGTCGCCTCTGTTCATGAGCCTTCTACTATTCTAAGAGCCATTGTGACTCAACAAGGCCATTTGCACTTGCAGCTGAGACCCTCCCCCATCTTACCTTCAAGCATTTGGAGCCTGCTCTTCCCCAGGCCCATGGTGTGCAGGCTACTCCCAGCAGAAGCAGGAGTGGAGACACGTGCAGGGGCCTGGTGGGAGAGGGGAGGTTATACTAGAGCCCTACGGGAAAAACTTCACACTCTGTTCTCTGTGCAAGCAGCATGCAGGATTTCGGCCTGTGGAAATGTGTGTGTGTGTGTGTGTGTTTGTTCAAAAAAACCATAAATCATATCAATTGCATCATTCATTCTACTGGTGGCAGGCTTTCCTTCCAGAGGAGAAAGAAGAAATGCTGGGAGCAGAAGCTCCCATATGTTAATTGCAACTAAGAGTAGATATGGAGACTGAAATAAAGCAATCTAAGTAAACCTACTTACTCAGAAAGAAGCCCATTGTATGTGCTGTAATGTATCCATAATGCACATTTCAAAAGGCCACAAAATGCATGTATTTGGATACAGAGGAATCCTGTGTATGCCTACTCAGAAGCGGTTCCCATTGAGCTCAATGAAACTTACACCCAGTTAAGTGAATATAGGCTTGCAGCCTCTGCAGTCTGGCAGGGAAGAGTCTGCCATTCTGCCTACTTCCAAATGGTCTCTTTCTCAAAAACGTCATGTCCTTTGTAAGTGTACTGTGCCCCCCGGTGGGACCTCCCCATATTCTGAGAACCACTTTCTGAACAGCTCCATATTCTAGGCTTGAGGTGTATTATGTTTAACACAACAACCATACTAATAACCCTACTGGATCCATCTAGTCCAGAACCCTGTTTTCCACAGCAACCAGGTGAGCTTATATGAGGGTCTTATAATAGTTCTCCCTCACTACTGCCTCTCAGTAAACTGTATTCAATAGCATACTGCCGCTAAACATAGAGGTTCGAGTTTGCCTAGGAAACTTAGTTTGGTCAGAATTGAGGGTATACACTTCCAGAGTTTATGCTAACTACATTACTTCTGGTAAAATGAGCCACCATAACCATTAGAGGGCCGTGAAAATTTGTGTCTCAGGCTTTTTAGACTCGTTTACCCATGTACTGTCTGAAACCAAAGGGGCACATTGGCTGCCAGATGGATTTTTTTCCCCAGGTTTCCTACCCCACTAGTACCGCAAGCAAAAGGTGACAATCAAAAAAGTTTGGAGAACGTTAAACAAGGGAGAAATAGTATCACATTATAAGAGCCATTTTGGACTGTATTCTGTAATAGCATGTGGGAGAAATAATTTCCCCAGAATTTCATGGATTCAACATAATTTCACCAGTTTTCTCCAGTTGGCTTTTCCCAAGATCATTAAAAATAAATTATTCTTCATTAAAAATAAATAAAGCTTCATTTCATACCTCCAGTTTCAGAAAGCTTGCCTCTGTAAATTTTATCTTCAACCACATCTGTCCAGTACAGTAAGCTCTGATTGAAGTGAAAATCAAGTGCTATTGTATTTCTCAAACCAGGAACTAACAGGCTGTAATCCCGTTTCTGTAGATCGATCCTTCTGATCTCATGCCGAATAGAGAAAATTATGAAAGCTTCAAATGGATCTGGGAATACAAAAGTATTATTTGTATAAAATATAATGATTACATCATTATGGTGACAGTAATAAAAAGGCATTCATTAGACTAACTCTGACAGAATATTATAACCGTAAAATACTTATGCATTACATTTCTTGTAGTATTTTTTTCTAAAACATACATTACCACTTAAATCTAACCTTTATTCAGCTACAACAATATTGATCTGACACTGCAAAAATGAAAATTAGATTCAACAATCTAACTGTGGTCTGAAGTTCTAGTAGCAGAAATTTATCATTGGTGACAGCTCAGAAATATTCACAGCAGAATCCTGTACATGTCTACTCAAAAGTAAAACCAACTGTGACCAATTGTGCTTTCTCTCATGTAAGAAGTGCAGCCTGGCAGAGTAATCCACCACCTCAAGACAAGGGAAGGAAGCAATACAGTTTTCATTTTGCTCTCTCAAGAACCTTCCCCTGTGCTTTGCTATCTAGCCCTGAAGGACTGAGCACTTGATTGATTTATAGTAGAAAGTGTGGGGCAATTCTTCTATTGTGGGAAAGGAAAAACATGTCCTTTTATCCTCCTGCAACTTCACTGCATTTGCAGATGAGTTTTTAGAAAGCACTTCATGGCACTTATCCATTCTATCCCACTACCTCCAGATGTCTAGGGCTCATTTCGCACCTTTTCCTTCTCTCCCCTTCCCATAATTTACACCTTCAACATCCCGTGTTTCCTGGAGGCTACTAAGCATGTTCAGTCCTTGCTTATTTTCATTTTATGAACTAACACATGAGCTCGTTAGTCAGAGACTTCTGCATAACTTGGGTATACATGTATGCAGAAAACACGACCTTATCCATGGGTAGGTTCATTTCACCGACAAACCGACACACACATACAATGAACAAATGGGGACTCTTTACAACACTTGATTTCTCTTTATAGAAAAAGAGTAAAAATAGCAAGCAACAACAACAATGGGGAGCCACAGCAAAATGCTGTGGTGCATCCCCTGCTACTAACAGGCAAACTTCTGTTCAAGACTCTAGGCAGAATGGAAATAGTGTTCCAGAAACTTCATATATGTCAACATATCTTCAGGCTCAGCAACAACCTTACCCAGGTTTACCAAAAAACAGGAGAAGAAAATAGGATAAATAAAAATTGTATTACTCTTATTTGTAAGTAATCACCCATCTAAATTCAACATCCATTTGGAATGAGAGGAAAATTGGAGATGAATTATATGTACAGTATATTACAGTGTTAGATGCCTAATGGCAGCAGCTTCAAACCCCCAACACTAGCCCTGAAGTTGTGAATCATAAACCCCTTTCCTCAGTACAGATGTAAATATATGGGGTTCTTTGGTGTAATCTAGGCCAAAGGAACTGTTGGCTTAATCATGTATGGATGTCTCAGGGTAGATGTTGCTTGCGGTCTGTAAAAGAGGGTGTGCTGTTATAAGAGTTGTAAAGAATTCTGTTTTATTTTGTAAAAAAAAGAGAAAGTTTATAAATGTTAAAAGGAGGTAGACCGACTATGTTAATCCAGTGCTCCGCTCATTACTACTCAAAAGGGCAGTTACTCCCACAGTGGTCAGAAGAAAGATTATATAATCCCCAGATTATACACTATGGATGTCCTCCCATGTGAAAAATACAAGTATAAATAATCAGATCTGTATGTCAAGCTTTGTTAATTGAATGGCAATTTGTAAATCTCTACAATTTGTGAATAAACGTTCAAAACCCTTTTAATCTAGGTGTTTAAGAGTTAAAGATGAAACAACCGGTGACTCATACTGCTTCTCCAAAGTGAATAGGCCTTATTTTGGTTCCCCTATATTTTCATAAATGGAGCTCTACAGTAGTGAATAGTCTGTAAATGTCAACTTACCGATATTAGCACAGCTTTCTCCATCTTTATTGAGCTTCCAACCTTCATAACAGGAGCACTTAACGGTATTTTTATGCTGTTCACACACTTGGCTGCACTTCTGGTGTTTGGCACAATAATCTATGAATTCACAGGTTTTATTGTCTGAGCTCAGGTACAATCCTGGTGAGCATGAACACACAATTCTACCTCCAGGAACTATTGAGCACTGGTGGCTGCAACCGCCATTGTTAAGCAAGCATTCATCTGCAATTGAAGAAAACAAAACAGAAGTTGGTGTTTTTCAGACATAAAATGCAGACTAAAAGAAGGCTACCAGATCTGTAGTAAATTGTACTAGATTGAGAGTAGAGAAAATTAATGTATAGAACTTCTCAGGAATCAGTATAAATAAATTTCACTGAATCTTTTATTAGTGTTGGAAGGAAAAGTGGAGTATGTTACTACACATAAGGATTTTTGCTTATACAGTGGTACCTCTGGTTACAAACTTAATTCGTTCCAAAGATCCGTTCTTAACCTGAAACAGTTCTTAACCTGAGGTATCACTTTAGCTAATGGGGCCTCCTGCTGCGCCGCATGATTTCTGTTCACATCCTGAAGCAAAGTTCTTAACCCAAGGTACTACTTCTGGGTTAGCGGAGTCTGTAACCCGAAGTGTTAGTAACCTGAGGTGTTTGTAACCTGAGGTGTTTGTAACCTGAGGTGTTTGTAACCCAAGGTACCACTGTAAAAGGTACATTGGGTGCCATTCTAGGTCAGAATAAAATGAATACAATAGGACCAAGTGCAACATCACAGTGCAAAAAGCCTACCCTCCAAATGGTTGTCTACAATGGTAGGGATCACAAATGGTCTAGAGAACATGCATAGGTCATGGCAGGACTTGCCTCTCTAATCCCTTCACTGTATCACTTTGACAGTGTGAAAATTATCACTGAATGCAGAGTTTGGAAGTCTGCTACAACCATCTAGAACTGGGAAAACGAAAATTGTACAGATCCATTTCAGTGAAATGTTGTGCAATTTCAAGTGTAACAAGGAAAGGGATAATGAAAAGCTCAAGTGATAATGCACAAAGCTTTCACAATATTAATGTTTCCAAAGGGCAGATGCAAGTATACACGATAAATCTGATAAAGGGAACTTTTTAATATAGGAAAGAGCATGAAGTACCACAAAGGACATCTTCATCAGATCCATCCGGGCAATCTCTTATCCCATTGCAGAGCTTCTCCGGCTGTAGGCAGATGGAAGTTTCATTTGCGCAGGGGTATTTTGGTGGTCCGCACATATACCCTTCACAATGATCTTCATCAGAGCGATCCTCACAGTCAATGTCCCCATCACACA